GGGCCGGTCACTGATCAGTGTGGGTAGGCACCTGCGGCAGCTGCTGCAATGAGACGGTACTAGGGTTAACCTGTGATGTTGTATTCGTCTTGATTCTCTATCTAAGGAGGCAGAGGCCAGCGTGGAGAAAGGGGGCACGCTGCCCTCAGCCGCACACGTGACCGTACGGGTCACGTGCCAACCATGGTTGGTCACACCACTAGATAGATACATTCCTACAGTAAACGTATAATATCTATAAAATATACTTATAGTACTTATAAGTAAGTAGTATTAATAGATTATCTTTAAATTCTTCTTATAGTTACTATTCTTATTATAAAGCTAAAAAGGTATTAACTATAGTAGTAGCTATAGTATAGTCTCTTTTATATAGTACCGGTTAATACTAAATTAATATAGCTTATTAGTTTTCTATAAGAATTTAAGGTATTTATTAAGTTTTAATTTTAAGTATTTCTTTAAATTCTTTAAAGTATAAAGCGTATTTTTTAATTATAGTATTTTCCCTTAATAGTAAGGGTAGTAGTATAAGTTCGTTCTTATTTTCTATTTCTCTAAGTATTTCTTATTCTTTAAAGCTTATATCGTTAATACTTTATTATTCCTCCTTAAGTTATTATCTAAGTTTTATAAATATAAGGGCTATATCTATATCTTCTTTATTATATTATTTATAAACTACTTATTATTATTATTAATTTTTATTTTATATATCTTCTTAGAATCGTTTACTATTCTTTTTAATTTAGTCTTAAGAGACTCCTTTAAGATAAAGGTATTCTAGTTTTATAAATTTAACTTATTTCTATATTTTAAGATCCCTTTATTATATTATTATAAGGGTTTTCTTTAATAGCTTTAAGAACTATCTAATACTATTCTTATCGCTTAAGTATACTATATATTTATCGTTATAGTATATAGTCTAACTAAGGAGTTTATACTTTAGTTCCTATCTATTAATAGCGTTTAAGTATTTCTTACCTTTTAAGGCTAGTACTTAATAGGTTTTCTTCTCCTTATAAAGTTATCTATATTCTTTAAAGTAATATCTAAGTTTTTTATAATTAAAATACTTTCCTTTACTTTTCTATATTACGTTTAGATCTATCTTACTTAGGTTAATTATATAAGCGTAGGTAATAGGAGTTTTATGCTTCTTTTTATAGTTAGTACGTCGGTTAAAGTTATTCCTATAAGAAGGGTTTTAGTTTCCTCTTCCTTATTTCTTTTCTTAGCGTTATATATACTATCTATCGCCGATTTATACTACTATAGTAATATAGTCTAAGAAGTTATTAAGTCGATTTTCCTTATAAAGCTCGTCCTTAACTTCTTCTTTAAGCCTATTATAAAATCGTAATATAAAAGGTGTATTATCTAAATTAAGCTTTAAGGTAACTTAATAGAACTTTATAGTATAATCTAATACTTAGATCCTTTATTAAAGTTCTTAAAGTTTTTATTTAGCTTCTTATTCCTTATTAGTTATTCTAAATACCTTTATAATAGCTTCTTTAAATTCTTAGAAACTAATAAAGACTTTATCTATCTTATTATCTTATTACGTTAGTTTATTATCGAGAAAGTCCCTTATAATAGGTCTAAACTAAGTAAGTACTATTCTAGATAAATAATTTCCTATATAAAGTACCTTTTTAACTAAGTCTAAGAGTTAAGTAAGGTAAAACTAATAGTAGGCCTTAAGTTAAGTAAGAAAGTCTTAAAGCATACTATAAGTACCGTTAAATAGTCCTAGCTATTTTAGTTTAACTACTTCTCTAAGGTCCCTAACTTATCTATTACCTCCTTTATTCCTAAGTAACTATACTTTATATCGAAGGGTAATAATCTTATATATTATATCCTAAGGCGATATAGTAGTTCTAAAGTTAGTTAATCTAGCTTATTATATAGGTATATTAATAGTTACGATATTACTTAGAGTAATATAGTATTATACTAAATAAGAGCTTTTAATATATAACGACTAGTATTATTCCTAAGGGATAAACCTATTAAGGGGTTTATATTAATAGATATAATAGGGCGTAGTCTAAGTAATAATAAGTATATTACGTTAGTAATAAGTTAGAGGTTATAGACTATAGACTATAACTAGGTAATTAAGTAATCGGAATTAAAGATAAGATTATAATAAAGATCGTAATAATTATATTAAAAGCTATCGAGCTATCTATTTAAAGGAGTAAAAGTAGGTAGCTATATATACTTATAGAGACTATCCTTAGATTATAGGCCTAGCTATAGTCCCTAACGTTAGATTATATAGAGTATAGTAATCTTATTAATCCTAGATTACTTAGGTCTCTACGATCCCCTTAATCCTATATTTATTAGATAGTTATACTAACTATTTATCTATTAAACTATATTACGTGCTTAACGCGGTCGACCGTTAGCGGCTTAATAGCTATAGTTATAATAAGTATTAGTTAGTGTAAGAAGGTATAAGCAATAAGCGTAGAATCGGGCAATCGATAACGTAAGCGGAAAGATCGGTCGAAGGAGTATAGGGTAGGATTTTATCCGGAATTTATAACGAGCATATAAGGGGCTGAATAATATATTGAAAGAATAGCGTTATAAAGGATGCTTATAAACTTACTTATTCTATCTACTACTCCTAGGGAAATCCTTCGTCTTTTATAGACTATTGCTCGCCTACTAGTAGACCAATTAGTTAGCTTTCTAGCACATTCTATAGTGCTTGAAAAGCTCTATCTATAGTATATCTTCCTAACTTAGTAGGTGGTCTGATTGTGGCGTGATGGTTAATGTAAGACTATGGGTTCTAGCATGAGTAGTGGATTTAACTAGAATGTTCTATGCCCCACCTATTCTCGTATCGCGGATATCTTCGGAACCGCTAGGCCAAAATAGGCAATAGGGTTTCCGTTCTGCTCGTAATTGACTTATGCATTTTATGTATATTTTTGTTTGTAAGGATAGGCTTATCCTGACCCGCTTTTCCTAGAGGAAGGTATAGATGTCTAGTAGAGGTCTTTATCTTTTAAGGGTTATTCCCTTAGACTGTATTATAGAGCCTCTTTTTACTAGCTTATTCTATAAAGCCTCCCTATGCCTATTATTTCTTTATAACAGTAAAATAGGAATATAAGGGTATATTCTTATAGTTAGTGCCCTAGGATTAATATATTAGCTTATATAGCTAGCCGCTTTTAATAAACCTTATTTAAGGGGCGTCTTAGGAACGCCGCTTATACTAAACTCTTTAATTAATATAGGCTTAGTAAGTCGCCGCGTTAATATAGTATATAACTTACTATAGTTATACTTATATTATAGTACTTAGAAAGGTTAGCGAATAAAGCTATATACTAACTTAATTATATACTTTTAACCGCTTCTCTTAACCCTCGGCGAATATAGTACGGATTTAGGATCTATATAAAGCTTATTATAAGCCTTAGTCTCTATAAATAGTAGAGATAGGTATAGTAACGGAGCGCTTTAGTTTTAGATATACGGACTACTTTATTATTCGTTAATATAGCTTGCCGAAATATCGGTATATCTCTTATACTCTTCCGCTAATAAAACTTTAAAGAGTATTATAGGGATAGGACTTTAATTTAATAGAAGTCGTTTACTTTCTAGATATTCGCTTTAAATACTTAGTCGAGAAGTATAAGGGCTAAAAGATAAAGTATAGTATTAAATAATAAGTCGTTAACCTTATAGAAGATAAAGGTTTTTCTAGGAACCTAGTATAAGCTAGGGTTAGTATAAGAGCTAAGGAGTTACTTATAGGTTTTCTCTTCGTTCCTATCCTTTTATATACCTAAGCGTTACCTCTATAGCTAGAAGATCCCTTCCTCCCTCTAGGTTTTTAAGGAGGAGTAGCTAGATATCCTTATAGTAAATTATCTTAAAATTATTATCTTTTAAGTTAAATTTATCTATATAGTCTACCTAAGTCGCTTTATCTTTATAGCTAAAGTAGTAGTCGTTAATAGCGTTCTTATTAAGTCGCTTATAAGCGAGTACTCTAGGCCGTATAGCTATATACGCTTAAAGTAAAACCTAGAAAGCTAACTATATATACTAGCGCTTATTAAGGAAAACTAAAGTATTATAGACCTAATAATAATACTATATAAGATATATATCGTTAATACCTATTATAGGCTTCTTATTTATTAACGTATTAAGCTTATAATAAATAGTTAAATACCTATTAATATACTATTAAGTAGTAAGCTAATTATATAATATATAAACTTCTACGATTAAGATAAAACTTATATTATTAATCTCTTTATTTACCTACTTACTAAAATTAGCTTTAATAGACTTCTAGTATACCTAGAAAAAAATTCTTTTATAGGTATATATAGTACTTCTCTTATAAATCCTTTAATATAAGTTAAGTATCTACTTTAAAAATATTATAATATCTTCCTTTATCGATTCTATAAGATAATTAAGCGGATCGACTAATAGGTATATATAGTATCTAGTCTTATTAGCTTATTACTTAAATATAATAGAAAAGGTAGCTTACCTTATCTATTTCTATTTTACTCTATATATATTAACTTTCGTTATCTCGGCGTGCCGCTTTTTAATAGCCCTATATTTTTAAAGTCGCTCGCGCTTCGACTAGTAGTAGGCTAGGGAGTGCTAAGCTCGCGGTAAGCTTTTTAGTACCGCTATACTTTGCTCTTATATATCCTATTCTTCTAGGGATTTAAGCAAAAAAAATTAGCTAAATAGCATATTATCTATTAATTAATATATTCTAACGCTATTAAAATTAGCATACTAGCGGTTTAATTAAGGGGTCGACGCGGCCGGGGATAGCGGGGCACCTCGGAGCTATAGCGGAGGGGTGGGGACAAATAGCACACGCCCCGCCGCCGGCGCTTCGCAAAATGTCCTCCGAAAAGAGCAGCCTATCCTCTAGAAATGGAAGCTTTTCCTCTAAAAATGGAAGCACATTTGCGGTGAACCTACACTTTTGTCGTAAAATCCTTCCCACTGACCATGGGGTACTTTTTCCTGGGGCCCTGGATCAGTGCATCAGTGCAAGGCTGGTTGAAGAAGGCGATGCTGTATCGCTCGTTGTAGTTGTCCCCTTCTTCCACGGGGGCTTTCACACGATGAAAGGTGCTTTTGAATCGGTCATCGGACCAGCTCATCAAAAGATCCCCAATATTGCACACGATGCGGCCAGGGGCGCAGTCCACCTTGGTCCATGCCTCGCCTGCTGCCCATTCCGTCACCACCTCCCTCCCGGGGCATATTTCTAGGCCTGACTGATCCTTACGCTGGAGCAACAGGGTGAGGAAGTCCCAATCGACGTGGGCCCCCGCGCGGTGGTAGACTTTGCCATCGCTGCTCTTAGGTATCTCGAAGTAGTGTAGCAACCGTAGAACAGATTGGCAGTTTGGACGCGAAACGTCATGCGCCTTTACAAAGTGGTCGTCCGGGAAGTCCAAAATCTTCGCAAAGCAAACCATCAGTTTCTCAGAAACGCCCTGAAGGCGATGCATGAAGGCCAAAGACTCTGCTTTGAATCCCGGTAAGTGTTCATCGCTGATCCACCAGCCCTCCATATTCTCGCCGAATTGAAGCTGATATGATTCCTTTTCGTCCGCAACGCCAGTCGATGGTCGAACCTGCGATCTACACTCGTAACCGACGTTCAGCGGAGTCATTGGCACAGTCTTTTTGGCCGTCTCGGGAAGCTTGAAGAAGGATTCCGAGAGCGCAAACATGGCGTCTATTTCAGCTCCAGAGATGCCATGGTCCACAATGGCCAAAAATCCAACGTTTTCGGCAGCAGAGCGGAGTTGCTCGGTGATAGTGTTGACGCGATAATCAAAGTCGGCGAGCGAGATCTATGCGAGGAGAGGATCAGCTTCAAACCAGCAATGAGCATCCAATCTTTGTGCTGACTTGTGGGATCGGACGGTCTACGTATTTGGTCGCCATTGCTAGAACTCGAGGAATCGACGGTCAAGGCGAGGTGGCACAGTGAATGTCGTCGAGGATGGGTGTAAGAATGCTGTGAGCAGCCTTGAGGAGAAGTAAGATCCGGAGCGGGGCTTATAGAAAGCAAGAGGGTGAGCTCATTGCTCAATATCCAGAACAATTAATGGTTTGGATAGCAAAGCCTTGATTCATGGCTCTTGGTTACATCGCAGCAGAAGACTGATGTCATTTGATGACATGTCGGTAATCCCCGGCTGCCTCGATTTGGCCACAGCTGAGCAGGTGATGGATGAGGTGGACGCCAGTCAAGTTGTTAGATTCCCAGATATGCCTGCCATATATGCAGGAGCCAAGGCGCTAACTCGAAAAACTTATCCAGCTTATAATCTCTTCCAACCTGACTTAGCCAGCTTTAGTCTTGGAAGCTTTGTGCATCACGTACTTGGTCCTGAAGAGAGAGCCGCCATTCAATCATTCCGGAGAATATGGCTGCATTTTATGCCTCTGCGAATTGTTTCCTTTCACGGTAATGCCATACTAGCGTTCATGTATGCTGGCTCAAAGCCGGCTTTTCATCGTTGGTCACTGGAGCGTAGAGGTGGAAGTCAATCCTTCCTCTTGCTGCCCGTCTTTGCGTGAGGTGGAGGAAGATGGTTGTCAGGACAAGAAAGGGCCAATAATACGCGTTAGTAACACCTCTATTGGGGGTGCCCTCATTTTGCATGGTGTAGCGGTATTTTACCAGCTTGACAATGGTGTAAGGGCTTGGGACAATAAGAATAGACATGCATTTACATATGAGGCATTAAAAGTCGTAGCTTGAAGACAGCCTGCTTCTGGTCTCGCGAAAGGGGCGCCCTTGCAGTCCTCGGATGCACTGCCCAGAGATCAGTTCATCAGGCTTGATTCCGTAATTCATGTCATACGGGAGCAAGCATTGAATCCAAGGGGAGGGGCTACAACTACATGTCAAGAATTGTTGTCCTTGATAATGACGTCTTGTCCATCTTGCAATTCTGCTTTTGCCGCCGGAACAAATGTACAGAAATTTGATAAGAGTCTTAGAACTAATTGTCAGACTGTGCTGGATGGAAATATATCTGTTCATGACGACAAAGACGAAGGATAACGTAGTCCGTATATCGGCTGCAAACCAAGTCTGGAAAATTACTCAAGTTTTTGAACACGCATCGCGCTTTAAGCAATATTAAACTATGTAACTCCGGCTTCTCAGTGCCCCAGATAGATCCAGCTTTTATCTCCCCGATCTAATGCATTTGCTATGTCTTCCTTTTCCTCATATTTGCTTATGGCTTCAATTTATATCACGAGTACGGAGTTATTGTAGTTGTAGCTATACCTGCAGCTTGGCTTTTCACCATTTGGTGCTCATGTCTCACGTACCAGAATCGTGCAATCTGTATCATTGATGACAAACCCTCCCAGCTCGAAGCTGGTGGTCTCGGTCTATCCGGCTACCCATGGCTCAACGGCAAACATGTAGTCAAAGTTTCCAAATGTCTCGCACGTATCAAAGACACACTATAAGCTAAAAGCTGTGGTGGATTGTTTGCGTGGTCTCTGGATGATTTGTTTCAAAAACCCTTCATGAGAAGCTATCGATGCTCTAGGAAGCGGCCTCAGCGCACCAGACATGGTAAATCGTGTACGCATATGTAATCATAGCAGTAGTCAGATGAACCCGGACTTTTGATTGCTACCAGAAGTCTGAAGGGCATTTGATATTGACTCTGGCAATCACCAGTGTCTCGTGCACAGGCCGTCGGAGTTTGCAACACAAGCTTCCAGACTGTCAGGTCGAAGTAAGTGTAATGTTCCAAAGGCCGCACTCTGAGGATGGCAGTTTCGGGGCGAGAGAAGCCGTGCTGCATTCAACGTTCAGGAATACGGGTATATGAACTATACGGCCGTGTGCTTTAGCCGGCGTTCTATTTAGCTCAGCGGTCTACAATTTGCCACCTCCAGGCGCGTTACTCTTTCTGCGCAACTGCCATCCAAGTATGTCTTTCGCAGGGATGTTTTGAATATTGCTACTATTTTGGGTCCAGTAGCGGGCGCCCTTATACTTGCGAGAGCTCAAGGGACTTCTTCAGACTCCTTTCTATCCTGTCAGTATACTTGACTCGGGGCGGCGAAAGCGTAGCTATTCCCAGACCGTGCAACCTTGATGAGGTCTTTAAGAAACCTGTCACGGACAAGAAGGTTCTGAAATCTGTCATAGGTCTATTGAAAGCGTATGACGTGCTTCCCTGCCATGAGCTGCGTGGATATATACAAAGACTCTCGACACCTTGCTTCAATGCAAGTGTATGACGGTGGGAGCCAGCTCATCCATGAGCTCAGCAGGGAGTCTGATCCAAAAGACACATCTCATCCGATCTATTGGCTCCGCTTTGAATGAAGTATCGTTGTGTGGAGCGTGGATCATGGAGCATAAGCATTGAATGCGCTGCGGTCTTACGAGCAGATCGGACAATGGGTAGAAATCGGAGCTTAGCCTCCGCACAACTTGTGGAGTCCCTCATACCAATTTCCAATTTCAGAGTCAGTCGGGGACTGGAGTGAGCCCTGGTTTTCTTCGACATTTCTGGAAGACTTGTGGTTGCTCCCAATTTTACGGAGTTTGTTCAGTTCATATACTTGTCCCTACCTGTATGCATGCATATGGGGGACGTTGAAGCCAGGAGGTTCAGGTGGAGACGTCCAGCGACTCGCCCTCCAATCTATTCTCACAAACAAGTGTCACGGAAGGCGTGATCGGTTTGCGGAATGCAAGGTTATTGCCCCTCTCCTCCTTATCTTATCCGTTTCATCTTTCCACATACTATTGAACGTCAGTTGACGGGTTAACGCCAATTTTTCCACTCAATTGAGCCTTCCCATCTGGATCCGTAACCTTTATGACTCCATCCCACCCTACAACTCATGACTGCTGATCGTCTCCTCGTAACCGATGTTCGTCAATTCACCGATGGCATTGTGTGGGGATGCTTAGGGGCCGTCGAGATTGGAGCTCAAGCGAGAAGCTCGCCCGGGTAGGCGTCACCACATGCATCAATTGGCCATTTAAGCGCTCTCTATTGGTTAGTGTCAGGGGGTGGCGAGGAGTTGAATCATGTCGCGGCTGGTTGCAGGCTTAACTTATTCAGATTGTATGTGCGCCGGCCTTGGGCGCCGGGCATTGGCGTTACCGACGCTAACAGGCACGATCGTTCTAATCGATTCCGATTCGAGGTTGATAAATCGGACCGGGCCTGTGTCGGGAACGCTTGGCGTCGCAGGGAGAGATGATCACTCAATTTTTGGACCGCTTTCAGGACCGTGAATATGCCAAAAAAAATTGGAGGCGTTTCCTGCATTGTCTGCGTCGGTGCTTCTCTTCTTTTGAAAGAAAAGAGGAAAAGGAAATCAATTTCGCCTGCTACCAATTCATGCCATGGCAACGATTTATGGAAGGCTTCGTGCATTCTAATCAAAAGGGTTTGATTTTTCAATGGAATGGCTAGGCAAAGCGCAGAACCCAGGGGCGCAGGATTCGACACTCAAGGCAAATCCGACAAGTAATGGGCATTTTAAAGGCTAGTTGCATGATCTATGGGGGGGTTGTGCTAGGAAGTGGTGTCAAAATTCAACGTCTGACTGGTGTTCGTAATAAGCTCCCCGGCTTTGAGGACATGGTATCATATGATCGTGCGGAAGATGAATAATAAACGTATTCAAACAGATGCAGTCCCACGAGAGAAAAAGGAGGAGGAATTTGGAATATTGAACTTTAGAAGTCAGTCCGCTTTGAGTATGAGTTAAACTGCGCTTCTTTCTAGAGCAGATGATACGTGATGGTCGAATCATTTCCAAGGAATCATGATGAGGTGATATAAAGGAGCCAGCAAGGTGTCTATCAGCTGGTAGAGTCATGGCGAAGATAAACGGTCGTTATAAAGAGAATCAACTTGTCTGACGTCACGGCTGAAAACGAGGCATCAATGTATGACAGTTGAATTGCTTGTGGTTTTTCCCAGCTGCCAAGCGTGAATGAGCAACTCATCACAATTGTGACGTAACCAAGCTGCTAGCATGGGATTTATGGATCCGTAGATGGCAGAGACGTAGCCTCCCCTATTACACACCTAAATGCGGGTGGGATGGCTAGAGAGGACGGGAGTCGGTGAGTGGAAGTCCTCACTGGGAGAAATGTGGAGAAATATGAGGAGCATGCTGGTTCCTCGGGGCTTTACGGCTCATGGGGAAGGACGCATGATTTCTTTGAGTCTGGATGAACATTGGCAGCCCCAGAGAAGAGCATGAGGGGGTGAAGGGCTGAAGAGGCACATCTTAAGCGACGTCACCGGAATCCACAGATGTTTGAGGATTTCGAACCGGAAAGCTGGCTTCTCAAGATCTTGGATAATCATGAAAGTTGCCCAGTATATGACATCACATACGTGATGCTGCCTCCTTGCGGCTTCGCTCCCCAAGTTCGCGCTGAGTCGCGAGGGCGGGCCGCCGTGGCAAAAAGCCACAGACGGTGGTTTCTTTAGCGGCTATTGAATGTTATGCAAACTCTCCACTGATCTGAGCCGCTTGAAGACACGAGTTTAGCAGGACGAATCATGGCATTGACGGGTTAATTGAATCTGTGGACCTCGTCTCCAAGCTGTCGGCTCTTTGGAACCACCTACGAGACCAAGGTACGTCATATCGCTGCTAGTCACCCTCTCGGAACATAGAATCGGAGGTGCAATTACTCATGTCCGTCCGAGACGGGACGGAAGGCTTTGATTGCTGGTCCTGCCCGGGGTGGGCTATTTGGACAGCCTTTCTTTGCTCCTGCTTTCGAGAGACATTTGTCAATGGTTGTGGCCGCCGTTGAGGGAGATGACATGGCAAGAATGACGTTTGGTTTCAACATTGCGCGTCGAGGGTATGAATTCAAACGTAGAATGACTCTCCATTCGGCCGGGAGCTCGGGTCATCGTCATCGTAGGTGAGCTAAACTAGGCCGTAACAGCCAATCACACACGAGGCTCCAATCAGGAACAAATTTGCCACCCAGACCCAAAACATTGGCGCCCTTGGCGCGTGTAAGGAGTCAGTCAGTGGGTGCTGCAGCCACGGAGGGTGGCCGGGTGCTGTGGCTAACAATGGCTTGGAATCACACATCCAGCTCCCATCCGGAGCTTCCCTCCGGTGCCCTTTGATTTCCAGCCCAGACTAAGCAAAACTGAGGTATTACAGGGCAAATCTGGCGTACTGCACACAAAACGATGCCTCTGTATATCCAGTTGGGTGGCCTTTGCTCAGTGCGATTCAGCCTCGAGGTGCCAGCGGCATCTTTGACACTTCCGTGCCGGGAACTAGAGGCCGTTAGTTTCGATTCAGCAACCAGAATGACACGCATCGAGATCGGATTAAATGTCGAGGTGGACGGTGACAGGACAGGACAGGCTGGCGAGATTCATGGCTGTCCACGCCCCAATACCAAGGGCCCCACGAGGCTCGGCAAGCATTTACCGCGAAGGGCTCTTGCGCGTGTCCCTTACTCGCGAAACGCGAAGGGCATCCCACCACCCCATGAGATCAGGTCGTGTGCGCCGAGAGGAACAGGTGTGGCCCCGTCGTTTCGGAACTGCTGCAAGATGCTGGTTTGCCCCGATGCCGGGGCCTACCGCCATGACGGGCAATCACGATCAATTCAGCTTTGCTGGCATGAAAAGGAGCCTTGGCCGACATGAAAACCCGGCCAGGTGTAATTTGAGAAGCGCTCTGAGTGGTGGCCTTGCTATGACATACTGAACCCCATTGACTGGATCCCGAGACCAAACCACCACACAGCCTCCCGAGTGGACGTCTAAACCTAGCCCCTGTTGCACAACTGATAATACGGCCTCGAGTCCCTCGATTGCACCCCGTTTCTAGCATCATTATCCCGCGGAGACACCTTAGCCCACAACCAGCCTTCTTCCGATGCCATATATACTCTTTTCACAGCCCCTATGACCTCCCCTCGGTTACGCGCTGTCGAATACTCGTGCGTCTTAATTTCTTTGTCCGCGGGACAGCTGCTCCCGGTGTGCTCTCTCATTCTAACGTCCAACAACAGCGTCGCACAATGGCTGCCCGCTCTTCACAGCCGCGAACCCCCCTCGACTCGAGACACACCGACCAGGGCACCTATTATTATTTCATCCCGAGCGAGGCCCGCAATGCCCTGATCGTGGTCATCGGCGAGTTCATCGGGACCTTGATGTTCTTGCTGCTTGCCTTCATCGGCGCACAAACCGCCATCCTCACCAACGCACCTGGAGATCCCAATGCGCCGAAGTCGCCGTCCGCCCTCTTGTACATAGCCGCGTCTTTTGGAACCTCCCTTGCTGTCAATGTCTGGATATTCTTTCGTGTCAGTGGAGGCATGTTTAATCCTGCTGTAAGTCCATCTCCCAATATGTCCCATTGCGTCCCTTCCCTTTCAGGAGTGAGTGGTGAGTGTTAACGGTGTGAAATTCAGGTCACACTCGGTCTTGTCCTCGTCGGCGCCGTCTCACCATGGCGGGCTCTTTTGATCGTACCATCCCAAATAGCAGCCAGCATCGCTGCCTCAGCTCTCACATTTGCTCTTCTCCCCGGTAATTTGAGCGTCGCCAACACACTCGGGGCCCAAACCAACCTTACGCAGGGACTCTTCTTGGAGATGTTCCTGACAGCCCAGCTTGTGCTCACAGTATATTTCCTTGCAGTTGAGAAGCACCGGGCCACTTATCTTGCCCCGATTGGCATCGGCGTCTCGGTCTTCATTGCACACATGGCTGGAACCAACTACACCGGCACCTCCATCAACCCCGCGAGATCCATCGGCCCTGCCATCTTCGTGGGCTTCACCAGCTACCACTGGATATACTGGCTGGGCCCCGTCATGGGCGCGCTCCTCGCGTTTGCCGTGTACACCCTCCTGAAGTGGCTTGACTACAGAACGGCCAACCCAGGACAAGATGCGGATGACATCGAGATGGCCTGCCGCGACGGCCTTGCCCCCCTTGCACCCCTAATGAGCGGGTCGCGGAACATCTTCACAAGCGACGGCATCATTAAAATCAGCACCGACAATCTGCCATCATTAAAGGACAGCAGACCGACCACACGCTTCGGTAATCGAACTCTGGGGCCCCCAACACCCCATCTCAACGTGCGCTTTTCTTGGAACAAAGAATAACAGGTAACAGGCAATCGGTCTGCATAAATGAACATTGTAAAGTATGCGGCGCAAACGAGGTTGGACCTCGATGATATAAGAACATATTGTAATACGACGCTCGGGGGCCGCATAGCTCGGCCACCCCCTGGAAGCCAATGTTATCCAGTACCTTCGAAAAGTCGGAATTTCACATTCAGCGCCTTGGTCAGGCTGTACTTTATTAGACAGAAGATAGCGTCTGCGACCCGGAATGAGTTAAGGATACCTTGAATGCTGCGTGACCTTGGGCTTGCTCTTGCACGTAGATTAAGGCTAGAAGGCGCCGTTGAGCCCAACGAATCAGATCTGGATAGTGCTTCGTACTTCGTACTCAATCAGCTGTCGGAGTGGAGGTCGAATGAAGCCCGACAGCAGATTTGGTGAACTTTCAGGGCCGGTATACGCTGCGGTATGTGACTGTGTATCACACGGGGCTCTGAGTAAGGCAGAAGAGCAAGGGAAAATAGCTGAAACACAGCAGATTGTTCTAGAAGCCCCCTTTACGCTCCGTCGCACACCTGCGGCGGTTAGTTTTTCTTTTTTTTTCACGGCTCGGTTAGAGACGAGAGTAAGGGAGGAAGGCAAGGGAAGAGAGAAGGATAAAGAAAAGAGGCGGAACCCAGGCCGCCTCGCGGTCGAGCGACTAGCTCAGGACCACCTGATAGTACAGCCTCCTCGGGGCGACGAGCTCGTCGTGCGAGCCCAGCTCGGCGGCGGCGTCGCGGGCGGCCCAGTCGAGCGTCTGCTTGACCACATTTTCCAATTCGCTATCGAGCGCGCTCGTCGCCTCATCTATCAGCCGCAGCCGCTGCCCACCACAAAGCGAGAGGCATAGGAGCCGCAGGGGGTGTCCAGCCCCCGCGGGAAAGAGGCGATGAAAGTCTCACACATTGGCGGCCTGGCACGCGGTCACAATGTCGTCCTCGGACAGCGGCTGCTTCTGCTGCTGCTGCTGCTCGCCCTTGTCGCCTCGGCCCCGGTCTGGCCTCCCAGGGCTACGTTGTCGGGTTCTCCGGAGCCCTGGTCCAGCTCAACTACGAACCCAAGAGTCTTGTTTCCAGGTTATAGCTTGATTGCACACAACCGTAAGAAGCCAACTTCTTTGCCATCTTTTGGATAGAAATCAAGCACTCGGTTTTCCAATTTCCTCTCTAGCATGTGACAAATTGAGTCTCTTGGACATCAAGGTACGAAGCACTTCAATCCACATCCATTCAACTCAACTTGACCCGCAATTGATCAACTCAACTGGAGGCCATCGTTGATCAGGTCTATTCAACTCAATGAAGGCAATCCACTGAGTAGATTGAGTGGTTTCTATCTTTGGTGCCCACCAGAATCAGGCCACTGGCTTATTCCGGCCCTGCCTCTCCATTGCGGCTGGAGATTTAGTTCGTATTAGTACCAAGAATCCCTATTTTAGTCTCAGCCGACGGGTGCATATTGTCACTATTGTCCGGCGCAAGCGCTTATTGAAACTGGCGTTGCGGGTTCGATATGCTAACTGGCTGGATCGTTCAACATTGGCAAATCGATATGTTCCATACATCTTGGCAGAAGGCCACGCGGCTTCGGTCACCATCCCCCCTAGGGTATTCGTCTCCCTGGTAGGATTCAGGGGGGACTGCTGGACCCCTGACTAGGTCATGTAGGCTTCGTTAATGTAGAGGACGATACTATTTGCAATTGGCAACGTACCTTAATCAGGTCCGGCATTGAGGCGGGAATGACTGGGATTATCGGCAGTGCTTAGCCTAGCCTCTCCTCTAAGCCAGCGCGGTGCCGCTTTTCCGGTGGCCTCTCATCAGCCTCTACGGAGCATGCGCAGGCGGTGTGGAAAGAAAACCACGAGGCATGCTCCCTTTTCCGCCTCCTCTTAGAAACTGTTTATGCAGCGTCTGAAAACGTAAAAGATATTTTAAAATTTCTAGAAAAGTTGTAGAGATGAATTGACACTAATATCACCATACGTATTTTCTTTAAAATCTCCAGTTTACAGTTAGCAAATAGTTTTGCTTTTTTTGACAAGCACTCGGCCAGGGCGTGTTTTATTTACCTCCGCCTGCATGTCAACCGCTTATTTGTTTCATCTATTGCCGTTACCCGTACACCATAAACGGGTAGCTTGGCTCGGACTTTACCCCTATCTCTCACATGGTTGTCATCAGCCGATCAGCCGCTAAGGGATAGAGTAGTAGCTTATTGTATATACTGCACGTTTCTATCTTTGCTCTATTCCTCGAGGCCCTACTGCGTGGGAAACCCTTTTATCTGTGCAAAGAGGGCAAAGAGGAGGTTGGCCAGCCCTCCCAGCCACAGAGTGATCATAACGACGGAATTACCAGCGAGGAAGGAAGCAATGGATGTAAATGGGGGTCTCGCTTAGAACAGAGAAAAAGAGAACACAAAGTTAGCACACACAACTTGCTTGCTCCACATTCTTCCTATGCCTAATTGTATGCTGTCAAGCTGTCTTCGCGAGACGCTTTGGTCCCAAGTCTGACTAATGGCAAAATTTTGCCGCTTATTGAATGTTTGCTATTTCGTACTCCGTGACATCCGGAGAAAGTGCTTCTTTTGAGACTATCGAAGCTGAGATTCAGCTCTTATAAACCGACCGGCAAATATTTGCCATTAGTCGGACTCAGGACCAGAGCGCGAGATATAAATGCAACTATCTTCCCTCGAGGAATAAGTCAGTTCTCTAGCATCCGCATCACATTTTATCTTTCACATCTATCCTTAAACAAACATCAACCAGAGAGCCCTCTGCCACTCGTTCAATATGCAGTTCTTCACGATCGCTACTCTGTTCGCGGCTATGGCCATCGCTACCCCCATCGCCGAGACTGGCAAGGAATGCAAGGACTACAAGGGCTACGGCAGCGACTACAACAAGGGCTACGATGTCGACTACAACAAGGGCTACGGCGACGACTACAACAAGGGCTACGATGTCGACCGCAAGGACGACAGCGGTGATGGCTATGCCGCCCCCCACTACAAGCGAGGTGGCCCGGACTTCTTCAACGACTGGGACGACTGCTACAACTACTACTTTGACGAAGACTACTGCAACGACTACTTTGGCGGTGGATTCGGTGGTCGCGGATTTGGTGGTAGATTTGGCGGCCGTCGCGGTCGTGGATTTGGCGGCCATCGCCGTGGCGGTGGCAACCACCATATCGGTGGCGGTGGCAACCACCATATCGGTGGCGGTGGCAACCACCATATCGGTGGCGGTGGCAAGCACCACTAGAAGGCAGAGCTCGGCTGCATTGACTGCTTGTATTCTTTCGCATAGACGTCATTGTTGATGTCTGGGGTTATTAGTGTCTTGGGCCTCGCCCACTTATCATATGTATTCGGAAAATCAGAAGTGTGTCTCACCAAAAATAGCAATACTTCAATCGAAGCCCTTTTGTCAAACTGCCACTCACACCTCTACGACACACCTAAAGTATCCTTGTTTCTGTTGCCAAAAGGGGTAAGTAAAGCTGATGTAGCGGGTGTAAGCCATTACGGCCACATGAGGGGAAGCATCATTAACACTGCATGGACCTGAGCTACAGCTGTCAACTGGACAAGGGAGCATGAAACGAGTCGGCAAGGACATCTTGGTTGAATTCAGGGAGAAAATAAATAAATGGGTGCGGACTGGAACGGTCTCTTGTACATCAAGAAAATACTGTAGAAGCTGTTATCACGTTACAAGTGGTAACTTGCAACGTTGTGTGTGGCTGAACTCGCCACCGCTTGGTGTCGAGACAACCTTGCGCCGTGATAGCTGACACTTACTGTAGGTTTGAAGCGGCTGAAACTGATGATTGCCCGCCGCAGGCGAAAAGGAGACTCTAGGGTGTCACCCTAGGTTGAATTGCAGGTATCCGGCAGTCCTTCGGGTTGGATATTCAGTCGTTAAGTCCCTCGCCTTGGCAAGGCTGAAATGCAGTCTCAAAGCCATAGAGATATGGCTAGGGGCGTCCTGCCAAAGGTCCTAGTGCCCGCCCTTAGTGAGCTGCGAGGCCCGTTTCATGAATAAGCGGGCCGCCGAGAGAGACTGGTCGCGATGGAAATTAGCCATATCTTGCTTGGTCTGCCGCCGTCCCGAGCGACAGCCGCAGACTACGGCTATTGGAGAGGCTGGAGAGCCGCGGGGTTACGCATCCTCTTTGCCATAGGTATCTGCAGAGGCCAGATGCTTGGCATGACCTTATCTACTTCCAATTTCTCAGTTCTCACTAGGATCGACTTCTCACGACGGGCATGGCGCCCCTACCCGCAAACCAAGGACCGTATCTTTAGCTAATTATCTCGCTATGAGTCGCCATCAGGGCATGCCTGAGAGACAGGAACCTTTGGAGACAGTTGGAGATATGTAGAGGAGTTCTACAGAGTAGAATCGAGAACCATTGATAGTCTCAGCAGATAGCCATTTGAGCTGGCTGCCAAAGCCGCGTTAGCCATCCCGACTAGCTTTCTAATCCTTAGATATTAACCAGTCGCCCTTTCCGCGCCGTTTTAGGTTGATAGCTCTTCTACTATCTTCCGTAGGCTACTATCTACTGCTTGGGCTTCCCAAATCTTCGCAAACAATCCGCTATTCAAACTATAGACGAAAAGGACTCGATAATTGAGTAAAGGGTTGGCTATTTGTCTTTTACAAAGACATGAGACTTTGAAATCCCGTTTGCAACCGTCTGAGACTCGTTGCAATGGTCTTGTCGAGGACTTCAGGGTATCCCATCACGTACTGCGACCATCCACTGCCAGTCGGTCGTCTTGGCTTGTGAGCATGTTGTCGAATTCTCAGGTAGACCATCGCGTTGAACCCTGCATCCTTCAACCGCGCCTATTGAAATCTGGGTCTGCCAGCGAACCGTTTGATGGCACTCGGAGAGTACAGCTCATATACTGTCAGGCATATGGATCTGTTTAACCTTAGACTGTGACTGTCTCGACGTGGCTTCTAGTAATTCATCGTGCTCCTGACTGTCTGCGGATTGGCTCGTTTTTCGTCCGTGGCTTGGCGGCCAATTGCCTCACCCGACCTCACAACATCAACAAGCCCGTTCTAGACCTGTTTGTGTCTTGGAACCCTCTCGCCCTTTCCGTGACTTGGCCTATCGTGTCTCTCCATAGTGAAAGACTTGGCGCTGTCAGAATGGACGATGGCGAGATTGTGTTTTACCGCCAACGATATTCCTGCGTCGTCTTGCCAAGGATAGGGAAGCTTTTCAACTATTTGTGGCCGCGCGAGAATGAAGTGATGAAGCGTTTGTCGGCCCTGAGCACGGTAGTAGAATCTTGCTCTCATTCCACTAACAGGAGCTTCAATGGCGAGAGGAAAGGATCTTTTGTTCCGCACAGCCCAGAACGTAGTACTTCCTCCGCTTACTGTACTTACTGTACATATGCCGCTTGCAACCCCATGTCAAGCGGCTGAGGGCACCCCAGGGGCACACAGACAGGCCGACGGCCCGAAAAAGTAGCACGCTTAATTACATTGGGTTCTTCTTCCCGGCAAAATTTGAAGTGTTTGTACGTAAAGCTTCTAGTACTCCGTGCTAAGCACCTTGAGGATATTGGGCCGAGAGTGTTGAAAGGAGCCCGCATGGGAGGAAGTCAGGTTATGAGGAAAACAAAAGGTCTCGATCCATCTGATCTTGGTGGAATCGGCCGGTTAGAAGCGGGATTTGGACCGAGGTTTGCTCTTAACATAGCCTGCTGGCACACGTGCATGTTAGTGACACATACCGTAGCCATCGTGCATCCGCTCTTCGCGTACGGAGTGCTCACGGAGTGCTCCAAGAGCGACGACTGTACGATTCGGCGCAGAAGGACCGAGGGCCCGAGTGCAAGAGGCGAACGTCCGGTTGCTACACAGTACACACTGATGGGGCACCCCTGGAACGGTGTCTCGGCCGTAGACTTGCAGCTCGGCTGCACTCGGGCTTTGTTCCTGAAGAACATGAAAAAGAGTTAGTAACGATAACTGAGGTGGACCAGCTCTCCTGCAGCAGTCAGAAATCAGATTGCAGACGAGCATCTGACACGCCACGTCCCGGAAAGGGGCATGCTAGACGCCGGCTCGTCATTCCGGCGGGAAGCGGCCTTTCCATTCAGCCCCAGCTGTAACTACGGCCTGTGAGCCATCCCTCCAACGCCCTTCCTCCATTGGACTCGGGTGAATCAAGTGCGCAAACCCAAAATAAGCTTACCTCCTGTAGCGTGGTCGGGCAGTTTACCATTGGGAACGCCCGAGACTAGTGACGGGCTGCTTTGTGACTCTGGCTGGCGAGGGGCAGAGCTGAGCAGACGATTGGCTGCGCCGTCGCGCGATGCATGCCGTCTTATGCAGCCGCAGCTCGTGTCTCCGCAGCATCGGGTCTCCGCCGCGAGCACTACTGTGTTGACCGATCAGGAACCCTGGAGGGTGAGACCATGGCGTTGTCCAGCAACCAAGGTGGCCGAGGGTGGCTTCAGCTCGACGTATAAAGACGGCCGTGTAGCTCCAATATGCGCTGATGGCTGAAGGGACTGAGTTTAAATCAGACCTTAATTGCATCAACTTTCCGACTTCTTCCGCTTAGACGCTCCAGTTCGACTTCGAGAAAATGCTCAGCAGCAACGTCCTCGCCATCGCGGCCGTCGGCCTCGCCAGCTTCGTCGCCGCCGGGCCTGCCGCTCGCCCTTGCGGCTTGAGACCCGGAATCTGCATTCCCAAAAATGCCCCGTCTTGCGGTGGTTTCGCCGGCAGACCGTGCCCCAAGGGACTTCGCTGCTACGACGCGCCCAACGACGGATGTGATCCGAACAAGGGCGGCGCTGACTGTATCGGCGTCTGTCTGTGAGGATTGCAAGACACACTCCGCGGCAACGTATTCATCGACCCTGCGCTGGCGGCTGGAACAGGGACATAATGAAGCTCAACAGGGGGGGGGGGCCAATTTGTGGCGACACGTTGTTGAATAACGTTGCCATGTCTCTGATAGTTCAAGTTCTATGTCTGACGGCTGAAAATGGGGAGAAAAATCAGGGACAAAAGCTGTATACTTAATGGATTCCCGCCATGCTTCCATGTAGCCTCTCGTCACTCCTTACTAAAGCGATGCCGCTGCGTACGGGACGCCGAATGGCTCCAGCTTCAGACCCTCAATGTCAACATATCCGTACCTTGAGCCCTCTTTGTCCGCCGCCATGGTCTGGCCCCATTTCTGCATGGACGCTTCGAAGATCTTCTTGTGGTCTTCTCTGCTAAAGTCGAGTGGCTCCATTCCCTGGCCCACGGCACGGATTCTAAAGCGAGCCTCATCAGCCGTCACGTACAATCACGCGTACACGCAGCACCCCTGTCGGGTCAGACTCACTGTGTTCCGGCCACCACAGTCATCATGCCAAAGTTTTCCTCGTCAAACAGAGTCTCGATTGCGCTGTCGACCTTGCTGTCGAGCAACTTCTGGGCAAGGTCGAATTCGTTGCAGACCGGGCGGGCCAGTCCCACGCCCTGCACGGTGTCGAGGGCCCTGACCATGCCCTTGGTCGTCCTGAAGCCGCCAGTGACGTAGGCTTTTGTCTTTTTCAGCTCCGGAATCACGATGTCGGCAAACTCGAGGAAGAAGGCCTCGCGCTTCCGGGTCGACTCGCGCTGATGCTTCATGACAAATTCTTGGTAGGTGCCGCCGGACAGCTCCACAAAGTCAAATTCGTTCTTCTCCAGCTCCGCGCAGAGAGTCTTGCAATCCTCGGGGGTGAACCCGCCGCTTTGGAACTCGACGCTGTTGACCTTGATGCCTACGATGAACGACTTGTCGGCTACGCGTTCCCGGATGGCCTTGATGATCTCGATGATGATTCTGGACCGATTGAGGACCGAGCCGCCGTATTGATCCGTCCGCTTGTTGGTCGTAGGCGAGAGGAACTGGGACAACAAATAGCCGCTGGAACACTGTAAGCAAGAGTCTTGGCTTTGTCTTGTCTGGTGATGGGTGCCCACTTACTGGGCTGCGTGAAGCTCGACTCCATCAAATCCCGCCTTGTGCAGGTACTCGGCCGCATGAGCAAAGCCTTCGATAACATTTTCGAAGTCTTTCTTCTCCATCGGTCGCGGCTTGGCGAACTGCATTCCCATCATTTCTTTTTCCAGCCTCACATCGCTCGCTGAGATTGGGTTCTTTGGATTCGGTCCGTCACTTGGCGTCCAGGATGGCTGACTTGGGCCACCATGAGACTGCCGTGCTTCTTGGCAGCCGTCGCCAGGTCCTTGAAGGCGTCGAAACGCTCCCGGAAAGGGGCGTCGCGGGGACGATAGCATTGCCGGCAGCTTCAAGCTGGTCGTACTCGATCATGACGTTTCCCGTGAGGATGACGCCGTAGCCGCCCTCGCCCCATCTCCGATACACGTTGACGAGCTCCTTTGACGGAACGCCACGCTTTTCCAGTACTTTGGGATCCCACGATGACAGCCGCTCCGTCATTGCCGCCTTCATAAACCTGTTCTTGGCCGTCTTGCCGCTGATGTCGAACTTGAGCGGTTGTGCGAGCGGCGATGGGTCCGCCTTTTCGGCCGCGAATCTCTTGGGCGCCATGATGCTGGGCTTAATGGGGTTGCTGTAGTTTGCGCTTGACTTCTGCCGATGCGATGAGGCCTGCAGGCTACAAAGCAGGCGCCACGGCCAGTTCTATATACACGGTTTCCCCTAACGTGCTTTCAAATCAAGCTCTACGCCTTCTCTACAGTGAAGAGTAGCCGGCCGACGGACCCGGCAATCCGCCGTTGCATCCGGAAGCGTTGGATATGGCGTCATCAACAATGCGGCTTGGTGGATCTTAAATGGATGCAGCTGGCCTTTTAACGCCGTCGGAATTGGAGTCACCAATGATATTCTACGCTATCTGCGATACTTGTCTGTTCTGCGACTAGCTTTTGCGTGTTTTCTCAGGTTCTGACGGCATACAACTGCGGGTAAGAACCGCGACGGAGTTTGAGACAGGGGGGGCGTATCCATCTACTGCAAACACGCGGTTCGTGGAGAACATCGTCCTTTGCCGTCCGGAGGGCTTCTGCATCAACGGCTTGGGCAGCTGGAGAGTCTAGCTCTGAAGCTCCGCAGCTCCGTGAGGACGCGTTATGACACCCGCAATCTCCCAAAATTCCAGCTCTTCACCTCGCTCCCCAGCAATGCCAGCATCATGATCCCAGAATTTCCCGACTCTCGCGCTAGCTGACGAAATGTTTCTCCTTGGTGTCGTTGTTGTCGAAACCATGCATTGTGATGGCAACGTGACCATTCTCCGCCCTCACCACCAGGGCAAGATGGCCATTCGAATCAATGGCGACAGCAGCATCTCGGCTCCCGAATGAAAGCTGAAGCTGTGTCCTGTTTCAGCCCACTCCCCCTACAGCTCGCCCCGCCCCCTCCGGAGATCCCGAGCGGATCCCGCTTTGTGCGGAGCACGTCTTCTGCGGAGCCCCCTTGTTGCCCTCGGCGTGCTGCCTCGGCTATACCCATGTTATTTCCAAGCAAGTGTGGGAGTTCCGAAAGTTACTGACTAAACCGGTTCATCACCGACGACACGTCCATCAGAGTCCAACGGACATCCCCAAGAACAGACTCCACCTTTCGAAGATGGTGGTTCTGCTTAAGAATCAACAATGAGAGAGGCGGCAGTACAAATAGGGGCAAAAGCCGTCGCATCGGCATCGAATGTTTCAATCTGTTCTTGCACTCTACCTTGAGATCTCGAGAAGCTCCGCAGACATGACCAATTTCCGCATCACCGTAACATCCGACGTTGCGTGCCCTTGGTGCTACGTTGGACGCCGGCAACTCCAGCAGGCTCAGCAGCTTTGGTTCCAGAAGCATCCAGACAGTGGTGACACCTTTTCCGTTACGTATGCGCCCTACCAACTCAATCCGGGGTGGCCCCGGGGCCCAGGGTCAAGCATCGAGAAGCAGCAGTTCTACGATGAAAAATTCGGACCCGGGCGCATCGACATGATACATGAATCTCTCTCCAAGGTCGGCCATCAACTAGGCATCAACTTCAAGTACGGTGGCAGGACGGGCAACACAAGAGACTCACACCGGCTCATCCATCTGGCTAAGCAATATGGTCCCGAGGTCGAGCTCAAGACCATCGACGGGCTCTTTGCCGCTTATTTTGAGCATGAGAGGGACATCACCACGCACGAAACGTTGCAGGACATTGCGACTCAGGCCAGCATCCCCGTACAAGATTTCAAAGCGGCCATTGTCGAGAGTGACCAAGGCGGCGCCCAAGTCGACAAGGCCGTAGCGCAGGCCAGATCAGACGGCGTCAGCGGCGTTCCGGACTTTCAGATGCAGGACAGGTATAGACTGAGCGGCGCGAACGACCCGGCGACTTTTGTGCGCGTCTTTGAGAAGATCAAGGCACTCGGGTGAGAAGAGTTCAAGACAGGGAACTGAAGGCATTCTGCGAGTCCGCCACCGTTCTTGCTTCTAATTTTGTCGCCTGCAAGGTTGCCATGGAGGCACCGTGCATGGAGTGAGGCATCTCTGAAAGGCGAAGGGGTTAATTACGGCACGCACCACGAAATCATCTTGATGAACATCGCAGTGGAGCTAGCTCGCTTCTCAGCAAGAATCATGTATACGCCGGCGGCCAACCCATTGATTTCGGAGACATTTAACCCTCCTTCGGCTGCAAGTCGGCGACAGATACCCCGAGAAGCGTGAGACTCGGGCTCGATGCAAAATCTACACTACCGAACAGCCGGAGTAAAGACAAAGGGGGAAGTGTCAGGCTTGGGGGTTTAACCGAGCACTAGACTCTTAATAGCCCAGAAACCATAACGCCACATATAGAAACTGAATCCGTCAACCGCCTCACCGTTTGCAATGTTCTATGATGGTGTCTTTGTTTCACTGCTTGTTTCTCTATTGGCAAATCCCGCATTAGTGTTGCCCAGTGTGTGCACGATATAGCCTGGCAAAGGCCGAATCCCGGCTAAGCAGTCTCCCCGGCGTATCACACTCAATGAGCTCTCCGTTTTCCAGGACAGCCACTCTATCAAAGCGACGTATATATGTTAATCGATGGAGCACCGAGATCAGGGTCCGGCCTTGGAAATCTGAGTCCAAAATCTCCTGCATGATTGCTTCCGTCTTCTCGTCAACACTGTCAGTCTGAAAGTCAGCCCACCTCTGTTTCTCTCGTCTATCGTGTTGCGGGACCGTAAGGAGGACTTTCGTACCTGCCAGCAGCCTCATCCAGTATCAAAACTTTGCTGGGAACAAGCATGGCTCTCGCAAGGCAGAGCAATTGCCTCTCTCCATGCGACCACTCCGAAGCAGTCAGATCCCCGTCAAGGCCGCCGCTGGAATCAATCTTGGATAGTAATCCAACCCTATCGAGTACCGCCGTAATAGTCTCGTCGGCCGAACGATTGTGGGGATCGACGTTAAATCGCACCGTGCCTGGGAGGAAAAAAGGCTCCTGTGGTACTGTGTTTATGCTGGAGCGTACTCTCCGCCCATCAAGTGTAGAGACGTCCACTCCATCAATAGCAACATGGCCCCCTTCAAGTCTCACCATGAGGAGCGCGGCCATGATAAGGGATGACTTGCCGCTTCCAGACGTCCCGCAGATGGCAAGTCTCTCGCCTGCCTGTACCGTTAGGCTCAGATTCTTCAAAACAGGTGACGATCGACAGCTAGCACTGGTTAGCAGAGGCATATCCCGGACGAGAACATGAGAAAGACAAGGTACCTGTAGCTTGCAGTCAACTTGTGGAATTGAAGCTCTCCGCGGTTTGGCCAGTAGGTCGGCGGCGATGCGCCGTCCGGCTCTGCGGGCGTGACTCTCAGAAACTGCTGTACCCTAGCCACTGCCCCTATTGAGGTTTCTAGTTTCGTCCATGCTTGTACGCTCTGTGTCAACAGTGAATTAAACTGCAATATCAGCACCAGAGAAGCGCCCAGTCCTCCGGCGCTGATGTTCCCGTTCAAGGACATTGCCAGCGCAACGATGATGACGGCTAGCGCCCCGACAACGAGATCAAGCACCAGTGCAAGCCATTGCTGCACGCACAAGAGCATGTAATACGGCTTCTGAGACTGATTCAGAATTTCGCTGTTGTCGCGGCAAAACGCGCGCCCCCAGCGGAAGGCGCGGATGCTAGAGACGCCCTGAATAGTTTCGATGAAGAGCTTGTATAGAGGAGCCTTGGCTTCGATGTCTATGAGACGCACTTGTCGCGAAGTACGCAAGTAGTATCGTTGGATGACAACTAGCGCGCCGACCAGGGCGGGAATAGTAGCCGCAAGATACTTGCCCAGGATGCAGATGATGATGAGTTGTACGGCGCACGAAACGGCCCCTTCCGACGTCGTCAACCCACAGCCCCTTCCGTTACGTCGTCTTTACATACCTGTGGTAAACTGAATGGCCTGAGATGGCAGAGTCATGTCGATAAGGTCCATGTCTTGGCTGAATCGGTTTGCAATGACGCCGACGTCGGTCGCCTGGAAGAAGTGGAATGGTGCTCTGGAGACACTCGTGAGTCTCGGGTAGAAGCCCACAATGTTGCCCGGCTCACCTAAGAGTTGCTTCGAGAAGGTCAGAATGCAGTTTGAGGGCTGTGTTGTTGATGATTCGGATGAAGAACACCCTATGTGCAGTCGTCAGAACACCAGCTCTGCGTGATGGACCGGCGAGAAGGTAACATGCCAACATTCGCCCGCCGTCGCCGCTGTCGATACGCCAAACAGCATTGCATAAACACCAAGATATAGGCCGAGGTCTTGGTTGGGTCTCGCCTTGTTGTCCTCTGTCCATTTCTGGATCCACAATGCTGTACGATGCCATGAGCGGGTGATCACTATAACCCTGACCGTTAAGAGAACTTACGAGCATAGTTTGTGGCAACCGCCCCTATAATGGTAAATGAAGCCCAGAAAATCAATGGCACATTGCCTGCGCTTCTGCAATAGTACCCGTAGACCGACCAGCTTCCGCTTCGCCTGTTCAGGTTCAAGTCTGCTGAGCCGTTCTCAGGGGACAATGCTGGGGGAACACTCCTCTCTTGTTCCTCCTCGGACCGAGCGGGCGTCTCCATGTCGCTGTCTGTTTCTATGGAAGACAGGTCCGTTGAAATTTCAATTCGCTGGATGAGTGACGCGTTTCGCGATCGGACCTCTTCGAATGAACCAGAGTCGACAACGCGGCCCTCATTCAACACAATGATTGAATCCATTTGAGACAGAATGTGTCCTTGGGTTATGTGAGCAGAATTCTGGGAACAGGGAACGGTCGGCATACGATTGTGCGTTGCCAGAACGACGGCAATTCCTGCTTTCCTAAAGTAGCCGTCCGGATCAAAGAGCAGGGTGGAAACGGAGCGGGCTGTTCTAGCATCGAACCCGCTAGTAACATTATCCATGATCACCATTGGAAGCTTCGAGTATATCGCTCGAGCAAGAGCCTGGACACCGACCGCGTTGTCAGCTGCTGCAGGGAAAATGCGAATCAAAGAGGCACCAACCACTCTCTGGCGTTGCCCACCGCTCAATGAAGCTCCGTTGCTGCCGGCCTTCTTACGGTCCCCTTCTGGAAACCTCTCCAAGTCGTCTTGGAGGCAGCAAACACTGACAGAAAAGTCATACCACTTCTCGTCAAAAGCCAAGTTCCCAACGATGTTGTGCCGTATTGTCTGATCCATAATCCACGGAGTTTGGGGACAGAATGCAACTCCAGACAATACGTCGGTCATGAAGCCTTGCGTCAAGGTCGTCTCACCTAGAAGAGTTGCTAAAAGAGTAGACTTTCCTGATGCAACGGGGCCAACAATGGCAGTGAATCCGGATCGCACTGTCAAGTTTAGACCACGCAAGACCGGCTTGGACGGTCCTTGGAGCCACGAGACATCCGCTGTCGTAAAGGAGACGAGCTCCTTGCGCGACATTGGCTTTTGCGATACACTCACCAACTCTGTTGCTGATTGCGATGATCTCTCTGACAATACCGAAGCGCAGGATTCTTGTCCTCCGGAAGGCTGTTTTAGAAAATACGCCTCTATACGCCCGAAACAGGCCACAGCCTGCATGCACGTGGGCAAAGCCTGGCAGAAGAGAATGATGGGGTTTGTTGCAAGATTAATGAGTGAAAGCGACGCAAAAGCCTGGGCGGAGAGAAGTGTTTCGCTGCTGTTGACCTTGGCAATTATCGCATAAGTGAGAAATGTCGCGAACGGCGCCAGCACGGTCGGTACGTTTCCTACAGGGCGGCTTATCGGTGGTGCCCGCAATTGCGTCGTAATTCACTTAGACCACGTGACCACTTATTGCCCGCAAAACGCCGCCCGTGAAATCGTGTGCAGGACGCCTGATAAGTGCATTTGATAAGTTCCCACCCGACTTATCGGGTTTCCGGCCAACCGAGCCCAGACATTCGCCCCGTAGGAAGGTTGCCCGATCGACCGAGATGGCCGCGGACGACTCGTACACGGCAGCTGACGAGCGCGCCCGTGCCGCCCGGAGGGCGGGCATCCAGGCGAAGAAGGACGAACAGCCGGCGAACACGACGCGGAGTTACGCGGCGAAGCAGCGGGAGTGGAAGGCGCGTCCCCCGGCCGGTCCTCCACTTCGATCCCTGTCACGTACGGCCCCCTAGGCGGCTAACAGACAAATGCGTATAGGCCTGGTGCCATACGCCTCGGGCTGCAGCAGACGGCTCGCTCTATAGCTGGCCCGACGGCGAGCTCGTAACGCCGGACAAGCTGGCGGCGTGGCTCAAAGAGGATATCCTGTTACGACGCGTTGTGCCGCCGCAGAAGAAGCCGCGCGCGCGGGTAAGATTAGGGGCAACGGCAACGGCGAGGCCGTACAGGTACGGCAACAGCGCGAACAGGAGCAGCTCGAGGCCGCGGCCATGGCAGAGGCCGAAAGCCTGGCCGAAGCTTTGGAGGTCCCCCTGGCCGAGGCCGCCGAGCTGCTCGCTGACGACCGCGAGGGCTACGTGCCACCCACAGGCCTCGCGACGGCTGCAGTAGACCTTACCGAAGGGTCTTTGCTTACGAGGGCACTATCGACGCCTATATCGCGGCCGTTATCGAGCTATGGAGGCTCCAGGTGGCTCACGGCAACGCGAATACGGAGAATCCCGGGGCGCCGCCGTACGAGGATTCCTTGAGCAACGGGGCCGCCAGCGGGGAAGCACGACCGCGCCTCCTTTAAAGACCGCGGAAGCGACGGGATCCAGGCCGGCTACCTCACGATGAATGGCTTCGGATCCAGGATCTCCTTCTCACTGGCGCCGCGTATACGCCGCAAAACCTCCGTACGCGAGTCGACCTCCTCTTCGGCCACTACTACCTCTTACGGGGGGAGAACCGGCGCAAGATGGAGCTTGCAGACCTATCCCTACTCGACTATCCGCCTTCGGAGGGCCCGACCCCCTGTGGTTGCCTGGTAAGCCTTTTACGGGACGGCAAGCTAAATAAGACGGCGAGGAAGGAGTTTATGGGCGCGCTCCGGCACAAGGACCCCTTATTCTGTACGCAAGGGGCCCTAGCACAGCTCTTCTTTTGGCGCTGGCACGTCGCCGGCGAACCCCCCCCGTCCTTCCGGCGCCGTCAGGACTGGTATCGGATCAAGGTCCTCGTCGGGCGGGACCGCGAGCAGGAGCTCTCGTACCCGACACAGCTACAAGAGACCTGGCGTATCTTCGGCGCTGCCGGCCTTATCGCGTCGAAGAAGACGCACCTCCCGCGCAGGGTGGGCGCCCAGGACGCGGAGACCCATGGCACGTCGCTCGCCCAGATCTCGCAGGCCGGCCGCTGGAACCAGAGCGTGCTCTGCCAGGCATATCTTACGCACCTACCGCGGCAGTTCATGCGTATCGTCGCCGGCTTCTCGGCCTCCCGGGGACTACTTCCTCGCGCGTGCGGCTCACGAACCCCGTACGTCTTACAAAAGCAGCTGTGGCCGTGGATCGAGTGGGAACCCCGCTTTGAGCGCGCGCGCGCCGGCAATGCTGGGCAGAAGGCGGTCTCGACGACGACGACCTAGCCGCTGACGGCTTCCTTAAGCTTATGCGGCGCCTGCGTATAGTACTTCTGCAGGACCTGGCCGTCCTACAGCTCCGCTACCCGTCGCTAGCGTTCTTCGCCTACGCCCCTTTTGGCGGGCCCGAGTGGGACGAGTTCGCCGTCGCCGTGCGGTCCACCGCGGTAGGGGCTATGGAGCCGGTAAGCCTGCTCGTACGACGCGCGCTGCCGGAACTAAGCGGCGTCATAGAGAGCACGCGGGAGGCCCTGTTACAGAATAGTCAGCGGCTCGCCATCCGGCTTGAGGCCCGGCTGGACGGGATTCAGGGCGGCCTCGATGCCCTCCTCCAAGGCAAGGTCCCTATCACCTTTACCGGCTACTTCGGAGCCGGGTCAGCAGGCGCGTGGCCCCAGGCCCGGGCCCGGCCCCGTCAACAGTACCTACCTTGAATCTCAATACAGCTCCGGCCCGGCCCCGGCCCCGCCCCAGGGCCTCTGGTACCAGGCATGCCTATCGTCACAGCCCTGGCAAGGGTCTTTACGGTGGGGGACGTCTGGAAGGAGTGGGAGGAAGGGTTTGCAGGTCAGAAGGCCGTACGGGAGCTGGAAGAGACGTGGGAAGCCGCTGGCGCCCGGGAACGGGGTCAGAGTGCAGTTCTGTCGCCGGAAGGTGATCTGGGACGAGCTGTTGGCCCGTATGGCGTCCGGCAAATGCAAGGAGGCGGCCGTTGCAGAGCTAGAGCTGTTACGCGCCGGCCGAAGCTTGAACCGACTCGTCGACGAGCTCAAACAGCGCCGACGGCGGGGCCAGGATCGGGGCCAGGGCCAGGGCCAGATACGGGTACAGGTAGGGACCCCGTGCCCGATGACCCAGGTCCAGGCCGGGACCAGGTCCAACTCGAGGTCAGGGCCGTCGGGGCGGAGGACCCGGATGGGAAAGCGGACCGCCCTCGTCGACGTAAGCCAGCCGCCTCGTAGAGTCTTTATACATATTTATATCCATGTAACTAGACATATTTTTGAGGATCAAAGGGCCGTAGGATCAGTGCATTACTATCTCGCAGTTCCTGTAGCCGAGCCTAGCCCCCCCATTACCCATTCGCGGCGCTGCAACGCAAATATCTCGACGGACAGTAGCCTATACGGAGTGCTCCTCGACCAAACGCGCCGCCGGAGTGGATTAGTCCCCCAGGCCCCGGAATGGCCTCGATTGGGCTGCTGGCCGTGGAGATATTCGCGTGCGCGGCGCCGGGCACTTATCAGATGGTAGATATGTAATCGCATACGATTTCCCGAAATTACTCCGCAAATCGACCCCACGATAAGTCCTGCTTATTAGCAGCGCTTCCTGAACTTTGAAGTACTACTTGCGTCAGCCGCATACCAACGAGTATCTGCCATGTGAGAAGCGAGCGAAAGGTTTCCGACGTCTGCAGTTCGACTGTCCGCAACTGAGAAATGACTTTGCTCAACACTTCGGTCAGCCCCAGCATCTTGACAGCCTTTATGTCGCTGAGCATGCCAGCCGTGGCCGCAACTCGGGTCTGGACACGGTCTACCCATGCTTTCTGAGCGGGTCCAAAACTGCTGGCAATTCGCGAAGCCGCTGCTACAGATGCTATGGAGATGGTTAGCCACTGCTCTCGTCCAAACACGAAGACGTGAGGTCATTGTGGCCGTAGGCTCACCCAAGCAGACAACCAGTGGAACAACGGACGCCGCGGAGATTTGCCGAGCCAAGAGCCATATCGCAACGGCAACCTCGGGAATGGATGCCCAAATCTCATGGACCAGTCTCAAAGACACGGCTATTCTTTCCACATCTGTTCCCATGAGCGTCAATGCAGCCGAGTCTTGGACGTCGACGGCTTTGAGCGTGATGGTATGTCTGTAGATGCTAGAAATGAGACCAGCACGAATTGCAGTCGTCATGCGGTATGTTTGTCGCCAGTATAGCGCGCGCGAGACCTGCAGGCTCGTTAGGGCAGGGGATTCAACGCAAGGTCTTGCCAATACGTACGGCTATCCCGAGGTATGTGAGCAGGAAAGCTCCAACAAGAGCCTTTCTGAATCGAGAGTAGTCTTGGTCGGGGGTGGCATTGAGGTAAGAAACCGAGGATTCGATTAGGAACGGCTGGCAGAAGGTAAAGGCTGACAAAGCGAGCCGAGGCGGCACCGCGGCACCGAAGAACCACGAGTTGGCAAAGAAGGTGGCGCGTAGGAGGCGGTGCTTTCCCCGCGTGTTTCGCCATGCTTTTGTCAATCTTGTCCTCGTCGACTCTTCCTCAAGGTCGCGGCTGACTTTGGGGATGTCTTGCAGATCGAGGTCCTTGGAATAGCCGACGTTGAAGAATGGAAGAAGCCATACAAAGAAGCTCCGGTTCCAGAAGCTGGTGACTTGCTCGATGGCGGCGGATTTGTAGGACGGTTGGAGGAACCCAGTCTTTCGCGCGGACTCGAGAACGACGACCAAGGCCTCGACTATAGTTGCAGAAACGCACGTAGCTCTCGCTGCACTGCCAACATCAATCAACCATAGGGAGCGCAGCCGCGGCAGGGAAAGAATGGTTGCGGCTGAGAAGTAAAGTACAAGAAGGTCGGAAGGCCGGGGGGAGCGTTGGTCCTCGGCAAAGGATAAAAGACCAGCAACGAAGACGGAGACTGCAGCGAGGATGTCGGAAGCGAGGCCCAATCTGGAGTACAAGCCGGGGGTGCCGGCGCGAAGCGTGGCTAAGGCGATGTGAAGGCAGAAGAGGGCCGATAGGAAGCCCTGTGGAAGCACAGAATCAGTTGACCAGCGGCTGAGGCAGACGAGGCCACGAGACATACAAGCTTGCACAGCGCCAGACGAACTGACGTGGCCAAGACGGGGCGGCGGCAAAGAGACCAGAGCCGCCAGGGCAAGAGGATGAGGAAGACGGCAGCAGGGAGTGCAATGAAGAAGGCGTCCTGGAACAGCAAGGTGAAGTCGAAGGCGCGACAGGCGACATGGACTCGAGGGCCAAATTCGCTGTCGGCGCCTGAGGGACAGGCGGTGTCCATTGTGAGCGTCAGATGGGCCCAAAGGAGAGGGAAGGGGGAAGATAAAAAGATGAAGGCGAAGATAAGGCGAGGTAATAAGGATAGGGTGAGGTGAGACGGGAAGAGGAGGTGCTGTCTGCACTGTGCTGTGCCGGCGCCAAGCTGCCAAAGTCGGCCTAGCGCTACTAGCCGTCGAGCGTCTCCCCCGGACCAACATTCAACTCCCTCTCTCCAACTCCCTCCCATTCAATCGCCTCTTGTGCAGCAACTCTCTCGCTCCCACTCATGGCCAACGAACCCGCCAGACGACACTGAACATGTCGGCTTTATAGACTGGCTCACTCGCTGCACATGCATTTTGCCCAGCCCTTGTCTGGATAACACGCCCCTTCACCATGGCACCACGACAGGACGAAACGACTCCCTTGCTCCAGGCGCCGTCTACGCCCAATGGCGGTCCATGGAGAGCCATACTCTGCACGGCCTTGACATTCTTGCTCCTCAGCATCGGCAGTCACATCAGCCTCGCGCCGCAGACGGCCATCCTCCAAGACATCATCTGTCGCGACTATTACAATTCCGACAGCCTCGGCCCCGACAGGTGCAAGATTGACGCCGTGCAAAGCCAAGTCGCCGTCATCAACGGCTGGCGAGATGTCTTTGAGAGTCTTCCTGGTTCGCCACCTCTCCTCGTCTATAGCCCGCCTCCTGGCTAACTCGGGCCAGCCATGCTGCTCGCCGTTCCGTATGGCACTCTTGCCGATCGCATTGGACGCAAGTCTGTTCTTTTGCTCGCAATCGCCGGTTGCTTCATGAGCGATGTCTGGATCCGACTTGTCTGTAAGAGAGCTTGACAAGCCTGCTTGCTTGGCTTTCTCTCCATGCTAAAAGCTTCCCAGTCTGGTTTCCCTCCTTCTTCCCGGTCCGAGCTGTTTGGTTCGCAGGCCTGTGGCAGATTATTGGTGCCGGCGCAGCTACCTTGTCGTCCGTCACCTTCGTAATCGTCGCCGATCTGTGTCCTTCAGACCAAAGGTATGCCCTGGCGGATTTCCCAAGCTCTCAAGTCTCATCAGCCAACCCATCTAGAACGACCGCTTTTTCGCACATTCAATCAGCGAGCTTGCTTTCACAGTTTCTATTCACTCCAGTCGGAGCCGTCTTAATGGTGCAAAGTCCCTGGATTCCCATGTTCATATCCTCAGCTTTCATGCTCGTGGGGTTTGGCGTTGCTGTCTTCTTCGTACCCGAGACGCTCAATCTCCAATCGCTACAAGACGACACAGGCGGCGGCCAAGGCGGTGAAGCATTGCCGAAAATGAGCTCACATCATCCCATGCTCAAATGTTGGGATAGAGCGAGGGCACTGGGGCGATGGATGGCACAAAATGCAAGAGTTGTCGTCGTCTTGTCCTGCTTCTACGCCTTTCACCTGGGTGAGCAGTCGGGCGGCCCTCTTCTCCTCCAGTATGCTTCGAAAAGACTGGGGTGGTCCCTTGGTGAGGTATGTTCCCCATGCAGCACTTACAAGCAGCTGCCCCCGGCTCATACTCGCTCCCAGGCTTCATACCTCTTGTCCCTTCGCGCTGGCATCAATCTCCTCGTCCTCATCTTTCTGATCCCTGCCCTATCGAGTGTCTTGTTACGACGCTTCAGAATGCGGGAAATCGCAAAGGACACACTCTTGGCGCAATCCAGCAGCGTCTTACTGGCTCTTGGCTCCGGCACCATATTCCTGGCCAAATCGTGGCAGCCTCTACTCGCTGGACAGCTCCTCTTCTCCCTCGGATATGCCTTTGCCGTTCCAGCGCGAAGCGTGGTGACCAGCATGGTCGAGCCAAGGCAGCTGGGCACCGTGTACACGTCAATCGCGGTTCTCACTTATGCTGGGCTGCTCACAGGGGGGCCATTACTAGCGAGATGCTTCAAGTGGGGGCTGAGTATGGGAGAGGCATGGCTAGGGATGCCGTTCCTTATCGCCTGTGGCTTCTTTCTGCTCTCACTAGCTGCTGTATCGCTCGCTGCGAGACAGAAGCACGATGGCTTGTCAAACGACGCAGAAGTTGGCGACGACGGGCCGCAGGATGGACAAGGAAGCGAAGGCAGGCAATAGCTTCATATTTTCTGCGCACGCAGCTATTCTAAGTTATTCCTTCGCCCCAAAGCGAGCCACCCAAACGTCCATGTTCCTTACCGACTCGAGTCTGCCGTCGAGGCGATCGACACTGGCCTTGACAGCATAAGTCATGCTCTGCAGCATCGTCTTGACCTTGTCACCCGCCTGTACACTCTCCATGTCCGCCTTGAACAACCTTGACTTGAGAATCATATTGACCTCACGAAACGCGTCCAGCTGCTTCTCTCCCGGTGTCACCGTTTCCTCGTGGCTCAAGGCCCATCCTACCTCCTCGGCCGCCTCGATCATCCGGAGCGGCGTCAGCGCGCACCGAATATTCCGCTTCGAGTCCTCGCCACGGAAGCTCTCTACGGCGTTGGCGGCCAAGGAAGCTAGCACGTGTGGCACTGCGCTTGGATGAGATGTCGAGAGGCTATATTCTGCAATAAGGACGTTGGCGACGCAAGGGCGTGCTTTGGAGAGCATGGTGGGAAGAAAGCTCGGCTGTGAAAAGTACCAGATGGAATGGCAGAAGACGATGAAGTCAAACGACTTGGTCGCCGTGGTAGGAGCATCGAGGAAGTCTATTGGATCGGCTTGCACGAATTGGATTCTGGAGCCGAGCGGTGAACGAAGAACAAAGCCCTGGGCCGTTCTGTAGTCGGGCGTCCCTGCGATCCGCCTTTTGGTCAGCACAGAGGCCCTCTTCACTTTCGACGTCTCAGTCAATCGTGGGTTTCCTCGTACCCCAATCCAGAGGAGCCGGGTCAACAGCCACGACTTGCCCAGTAGGCCCGACAGCATCGGCGAGGCAGACTGTGAAGTCGCCCTGTCCGGGGCCTACCTCGAGGACCTTGGAGCCTTGCGGGATCTTCCATGACTTGATGAGCCGCTGTCGGTGCTCAATGGCAGCGAGGTTATGCTCAGGCTCGTCCTGGTCGAGGAGGCAGGCAATAACCTCTTGGGGAGTCATGACGAATACCCTATTCACGATCAGGGCGTTCCCAAATGTCAGCCAGCTCTCGGTGGCAGGAGCTTTCGAATCGAGCGAGAAAGATCGACACACAGAATTGTTGCTCCGTGCCTTGATCCTCCAGTCCCCGCCCTCTTCTTCAGGCCGGCCGCTTTGTGCCACGTTTCACGCGAATGATGCAATTATCGCAACCTGATTCGAAGCCCCCGCCCGAATGGAGCACAAGTGCCTCAATGTTGGTCATGATGGACCTTTGATCGTGGCTCCAGTCTCCTCAAGCCAACATGGATGACACATGGACCTGGTCACGGGTGTCATGCCGTGGCGTTTGCATTGCGTCTGGTTGCAGCGACGCAGAATCCTTTGCTGCAACCCTTCAGCGTAAGCTCGGACGAAACGCGGCACTCTGGTACGGCATGTCGTCTAACTGCGCCGTCCTGCATGTCAGCACGACGCGCGGTTGCCACCGACACACTGAGACCACATCGAAGCACACCCGAACCATCAGTGTAGCACTGCCCTGCTACTGGCTCGCTTCTGACCGTCGGGTAACTATGCAGAACCTGTTGTAACTCAAGTCGAAAGGTGAGCAGACCGTTCATCCGTCAACTGGGGGCAATGTTCCCCGATCCAGGCACCTGGGTGGAGCGCCGCCATATCACTGTGTCGCTGGCAGAGGCATTCACAACTGCTTCATCCACTCCGGTCATTCACTTTAGTTGATCCGTTTCATGATGGCCAGGTATACCAGTCTCAACGACTCGGTCTGGAAGGAGCGAGCATCTTCAGAACACGAAGATGCTGATGAAGAAGGACTCCTCGAGAATAATGGTGTTCCGTCGAGGCACTCAAGAAAATCCTGGTTCAGCCATCACAGGCGGACAATTCTCATCCACCTCGCCTTTCTGTGCGCCAATGCGTTTGTACTCATGGCGTACGCATCTGGATGGCTGTCCCTGAGATATCTTCCCGATCCTCACTACTTGAGTAAGTTGCGCGACTCGCAGTTTGGACATACTTTACTGAAAAGCTGCCACTCAGCTCCGTTCAGAAACGTGATATCCTACGAGCAGCGCGAGTTTGAGCTGCTCGCCATCTACCTCAGCAACGGCACGCTCAACCCCCACAAGTCAAACGCGTTCAGCGGCCCGCCACGCAAGGAGCTGGAAAATGAGTGGGATCATCTCATGAAACGTAGGAGACCAAGATCGTTTGACCTATGCAAATGCTTTGGACTCATTGGGTTCTGCAGATGAAAGCGTTCGTGTCCAGAAGAGCGAGCTGGGCCCGTTTGAGGACGACGACAGCGTCGTCGAGCTGGCTGATGGGAGCGGCTACTATACCACGGTGGCGGCTTTCCACGGCCTGCATTGCGTCCAGAGATTACACCACTACCTCTACCTTGATCATTACTATCCAGATCTCTCTGAGAAGGAAGTGTTCCTTCTGAAGCGGCACACGGGTACCTTGTCGAGCATTCCGAAAGAATGGACAGGTTTCTAATCGACTTCCAGAACACTGCCTTGACTGGCTCCGGCAATACGTTCAGTGCAACGCTGACACGACTCTCATCCCAATCCACTGGTCTACAGAGTGAGTACATCCATATCTTCCCCGATACGTGTACAGAGCAGGCGGCCTGTTGACGAAATGTCCCAGTTCGCCAGGGCCGGTGGCTCAGGACTCTGGCAAACACCAGTGCGTTGTTTGGGAGGGCGTATACAACTGGATGGCAGAGCGCTCCTTCAGTCCGTTTGAGCCGGGCGTGCTGGTTCACCCGATCTTCGGTGATCCGTATGCCAACGACAACTCGACGGGTCACGGGAAGAACCTAGGAGCCACACCACTTGGGAAGGGCGGATTGTTGCACGGCGGGCATGGGCACCACGGATAGGTAGCTAGATCATCATCGTAGGCGCAGATTCAGCGGGCTTCGGAGGCTGTGTAATCCAACTATCTTTGAACACATAGAGCCCAATCGTCTTGTTTTGGCATTCCGTGATATGACTGACCCGGCAGAAGCATATCGTGATGGGCCGACAGGGGCCAGGCTGTAACCGTCCCACGCGGCGATTGCGGAAAGTGCCGCTACTGCGGTCATGCATGCCCGTATCTTGTCGCATCTCTCTTTCGATCCTTTGTACTTTGGTGTATCCTGTACAGGGCGGACCTGCCGTCAGCTCCTGAAGAAGCAGGGCAAGTCTCTCACGGAGGGTGACGCCTCCCTTGGACTACTGCTATATGCGCTGGATGCAGGATCAAAGACAAATGTTCCTTGTGATCTATCCCAGCCGTCTCGTACAGGAAGGTGGTAAGACTTTCTTTCAAGTAAGATCTGACATCTTGAACGGAAGAATTGGACAAGACGGCAGCAAGCTTGCCATTCCGAGCCTGGCCAACGCGATATCGGAGTCTGTTCAAGGCTTCAATCCCAAGGCCGACGACAGGACATCGAGATACTGACGTTCACTTTCTTCCATCGTCAATTCTGTTTCGGGAGGACGCCTTGGTTTTGACTCAATATGGCCTCGTCTTCACAACCGTTCCTCACACCCGAGGACAGAATAGAGAGCAACATGGACACGCCAGATGACGAGCCCAAGACCTCTCGCAAGCATGCCAAGAGCCGCAAGACTCGGCGACTCTACACAACTACTCAGGTCACGGTTTACTTCTTGGCCGCCTGGGGTTTCGTATCCCTCTGCCTTGAAGCCGCTCAGCGTATCCTCACAGAGCCGCCCCTCGCCGCAAAGCCCGATCCATACCACCCGGAGACGCTCGCGTTGGACCTCAATATCTGCGACTGCGGCACCACCATCGCCGAGGCTCTCTCACGGGACTGCATTTACGACACAATGGCCACGGCCTGGCTCCCGCCCTACTGCCGCGACGAAGAGCTCACGGCCGAGTTCGACCGCGCCGGTCCCGGCCCGGAAGGCGCATGGTCGTACTTTGCCGACGCAAACGGCACCATTCCCCTGAATAAGACGCAGATGGGTGAGTTGGGCGAGACTGGGGGTACATTCTGGGCGTCGCGGAACTGGCACATTGCACACTGCGTGTTTTACTGGCAGAAGTACTGGCGGATTCGCAAGACGGGTCGGGTCATGGAGAAGCGGTTCGACACGCTGGCGCATGTGAAGCACTGCTCGCGACTGATACTGAATCCAATGCCGGATCATTTTTTCCTGCTCGAGGTGCCCGTCACCATGAATTCGAGCAAGGAGATAGCGGCCTAGGTAGACTCCGTAGACATCATGACATTTTGCGATCACAGTCAACTGTCACGGCAGTCATAGCTTCAACCAACTCCTCGTCCTAAACTCACGCTTCTCAAAGGGGCTCTTCGGTAGCCTGAGCCGATTGGCCTGGCAACAAGCTACCTGCATGTTCGGACTTACACCGTTGTCTGACGTTAGAGCTAAGCCGCAATGGCATTTGCGTCAGCGAAGCAAAACTGCATGAGCAAGACTAATGCATCTCGCTCCGACTCCGGGCTTAGACTTCTCCTTTGAGCTCGACCAGAGAATCGTTGATTCGATCAAGGTTAGATCGGCAACGGGTCCTTTGTGGCCCAGAAGCCGGCTTCCCCTCACATGCTTACTTGCAGAGCCTCGGTATTGGGGTGATCTGCATGGTGTGAACTGTGGCCTTGGGCCGCTCGGCAGCTGGAACTAATGCATGTCAGACCAAGTGGCATCTAGCTATCCCATCACCGGGCTTTCTGCTGACGCGGGGAAATTCCACTTTTCCACCACCGCTCTTGATGCCAACTACCAAGTGAGGAGGTGAAACAAGCCTTGACCTTGTAGCCCAGGCACGTAGGGTTGTATCAAGGCGGATGACTCTCAGCTCGCAAACTATGGCTTCAATTGGTCGAGAACACACCGCGTTTCTTGGTACACGACGTACTTTTAAGGGTACACGACGTACTTTTAAGCTTTGCGTAAGATTTGTTTACATCGAACAAAGGTACCCGAAGACAAGTTAACACACAGAGATGAGTATCGCCCGCCAAGTTGCCAAATCAGCTGATACGCAACGCTCTTGAAGCTCGAGGAGAACATGCCAGGATATCACCTGCTAGCGAAAGGAAGAAAATCACGAATTCGATCTACTATGTTTGTTAGCATAGTGGTTGAATGGGTGTTTGATAAACCACATTACGGACCTCGGCCCTGAGCGCTGGTGAGACGATGTCTTTCTTCAATCACAGTGTAACAAAGAGGCACAGCCCTTTCACTGATGTAACGGTATGCTTCGGGAGATGCCAGAAAAGATGAGGGGAAAGTCGCATCAACCCCGTATTTCTCTGCCACAGAAGCAAGGGCCCCATGATCACGATGCCCAAGTCTTGAGTACTTTCAAGGTACAGAGCACTTCCCAGCGCACTCGACCCGAGACTTGCGGCTCTGTGATACCCGAGCACTCGGAAGTTAACTCGGATAAGCGGCGGACACGATTTCAAAGCCTCATCAGGGTTGAACGGACAATCAAGCAGGCATGACGCTCGCGTACTCGTCTCGCCGAGTGCCACCCTGCATACACCGAACTAGCTCCCACCAATCGACACGAAGCCGAGCCATGCTGCAGGATCATCTTGGTCCAGGTCCGAGCATGTATGGCTGCTTCCGGGGGGAGGTGCGTCTGATACTGGTAACGCGGAGTATTCAGTTGCGGGTGTAAGATGAGGACCGCCATGACCAAGACATGTAACCAACCAGCAGCAGCTCTTGGATCCTTCCAATGCTGGTGTGAGACGCAGAGAAAGTTAATCAGATATAGAGGTCGGTGTATGAGCGGATGGCCGTATAAAGAACGTGGCTCCCATGCTTCCCAGACATTCAGCGCCAAGTCAAGAGGATAAAACACGACCTATCCAATTTCATTTCTCGTTAAAAATCGGCCCAAGTTATCTATCCACCCACTTTCATTAACTGTACACCCAAAAAGTGGATTAACTGTGGCTGACGGCCGAAGAGGGCCGATACCGCCAATTTGTATGCACACATTCTCTACGATAAGTAGAGCCAGGTAGTAACAGTTCTCCTTCAACGATAAGGCACCCAAAATTGAAGCTATTCGTACTGCGCTTTCTATGCTGATGAGACTATTCTTTGGTGTTTACAACAGGCCTCCTTCTTCGAGTGCACTACGTGCCTGATCCGCTTCATCTAACTGTGATTCCAATTGATCCCATACATCCTCAAGGGCGGCATCGTCCGTGAGGCCGGCGACGAAGATGCAGTCTTGGGTCTCCCGCCGTACCGGCTGATCGTCATCATCAGAGACTGGCGTTTGACGCCCGGCTTGTTGATACGCCCGTTGCATCCGTGTGCCTGCCTCGTACGTATCGCCGTTTTCCTCGATGTGCCGCAGCCCTCGTTCCGTTGAAGTCATCGCGGCCGTTACCGTACCCGTCATCGCCGCTGGTGCCGTTGAGGAGGAGGCAGTCGTATAGCCTCAGCCCGCTCATGCCGTTCAGCGATCTCGTGATGTGACGGATCCCGCCGCGTTGATCTTGACCGCCGTGACTCTTCGAGGTTGAGTGAGCCCTTGGGGCGGCCCTTAGCCCTGATAACTTGTGGCTCGTATGGTGCCCGAGTAGGGCTTGTGCCCTGAGCGCTTGTATCGATCGGAATATACCAAAATGGGTCGAAGTCGTCGAGTGTAAGGGAGGTATTGGTGTTGATAGACTCGAAGATTCGATGGCAGCACGGTAGCCCTCGACTAGTAGCCCAATTACAAGGACATTGACCTGGCGGCGGTTTGGCCCGTTGACTTCGGGGTCTAGAGGATCTTGCGATGCTCATCTATTAGTAGCTTTAACGCATATGACGATACTCGCTCGCGGATCGGCATATACGGCGCCTGTAGGAGAACGTTGATATCTTGTGGAGGTTTCGATTCTCTATCGCTGTGATCTGAGCAGCCTGATGGCCCCAGAAGCGTTCGAATCGTTGGAAAACGGTCGTCAAATCGCCCGTACAGGACCAAAGGAACTTCTTCATATGAGTGAAGTCCTCGACGATCGAGGTCGTTGTACGCCCGAAGTGGCGATATTGATTAACGAAACAAGATACAAACTTCTCCTTCCAAGGCGTTAGCCACGTATTGCAACAGTATTGTATAGCTGCAAGCGGGTGGCGGCCTGGTGTCTCAAATTGGCGTAAACGTTCGTTGAAGCTATTCACATCTTGTGACTTGACGATCTCGTTCCACTCTTGTAGAAACGCTTGGAATGCCGGGGCCCGTACGACTCGATTGCCGATTTTTGATGCCTTAGGAAAAATTGCTTGCATTTCGCAACGACATTCTGGTTAATATGCCACGTGCAGAGAAGGTTAGTACTGTTTTGAAGCTCGCGAAAGCTATCTAACGCCTTAAGCAACGCAGTATCTCGGTCCGTGACAGTGACCCTTGGAAATGGGATCGACTCCTTCTCGCAAAGGACTAGCAGCAACGAGATAGCCCAATAGTAATGGGACTCGGTCTCGCCGTTCAAGAAGATAGAGGCAATAGAGAACGTTTTGTTATCTCGAGTGGCCGCGCAGATATTCAATAACGGCATATTGAATCGGTTCGTCTTGTAGGTACAGTCGAGGACGAGGACATCGTGATGCTGACGCCATCGATGGAAGGTAGCACGAGGCGCGAGAAATAGCCCAGTTAGCCGGCCCTGGGGATCACGACTATCTCGATGAAAGAAGTCGGACTTATCTAGCCGGTCGTAGAGAAACTGAAGAGGCGTACGGCCAGCTAGTTCTTCCTGACGGTGCCTAGCCAAGGCGTTACTCACGTCTTGAGCCGTGATACCGGCTAAACGAGGATCGTCGTGAACCAGGTCACGAAGCTCGCCAGCAATATCGGTCGGCCGGGTATTGTTATTAAACTTCCGGATAATGTCGTCGCGATACTTCTGGATAACAAGCGCCCGGTACTTCGGAAAGACCATCGGGTCATCAACAAGGCGATGATTGTGAACATCGTGAAGATAAGAGATAGTCCAGTAACCGCGTTTTTCCTTCAACGAGAGGCGAAATTCACAGTCTGTTTTCTGGGTTGCTGTATTGAGGCGACGACGAGAGATATGAGCAGCTTTATCCTTCCGATTTTCGTAGGGGCCGGCCTTGATACAACGAACAAGTGCAGACTTGCGTTGGCCAGCGTTATCCGCTTCGATGTTCGAATGTGTAGGGCGTAGCCTCAGCCTCAACAACGGTATCGGCGGCTTCCATCGCGGCCTGGAAGGTCGGGAATAGTGTCTTCGTAAGCGACTCCATGATTCGGGCTCGTAAGGGCAGAAAACGCGGTGCGAATAGCTTCAGTTTTGATGGTATTGCTGATAGTTACGGTTACAGGATGTTGTTACGCAAGCATCACGAACTGGCCAGCTGGCCGGCCGGGAATGGGCGCACCAAAATTAGCGGCATCGGCACTGCGCCTGACCCAGCCACAGTTGATCCACTTTTTGGTGTACAGTTAATAAAAGGAGGTGTATAGATAATTGGGCCCTAAAAATCCCTACTGCGCAAAATGTACGCCCAAAAGATCACTGTTGCCGTGGCGCTGCTCGCCCTCGGAGCAAACGCTCTTCCTACCAGTGGTAAGAATGTCACCCGTTCCCAACCATGCTCACATTTTCGGGGTACATATTCTGACAGAGTATTAGCCGACGAGGCTTGGACCAACGCTCTCAAAGAGAGAAGCACCAGCGACGAGGCATGGACCAATGCTCTGAAGGAGAGGAGCACCAGCGACGAGGCATGGACCAACGCCCTCAAAGAGAGGAGCACCAGTGATGAGGCCTGGACCAATGCCTTGAAGGAGAAGCGCGGTTCCGCCGACGAGGCATGGACTAATGCCCTGAAGGAGAAGCGCAGCTCCGCCGACGAGGCATGGACCAACGCCCTGAAGGAGAAGCGCGGCTCAGCGGATGAGGCATGGACTAATGCCCTGAAGGAGAAGCGCGGCTCCGCCGACGAGGCATGGACCAACGCCCTCAAAGAGAGGAGCACCAGTGATGAGGCCTGGACCAATGCCTTGAAGGAGAAGCGCGGTTCCGCCGACGAGGCATGGACTAACGCCCTGAAGGAGAAGCGCGGCTCTGCCGACGAGGCATGGACTAACGCCCTGAAGGAGAAGCGCGGCTCTGCCGACGAGGCATGGACTAACGCCCTGAAGGAGAAGCGCGGCTCCGCCGACGAGGCATGGACCAACGCCCTGAAGGAGAAGCGCGGCTCCGCCGACGAGGCATGGACCAACGCCCTGAAGGAGAAGCGCGGCTCTGCCGACGAGGCCTGGACCAATGCCCTCAAAGAGTAACGAAACACCAGTAACGAGGCAGGATCAGTGCTCTCGCGTTTGATTAAGGGGAATTAGCAAACAGGCATCAACCCGCCCGTGGCAGTGGCAGTTTAGTCTTAGCTTCTTTGCCCCTGTCCGTGTCAGTTTGGAGTCTCAGCGGTACCCACAACCTTGTACGGTTTTTCGGAGTGGCTGCTCATGGCTTTCGTCTTCGTTTGATCTGAATATGGTAAAACGACCTGGTCAGTAGTTGAGCTTGCGGAATATGATACTTGTTTAGCTCGTTTCTACTTTTGCAATCAATCATTTCCAACGTGGGCTTCAAAGAAGAATCGTAGTGTCTTGTAAGCTCGTTCGTCCAATCTAGTTCTCTATTAAGTGCATTAGGATGACTATGTATCGACCGCCAGGTCACATCCCAGCGACATCCCTTGTTTGGTTCCACTATCGAAGACATACAGTCGCTAAAACCATGGTTCAGTGAAGGTTCTGTGACGCTTCGGGCCCTCTGTTGGAACAGCCAGACTGGGAATTTGGCCGGGCGAAATAATACACCCTGGACTTCTCTCCACAAGGGAGTCCGCCAGTCAGACCATCTCACGCATGTACTTAAAGCCCTAGAAGGGTCCAGATCATCTGATCGCAGGTACCTCATATTTTATTACCAGTTCGAACCGTTGTTTTCCCCCTTGGGCTTGCTCTGCCTGCGCAGACACAGAGGCTCGAGATCGTGAGGCGATTTGCAGCCCGATGCATCAGAGAGGAGTAAGGCTCATATCGCTCTTTGCTTCTCGATGATCAGATGTAATTTAATCAGTGGAAAAGATGACTAACTTAGCTGCCCTTGACCGTGTGCTGCGCGTGCCTTGGGTGCGTGCCCTCTCCCCTGTCAAAGGAAGCACGCCGCTTCGAGAACAGATGTCAGTGAATCGATCAATCAATTAAATCAGATATGGTCCGAAAGCTATCAGTTCAGATCAGATCTAGGGGCCAGATATGATCAGATTGATCTGGCGGCAGCACTGCTTTGGTTGACTAAGTCTGCGAGGGGGGGGTGCATTTTTGATTGAGTATTTGATTCTATCCAACGGGCGCTCAGCTCTTGGCGTCAGCTCCGCCGGAGAATATATGGCTAGGCCTGGAACGTAAAAGTCCCCGGTCGGAGTCAGGTTGGACTGACCCCGGGACGAAGATAGTCAATGAGTCACTACCAGCCATGCAGCTTAGGGAGACAGGAATGCTGCTTCCCCGCTTACACATTCGATCGTTTGGCGGTTAGCGTATAGGCGTGAGCGAACTTGCCTCATATAAGTATATATGCTTAATGTGAGCAATACCAAGCGCCAGCCATTGCTTAGAATCGGAATCTAGTCTGTAAAACGGTTCACCTGTCTACACTCGAGGATTGGACATGTCTCGGATGTTGTGGCCGTCGACCATGCGTGAACATCAAACGGCCGAGCAATTCTCCCTTTCAGAACTTCATCAAGCCCGCCGAATACAGCAAGATAGAAGAAAGTTGATTCTCAAGTTGCAAACCCGAGTTGATACTGAAAGAGGCGGCGTTGAGAATACCATTACGACTCGCGTCATTCCCGCCGTCGAGTTCAACTGAACTCTCTATCGTACCCCGTAGCGATTCGGACTCTGAGACAAAGAGCTAGCCAGTCACCCCCAAGAATGCCCGAGCTGGCCCATGGCCAAAGAGACGAGGTCACCTTTCTCCCTTGCTTGTTGAGCAAGAGATTAAGATATAGGAGGGTCGAGGGCAGTGCAATATACCCAAACGATTAAGCATGCATAAAGTGACTGGCTCTTTCGCCGACCGAACCAATTGCTTGTCGCCCAAAGCAGCGTGCTTCGTCGAGGAAGATGTATCTTCTGCCTTCTTTGCTCTTTCTTTCGTTCCTGAAAACATGCAGCTCAGGTTCTGTTCACGGTGGTAAACAGCAGCCTTATGAATCCAAGCAGCCTTATGAATCCAGCCCATGGGCCTGGTCGACAAAACCCGGTCCATCGGACCACCCGGCAGGATCCAGGCCATCGGCTTACTCGCCAAGACCCAACCCATCGGCTTACTCGACAAGACCCAGTCCATCGGCCCACTCGACGGGATACAACCCATCGGCTTACTCGACAAGATCCAGTCCACCGGCCTACTCGACGGACTCTGCGCATTCTCGCGACGAGGGATATGACGAGGAACGGCTTGGCATACTTCAAGGGCACCCCAAACACGACAAAATCTTCGACTATATTGTCGTTGGAGGCGGAACGGCTGGCAACGCAATTGGTGTAAGGCTAGCCGAAGCCGGGTTCCACGTTGCAATTGTTGAGGCCGGCTCTCTCTACGAAGATAAGGACCATGGCATACACACCATTCCTGGCCAAGATATTGTCGGCGTTGGATCGCAAGCAGACGATGTCGTTGAATCCGACGTCGATTGGAAGTTCCACACAGTGCCTCAACCCGGTGCAAATAACCGCAAAATGCATTTTGCTCGAGGCAGATGTCTGGGGGGCTCTTCAGCCCTGAACTTCATGATCTATCATCGGGGCACCAGAGGCACTTATGATAGGTGGGCGGACGACGTTGGAGACGATTCTTACAGGTAGGCTTCTGACACTACGTAGATATTGGCAATATCGTCTCCATGCATGGGGCTAACAACGTCGGAAAACAGGATCGACAACTTCCTCCCGTTCTTCAAGAAGAGTGTCAGCGCCACGGCCCCTGATACGAATAAGCGCAAGGCCAACGCTTCTACATCTACACATTTCGACGCCCATGACTTTGCGCCACTCGGTCAAGGGGGCCCCGTTCAAGTCAGCTACCCACACTGGGTCTCGTCCTGGTCTACCTGGCTAGAGCAAGGGCTTCGGTCCGTTGGTTTGAAGAGAACAGATGGTTACAATCACGGTAACCTCATAGGCTACCACTATACGACGGCAACTATCAACCCGAAAGACGCAACAAGAAGCTCATCAGCTCAATACGTCTATTGGGCCAAGAAGAAACAGCTCCGGAATCTCAAAGTCTTCCTACGCACTCATGCAACAAAAGTCCTGTTTAAGCAAAAAAAGGCTGTAGGAGTGACAGTTGACCACTACGGCCAGACTTATCATCTGACAGCTAGGAAGGAGGTCATCCTGAGCGCCGGTGCATTCCAGTCGCCCCAGCTTCTCATGGTTTCCGGGATTGGGCCTGTTGAAACCTTGCGCAAGTTCGACATCCCGACTATCGTTGCTCTTCCTGGAGTCGGGCAGAACATGTGGGACCATATTTTCTACGGCCCAGCTTATGAAGTAAACTTTCCTACGTTAAACGAACTCCTTAGCGACCCTAAGGCGGCAAAGTTTGCTGAGGAACAATATAGCCACCACCAGGCTGGACCACTTACCTCCAACATTATCGAGTTCCTCGGTTGGGAGAAGCTTCCGCGAAAATATCGGTACAACTTTTCGTCTCAAACAAGAAAGGACTTGGCCCAGTTTCCAGACGATTGGCCAGAAGTCGAGTACCTCGGCGCTGACGGCTATATCGGAGACTTTACCTCCCCTAGCAAACATCAGCCTCCTGATGGCAAGATGTACGCTTCGATCTTGGGTGCTTTAGTGGCCCCGTTATCGCGCGGCAACATCACCATCCGGTCGGCATCGGCCTTGGACGCGCCGGTCATCAGCCCTAATTGGCTAGAGGATAAGGGTGACCAAGAGGTTGCTATTGCGTGGTACCGGCGCATGCGAGATGTGTGGGGGACTCGGGCTCTGCAATCTATCGTCTTGGGTCCGGAAGCCTACCCCGGATCCGACGTGCAATCGGACGACGAGGTATTGAATCTCGTGCGAGATTCGGTAATGACAGTATGGCATCCCGCTTGTACCTGCAAGATGGGGAAAAGGAATGATAAGATGGCCGTCGTGGACCACCGGGCCCGTGTGTACGGCGTGTCGGGCCTACGCGTTGTCGATGCGAGCGCTATGCCTTTCCTACCGCCCGGGCACCCGCAGAGCACAATCTATGCTCTGGCCGAGAAGATTGCCTACGATATTATTCGAGGGGAGCGCAAGGACAAGTATTACGATGGTGCGCACGATGGCGAGTACCGTCAAGGCGTGTACAAGGGCGAGCATCGTCAGGGCGGGTACGGCGGTGAGCATCGTCAAGGCGTGTACAAGGGCGAGCATCGTCAGGGCGGGTACGACGGTGAGCATCAAGGCGTGTACAAGGGCGAGCATCGTCAGGGCGGGTACGACGATGAGCATCGTCATGGCGGGTATGAGGGCGAGCATCGTCAGGGTGGGTACAACGGTGAGCATCGTCAAGGCGTATACAAGGGCGAGTACCGTCAAGGCGTGTACAAGGGCGAGTACCGTCAAAGCGTGTACGAGGGTGAGTATGGTCAAGGCTGGTATGAGTATGGTTATTGAAGCCGAGCAGGATAAGACGTAGAATAGCTTACATCCGGCTCCAATTTCTTTTAATTGAGACTGCCAACTGGATGTGACGGCTCACTCGTCAGGGCTTACTTACACCACTCAATTCCCAGCAACCGCCGAGTTATGTATATACACACATCCATATACATATATACACACAACAGGGAAGCGACAACACTTGATGTCCATGTTCGTAACCGCCCGAGTCCGCAAACCGTTCTCACACACTATCCTGCTCCAGAATGTACATGTCATCCCGCGCGACATGACCATGACTTCGAGCGCTTCATCCGGTGTATCAGCCGCAACTCCTGTTATCTCTCTTGGCAAGATGAGAGAAACACCATCCGCTTCAGCTAAGGAGCTCTGACAAACCCCGGCTGCCCGAGCCCGGTGCTAAAGTAAAGTCTAACTCGTACAAATCAAGATCGCCCCAGATTGCAATTGTGAGATCACGCGAACCAAATAAGTCCCAATCGACGTGGATAACCCTATGGTCTTCCGTACGGTATACTAGGCCGTAGACTTCAGCATTTCGGCGGGCATTGATCTTAGTAGATGCGTGAGATGGAGAAACAGCCCGACAGATTTCGGCCAGCGATTGTGGAGCATCTCGTTTAAAAGATGTTACTCAAAGCTTGGACTGGAAGCTTATACAGAGAACCAGAAATCGCGTTTGCGAGACACATATATTCGGTAAGTCTCCTGTTTCATTTTCCTTGGACCTCCTCTAAGGAAATAGCGGTCGTCTTTTCTTTGGTTCCGGACAGCACACCCATCAAGGTACACTCTTTGTTCTGCTCTATTTCACTCGAAAGGTAGGCTGAAAGTTCTTTTAGCTTCGAATGAGCTACGCCAGCAACATGGAGCAGTTGAATAAGGCCTTGAATCTCGGCATCTTTATCCACGCAGATGACCTGGACAACATCGAGCGGGAGGCCGTCTCGAAGGAGGCTAATGGTGGCAGGACTTGATCGACGTCATCGGGCTCATATCATCTACTGATATTTACTTTGCTACCACCCATACGCATTTCCTTTACGCATCGCAAAGACGTGACCATGAATAGGGATTCCCAGTCGCTGTTCCCTTGTGAGACGATTAGGTCGCCCACAGACAAAATTATTCAATATCCCGTGCCGTCAACCAGATATATTCCCATGGAACACTGATGCCGCCGTTTGGGTATGTATCTACGTACTCTCGGCCGGCTTCTGCTTGCAAACCCCAACAAGAGTAAGAGAGAATATTCAAGAGATCGCAGCTCGTTGGACCATCGGCCATTCCATCACCGTGGAGGATGTAACACTCCAGAACGAGCCCGTGGACGTGGTAGAAGAGCGTGAGCGTGGGTAGTTTCACCTGTATAGAGGAGGCCGAGGTCGCGGCTAGGGTAAGGCCGGGGGAGATGGTGGTGAAGATGATGAGGAGGACGGGGAGGAAACTATACATGCCTCCATCAGCCCCGAAGCAGCAACAACTGACATTCAAGTAAGGGCAGGACGTCGGTAATATAACAGCCCAGGTGGAACGCTGCACAACAATTGACCTGCGGACTGTTGTGGGTCCAAACATTGCCGGTTGGAATAGGAAGGGGTGGGTGGCGGCTGCGGCACATATCAACACCTAGAACAAGAGGAAAATAAAGGGTGACGGGATAAAATGAACCGCATTGGGTTAACACCAAAACTTTGGCGATACCAGTCCAGTGTAAAGGGGGGCAGGCATCCCCATGGAGGCCGCCACACTCGCCTGTACACAGAGTTTCGCTGCGAGCCAACCAGGAAGTGGGAATTCGGCGACTCCTACAGTAATGCCATCTAGCTTATTCGATTCTAACAAGGTGCTGGCTTAGTGATCCCGTGACTGAAAGACAACCTCTGTCCGCCTCTCCAAGACTTTATCCCAGAGCGCGTGTCCGTGGAACCCGGGAACGTAGAATAAGATCCCCAGTTCCTGGCTGGTCCACCAGCTGGCTCTGTCCATGTTTCCCGACCCCAGCATCAGGTATTCGTCGTCCACAAAAGTCATCTTGAAGTGGCTTACGACCGGCTCGTCTTCGCTCTCCTCCCGGCCCATCAAGGGTTTAAAGTAGAGTATCTCCAGCTTTCCGGGGGGCACTGGCTGAGCCTCCAAGTCAGATGCTTGCGTCCGCGACTGCAGCTTTTTGTACTCATTGACGAGTTTGCCAATACACCTTGAGGTGGTCGTGCCGGCCGTGACGAGTTGCTCAATCAGCATCATGTTTTTGCTGGTGCGGATCTGTACATCGACTCCGCGGTCCAGTGCCTTCAACAAGGCTTCGACAGCCGCCCCGGAGGTGACGTTCGGAGTCAGAATGGTGATTTTCCGTCTTGCGTTGGCGAATAATGTGAGCAGGGCTGCGTTGAGCGGTGTCATGGGCGGGTCAGACTGGGACAAGAAAGGGAAGAAGCTGAACCGGGGATTTCGGTGATGCGGAGACGGGAGGACGATGGTCGGTACGGCCTCTGAATAGTCGAGTTGGATGGATTGCGCAGACGACACATCGTCTGTTCTTGTCCTGGTAGTATCGCCCGCCACGGGACCCAGGGCTTCGCCAGTGGCATCATCTTTTTTTTGTTGCCTGCCTTGTCGATATCCGTCCAATGTGGCTTCTGGGTCTGGTCCCGTGCCCCAGACTTTTTCGTGGAAGGCCAGTAGAGTCTGGACTGCATCTCCCTCTAGCTCGACGCATCCTTCGAACCACCGTTCCCAGCTGACATTGCAACTCGGCACAAATGCCGTTTGCCCATCAACAATGACATACTTTGGGTGCATGACGCTCAGCGGCGTAAAGAAGAGGCTTTTGACCGTCAACTCGATCCCTCGGCTTCGGAGCATCGCATCATCGGGAAGGCCCAGCTTGCCCCATTGCGACGGCGAGTAGATGTATCCATGACGAGATGAGGTGTGAAAGAGTTTCTGAAAGAGCCCTCGGGAGGAGAATCCAATGGCTATCCGAAGCGGGGGCGAGCCATCTTCGCGCGGACGTCGGGCCGACGCGAGCTGAACGAGGACGTCGTGGATAGCGTCCAGGGTAGGAGACGCAGCCCAATAGCAGGTGACGAAATGTACGGAGTGTTTGGCTGCTAGTATGGCTGGGAGAAGAGCGCGCGTGTAAATGGAATAGCCAGTGCCGACGTGGAGCGATTTGAGCGAGCTCGTTGTCATGAGCGAGTCCAAGTTGCTGACGTGGTGGTTGGGGAAGTCATTTGCTTGTTCCGCCTGGTGAGAGGCAAGCAATTCTTTCCACGGCCTTACGAAAGAGGCCGGAAACGCGGCTGGAGCCGACATTATGAAAGTCACCAACGATGCATGGGAGTTTCAATGTTCTGTCTTGTGGCAGCTCATTCAAGTGTTGGAGAGCGAAGGAGGCACGAGATGCCGGGTAGGCGAGCTTCGGTTTGGGCTGGATGGGCCGGTTCTATCAATTGACCGAATTCATGAAACGGGCTGTTGAATTGGGCTGCGATCAGTCCTGTCTTGGCGACATTCAAGGTGAAAGTGGACGTTGAAGGCGGTGTTAGTATGACAGGCACGTGCCGAATCTCTACCCTGACGTAGCTCCGCGCTCACCGCCTTGAAGCTCGGCGGCAGAATTACGTCTCCCCTCCTTTCCCACCTCCTCCACCAACCATCCATCCACTCTCAGGAGAGGCAACTATTCCACCTCAAGGCGCCGCCACCATGATATCGGGCGTCCTCATCTTCAATCAAAAGGGCGAGAACCTCATTTTTCGCGCCTTTCGTAACGATTGCCGCCCCCGCCTCGCCGATGTCTTCCGCATCCAAGTCATCTCCAACGCCCAAGTCCGGTCGCCCATCCTCACGCTTGGCAGCACCACTTTCAGCCATGTCAAGCACGAGAACATCTATCTCGTCGCAATCACAAAGAGCAATGCCAACGCAGCGCTCGTCTTCGAGTTCCTCTATCGCCTAATTCAGCTCGGCAAGGGCTACTTTGGCAAGTTCGATGAGGAGGCCGTCAAGAACAACTTTGTGCTGGTCTACGAGCTGCTGGACGGTACAGCCGAGCGCCCCGATGCCGCTGCGCCCCTCCATCTCTCTGACACTAGAACTTGCAGAAATCATCGACTTTGGCTATCCCCAAAACACCGAAACCGACACGCTCAAGATGTACATCACGACCGAGGGCGTCAAGTCCGAGTCCCGACCCGAGGATACATCAAAGATCACTATGCAGGCAACAGGTGCGCTCTCCTGGCGAAAGGCCGACGTGCGATACCGCAAGAACGAGGCCTTTGTCGACGTTATAGAGGACGTCAACTTGCTCATGTCTGCGACCGGTGCCGTCCTGCGCGCCGACGTCACGGGCCAGATCGTCATGCGCGCTTATCTGTCTGGCACGCCCGAGTGCAAGTTCGGGTTGAACGACAGGCTGCTACTGGACAACGACGGGCTGCAGAGCTATCCGAGCGGGAACCGGGGGGGCACCAAGGCAACAAAGGCCGCGGCTGGCAGTGTCACGCTCGAGGACTGCCAGTTCCATCAGTGTGTCAAGTTGGGCAAGTTTGAATCAGACAGAATCATCAGCTTCGTCCCCCCAGACGGCGAGTTCGAGCTCATGCGATATCGCGCCACCGAAAACGTCAACCTCCCCTTCAAAATCCATGCCATTGTCAACGAAGTCGGGCGGACGAAGGTCGAGTACAGCATCGGCATCAAGGCCAACTTTGGCCCGAAGCTCTTTGCCACAAACGTCGTCGTTCGCATACCCACGCCTCTCAATACGGCAAAGATTACCGAGCGGTGCACCCAGGGCAAGGCAAAGTACGAGCCCAGCGAAAACAACATTGTGTGGAAGATCGGCAGGTTCACCGGACAGAGCGAGTACGTCTTGAGCGCCGAGGCACTGTTGACGAGCATGACCAATCAACGAGCCTGGAGTCGGCCCCCCTTGAGCTTGAACTTTAGTCTGCTCATGTTTACCAGCTCCGGCTTGCTGGTGCGGTACTTGAAGGTGTTTGAAAAAAGCAACTACTCTAGTGTGAAATGGGTGCGATATATGACGAGAGCGGGCTCATACGAAATCAGGTAGGGGAACGCCCAGCGCGCACACGACCATCACGGACGCTAACAACGGCCAGATTTTGAGGCAGCCTTGATGGAAGAGTTGTGGTTTTTGTTTGTTTATCCCAAAACTTGAGGAAGAGCATGTTGCGGCGTTATGGAAACCTTGACAGCGTGAATTCTACGTCTTTTCTGGCGCTGTCTTGTCAGTGCCCCATCACTCTACTTCAGCGCTCACGTGCGAACACATTATGGCAACGACGTTTATGGAGGCGGCCCGGAGTCCGCGAAGCGCATTCTGTCTGCCTCATATCGAGATTTCATTCGCTTTTCGACGATTGTCAAGTCCGTCCCAAATGTACAGCTGCCTTTGTTCCCGTCACGTCCCTGGCCCATGATATCGCGACAGATCCTCCATTGCCCAGTCGATTTGATTGCGAGGCTTTTCGCACGAGATGCAAACTTCAACAACCCGGCGATTTGCGGCGGACGAATGTCTCGATGTGGTGGAGCCCCTTGGGACAGACCGAGGTTGTTCGCCATGAGTTGTATGTACTTCACCGCAGGACAAGATGGCTCGTGGTGGGATTGACGGGACAGAGGTGACAAAGCCCACACGCGTTGTTCCGGAGTGTTCAACCCTTGTCTTTGGCCACCACGACGTGCTCAATGCAAATCCACGGTCACGGTCGCTCCCAAGCAGTGGGCAGGCAGCTTGAGACTTAGGCATGGTCAAGACGCCTCTCCCCAGACAGGAGGTACAGGAACCGGAACATCTCTTTGGCGCCTGGACATGTGGCTCAGCACGACACTCGCGGAGGACGTGAAGAAGACTTCCGGGGCCTTCGGGCCTAAATGGAGCACAGTGCTGGACAGCACAGACGAGGGCGTTTGACCTGTTGCCGCTTCCATGAAGAGTGGCGGCCTTGGACGGCACGGAGCCGTGGCCAGCACCCCTGAGAGGCGCCGAATCCCTCGTGCTTTCCATTCGCAAACTCAGGTGTCCATCGGCGAGCTACAGCGGTGGCCGTGAAACAGACGTAAACCGAGCCCGCCCTCAATCATCCCAGGACGCGCACCCGCAGCGTCGACGACGTCAATGCGCGGCCCACTCCTGGCCTGCTGATCCATTGTCAGCCCAAGTTGGATCTCAGCCTAGTTCAGTGAGGCAGACTGGCTCGTCGTCGTCCTCGGCTGCTAACAGCCCTGCTGTTTTCACACGTCCACGCCGCCGATATGCCTGTGAATACGACGAGGCCTGCCACGGTCTTCAACCCGTAGCGTCCCGGTGCTGACCACGGACCTTTCTAGTTGTCCATGGCTCTGTCACCTCTGTTCCTGCAAACGGTCGGCGTCGTTTCCGCACTCTTTCTTCTTTCACGGGTTTGTCCAAGCCAGGGCCATCTCAGCATCTCAACCCCGGCGAGAGAGAAAAAAACAGTGGCTGTGAAAGGGGCGTCTGGCAACCCATGGCTGAACGGAGCAAGCGCAGGGCTCTCGTCGTGATGCAAGACGGTGAAAGACGGCGTGGAATATGTAGAGGGCAGGCGTATATATAGGTCGGTCATGACCAGAGAGCCTGGAGTAGGCATCCTGGCCAAGCATCCGCCTAATCGACATCAGATATTCACAACCTCTACTTACCGCACCTTGTCAACGCTGAGTATCTGAACAGGTTGTCTGACGATACAGAATCCTGGCCAAGCATCCGCCCAGTCATCAGACCTTCACAAGCTCTACTTGCCACACCTTGTCAACGCTGAGCATCTGAACAGGGTGTCTGACGACACAAAATGTGTTACGTCGTTACACGTCGACATATATGCGGGCACTGGGCGCCCCCCAAACATGTCAAGTGCCGCTCCAATTGCGCTGTTCCCGCCACGAGACAGGAAAAGGACAGCGAATGTCATTGCGACAAAAAGTACTGCGCATTCAGGGCCAAGAACAGGCGCTGGAAATGCTGCCGGTGCAGGAGCGCGCCGAACCTGAGGGGCGAGTGCAAGGGTTGCGCGCATGTGTGCTGCTCTGAATGTTCACCAAGTAGGTGATGGCAGGCCGGCTATGAGTGGTGCTGATTGCTAACCGCGGCAGATCCACGTGAGATACGCAGCAAGTAGCGAAATCGCGGCGTGCAGACGCTTGGGTTCGGTGATGCGAGGGGGAGGATGATGGATGGGCGAGGATGGAAAGCCGAGGTACTGTAGGCGCGCTGGCCGGTGCCAGGTGCAAAAACAGTCAATTATAAACAGTCACTTGCAGCACATCTGCTGGAGTGTGCACTCTGCTTTTGCCTAGCAAAATGACGTGACAGCTGGCTTTGGTGGGTGTTTCGAGTAGGCGTTTCGTTGCCGCGGGTTAATAAGTAGATGCAAAGAACTGGCAGGCCGAGGCGTCGTCCTTCGTCATGTGAGGACGGCAGGGGTTCCTTGTGCTGGCATTGTGGCATCAGGGTGGCAGTCTCCGTCCCGGTCGAGCCACGTGCCAAAGTACCGACTGGCAGATGAAAGGGGGCGAGAAAGAACGGGCTTTGTTGGTCGGTTCGAGGCCATTGTGCCCATGTACTGTACAGTAGGTACTTTGTGATTCGTGAGCAGGCTGACGGTCGACAAGGAAGGAAACGAGATGTGGCCGGGCTCTGATTCGTCATGGCACCGTCTCCGCGGCGCAAAGCTCAGGCCGCTGGCGTGAGGATTTGCGTGCATGTGTCCATTGTGCGTCGGGTCATGTGAAGCAACCCAAGATATGCGATGCCATGGTCTTATCTCGACGGGAGTGCTCGCCTTCCGGTTCGAGTCAGCCAACGACAGCATTGCCGTCCTCGTCAGGGATCTCGTTCATGTGCGTGCGAGGCACGTCATGATATTGTTTGAGGATTCATGCGGCGCGAGTCGCACATGGGCGCTTCCACTGAGGCCCCGAGACCCAAGCCACGGCAGCGCGCGAGGCGGGGCGTGCGGGACGACGGGCGGGATCAAGAGCGCGGGCGGGCCGTCGATGAATGATGGATGGCGTCTTGTGCAGGATGCAAAATGCTACAAGCTGGCCCTCGTACGGTTCAGCAGAGGTCCAAGGATACGTACTTGGACCCAGAAGCCAAGCGTGTCCGGGAACGTGGTGGCCACGTGAGCCTAGGCTCCCCATCCATGTGACAGTGGAGTAATCAAACATACACTCCAGATTTTCAAACATACACTCCCGACCTAAGCCCCATTTGGAAGAAGACCCCGCCACCAAAATTTGGCGCGCGCTTTCCCAACGCCGCTGCCGCGGCTGCCTGCCTAGATATATTGTCGCATATCACGCCCGTGTCAGTTCCTGAAACCTTATGCTCGATCACTGCCACTGCTGCGCCGCGGCTTCGCCGCAATGATCGGGGTATATATTGTTGCACGAATGTGTGCATCCAATTCTTTTCCTTTCCTTTGTTCTTTAGATAATTCTCATCAATTGACTGATGCCACAAAGATCAACCGCTGTCACGTGCGAGGTGTGGGACACTATTGTCTGACATATATGGATTCTATCTGCAATTATTACCAACGCCGGAAGATGCATCCCTTAGAGTCATTCAATTGAAGCTATCAATAAGCCCGGCCCGATCGATCTTCCGATATATATACAATATGCATATAATGGCGGAAGGTCTTTGCCTACCTCTGTGACTGTGACTGTGACTGTGAGGAAGGATCCGTCCGACGCGGCGGAGGGCGAGGCACGTAAGGAACGAATTTGTGACCGGCCTGCCTGCTAGTTTTGTATGGTGCCGTGTCCCTCTGATCCCCTAGCTGCTGGAAATGCTCCGTAGCCGTCTCGTGAGACTGTGCCGGCGGCTGTGCCCACATGAAGCCGTCGTGATGTGCCTGTGACGAGGGAGGCGGTTCTTGCCACTGTGACGGCGCCGGCGCCTGTACGTATACAGGCACAATTGGTGTAGGCGGTGGCATCACATAGTATCCTGTGACGGCGGCGCCGGCTGTGGAAGTGAGGGCATCGTCGTTTGGTATCCCTGTGACACCAGCGGCACCTGTGGAAGTGAGGGCACCTGTGATAACAGCACCGGCGTTGCTGCTGCTTGTGACTTGATGAAATCACCGATCTGCTGGGCAAGATCGTCAACCCGGCTGCTCACGGAAGCAAGTGTATTCGACCTCTTGTTCATGATAGTGGTGCCTGTGCCCTTCCTCTTCTTCTTTTGCGTCTCTGGTGGCCGTGATACGAGCTCTGGGTTGGCTCTATGCTCCTCTTGCTCCCAAGCACTAAGGATCCGGCCCGTAGATGCCTCTAGTGGAGGATACCTCGCGTCTACTGTTTCCACGCCGGCGAGGCTGGACAACGTCAGGATCGGCTTCGTGGTCTGCATCGATATATTGCTGTTGTTCAGGCTGCTAGTAAATTAGTATAGTACTTATGGCTGGAGCAAGATACTTACAGTCACGCCGTAAACCCGCCAGTGGTTATCAATAAGATGCAATGGTATAAGGGCGGCCGCGTCAGCCTGGATCAAATCGCGGATTGTATGCCGGCAGGGCAGCCCCCATTGCATCGTGAAAGCACCCGTACAAATCGTAGGCATGCCTCGATTATCGGCAAGCTCAGCCGGCTAGCCTAACTTGCCTGAAGATCTGTTTCATCGGCTGCCAGCCAATTTTTCGGTGCAGTGACTTCATAATCGTCTGCTTGGCCCATTCAACTCTAGCTCTTGCAAACTCGGATTGAAGCTTCTCGCGATGCTTCTTTTGCCGATGGGTAACGAGCCCTCTGATGTGCTCTTGTAGCTGATGGAGGTCAATGAAGCGGTTGCGTAATCGTGACTTCAACTCGTGATGTGTGCTCTCCACACGGGAAGTTACCGTAATGTTATAATTTCGGTACTGTTGGATAGCGTAGGTGGAAAACTGGGCACGCCATGGCCAGTAGGTTGTACGGAGGTAATTAACGAGAGCTATAAGAGGAGCTATTTAGTAAAAGGTTAGAGTAGGAGGGTAGTTAGGGCTAGGGTTACCTGGCTGATCCGAAAACTCTATACAGAGTAGATCCCACTGATCTCTGCACTCCTCAGCCGTGCGAGCCCTAAAGACTGAAACCCAGGCATCACGGATACCGTCAGCTGTGTGCTCAAAAGTCCGCCTTGGAGCCGGGGTAGTATTGGGTTTCCATCGTCATCTTCACGATCATCTTGTTGCTCAACGCACTGATCTGCCAGTTGTGAGGCATGTTGAATCTGGTAATCAGTGGCACGGTCGATAGGTCGGTCCTCGTCAATGGCATTATCTGCCTGTATAGGGTCGTCGAGAGCGGCTGCTGCAGCGAGGCGAGTCTCCTGTTCTGGCCTATCTCCGCCAATCTCGGTGCCATCGAGGATCCTTCCACTTCTTCTTGATGTGAAGGATCACGTTCTTCATCATATGCCAAACGCACACTTGTTGTTGCGTTGATGGGAAGATAGAGTCAAGGGCGTTCTTCAGGGCGGTATCAAAGTCGGTAATCACAACGCCCGGGTCCGGAATATCAGCCTGCCGACCAGCCTCACGCAACTGTGAGAGGATCCATTGGAACGCGCCTTCGTCTTCCTTGGCAGTGAGGCCAAAGCCTACACTGAAGCTCTTGTGTAGCCCTGTTGTGCCAATGATCTGTAGAAGCGGCATGTTAAAGCGGTTGACCTTATACGTATTATCCATGATAAGGAGCTCGGGGTTACGCTTCCAGTCAGCAATACAGTCATCGTATGTCCAGAAAAACCTCCAAACCTTCCCATTAGGGCCACGGTCAACTGCATAGTAGCTGATTTCCCCCTTTGCTTTAGCATCTTTGAGTACATCGAGGAAGGCTTGTGTAGATGTAGAGGCGCCGTAACGGAAGGCACGAAGTTGCAGCTGGATGAAGTGTATATCAGAATCGGTAATAAGGAGCTCAGGATATTCCTGTCGGATAGCATCCACGATATCCCTGCTCTTGTTATTGACGTTCTTGCTAAGCCCCTCGACGAGGCTATGAAGACGCTCGATGCCGAATTTGCGTTGGCTTCGTTGACGGACGATGGGGTTAGCAATTGGCTCAAATAGAGGTTCGTGGTTATGAGAGCCGTGCTTGATGGTGACTTTGAATGCATTGCAACGTCGGTAGAAGCGGATGTAACAGCGAAAGTCACATCCCGACTTCTTGGATGACGTCTTGTATATACCCTCTGCCTCGTCCCAGGGCCTATACTGACCACTGTATTCACAGCGGATATTGGCTTCCTTGCGCCTAGGCTTGCCGGTATTCTTGCTATTTGCAACGACTACGACGTAGCCAAGGAGCTCTTGCGTAGCTTTGAGTGTTTCAAGCGCCTCATCATACGTATCGAAAGACATCTCCGTGATAGCCTCGGTGCTACTGTTGGTATTGCTTTCGGTCGAATTCATCGGGACGATTGACTAGACGTGACTATTGCGGTAGGCGGCGGCGGCGTTGCTGTTGTGTTGAGTCAAGTGGTGATAGCTTCAATTGTTGATGATTGCGAAAATGCAGATGGCGGCCAAAAGGCAGGTGGCTGGGCGGGTGGGCGGCGGCGATGGTCACGGCAAGCCAGGGCGTTGGGAAAGCGCGCGCCAAATTTTGGTGGCGGGGTCTTCTTCCAAATGGGGCTTAGGTCGGGAGTGTATGTTTGAAAATCAGGAGTGTATGTTTGATTACTCGTGACAGTGGCTCGGTGCAGGCGTCCGCTAGCTTGCTGCTTTCAGGCCTTTCCGGGGTGACACGGCGCCGCTACAGCGCCGTCCTCGGCTGTCTTTTGCAGGCCCGATACGTCGCAGGCTGCTGTATTTCCACCGTGGCAAGCTCCAGGTAGACCCCTATCCGACGGGCGGTTGTGCCCCTTGGCATGCCTGTCAGTGAGGAACGTGTCGATTCTGTACAAGCCCGGCGCCATCATAATCCTTGCTCCATGATCTTGTTGCCACGCTTTTCCACATGCGCCTCGATGCGAAACCACTGCAGTGTCGCCCCTGAGGACTCACCTTGCTTCAGCACCTACCAGTTCCTTTCTGTGCCGCCAAGGTCCCCAGCAGGTCTCGTGCGTGCGCGTTGCATGTACACCCCGCAGCCACGCCCCGACGGCCTGTACAAGCACAGTACTGTACTGCCTGCACTTGAGTGCTCTTCAATCTCCTCGTACTCTGAGCCTCTTTCTTCGTCTTCTTCATCTCCACTCTTCTCTCTGTTCAGGTGTACTGTACGGCTGTACTGTACTGTATCTCGCTTCGTCTTGGCCGGGCTCAATTTCGCTCCCTCTTCGTGTCCCCTTCTTCTATTTCTCCTCCTCCTCCTCCTCCTCCTCCTCCTCCTCCTCCTCTCCTCCTCCTCCTTCTCCTCCTTCTCCTCCTCCTCCGCCTTCTCCTCCGCCTTCTCCTCCGCCTCCGCCTCCTCTCGTCCGTCCGTCCCTCCCTCCACCTTCTGCCAATCCAACAGCCCTCGGCAAGGTTTGGCCGTCACCGTTGATCTGCCTCATCGACAAAAGACCCACCGCCTCTTCGTTTCTTGCTCGCCATCGCCAGCTAAAACGTCCTGTCCTCTCGAGCAGGCATCATCCCCGCATACCATCGTCGATACGGCGCTCCCTTGACGCCCCGGTCTCGCCTCGGATCCTTCCTGCTGCGGCCAGCGCCATGCCCACCTCACTAGAGTCGTCCCGCCCCATCATGGCCCCATCGGTACGTGGCGCGATTTTGCCTTTCTGCTACTCCCGTCTCCATTTCGTACCTCTGTCTTGTCCCTGCTGCGTGTCTCGCCCTCCCTTGGCTTTGGTCTTCTCTCATACGCCGCCAAAAGAAACACCAAATAATCACAAGTCTATCCCCAACAGAGGCAACTGCCCCTCGTCGGTTGGTGCCTCCTCATAATGCCCTGACCTGCCTCTCCCATCTGCCCTTGCTCCCCTCTCGGAACAATTGCTTCGCCCATTCACGTTTTTCGGCTCCGTCTTGCCCCCCAAGCTGACAATGCCTTACCGCCAGACCCGAACGTCGGTCCGCTTCAGCACCTACAGCATGGCGGCTCCGTCTCTGACTCCCACCGCCCACACTTCAGACTCTGTCCAGGCCGAGATCCGCGACATTGCCTTGGGCCTGGATCGCATGGAGAACAAGGCCCTCTCTTCCCAGCGCGTCATGCTCAGCGACGAGAAGACGGACAGGCTAAGCCAGCTCGCCCTCGGTGCCAAGCTCGAGCGCGCCCTCGAGCGCCGCATGAGCAGCCAGGATGCCGTCATGCGCCCACGGCCAAAGAGCGTCGCCGTCAGCCGCCCCCCCAATGACAAGAAGCAGCTCTCGGAAAAGGCCGCCTAACATCGACGACAACGGGCCGGTTCAACGGATGGTGTGGACGATTGATGATTCGAAGCGTACGAGCGCTCCTTGTGGCGGATGGAGACGGCAGACGATGCATGCTGTTGAATCCGTGGCATCACGGCATCTTGAGAGGGCCCTTGTCTCTTGGGACGCCGGCCCGCTCGTCATCACCACGACACTGGTGCCCTGGAGATACCTTTGATACATTGCCCAGCAACGAAGCGGCTACCCACAGCGACACCTGCACTTCAACAGCCCGTTCCTCGACGGTGGTACAAGCCAAGCTCTACCCAGAGTGAAAGGGGAAGGGGGAAGGGGGTCTGAACATTGCGAGACGGCCTGTACCATGGCATACTCTCCCACGCGGCTTGGGAGAGTGCGGATATTCGCTGGACGGAAACCACGACTGGACGAGCACACGCCGCCACTTGTACGACCTCGGCTTTTCGATTTCGACCGCACGGCTGTCAACGTGCGAGTCTCGACATTTCTTCTCCTCAATGTATTTCTTTCTTACTATGTTTTGTGACGGGAGAGAGCGCGCTGATGCTGCTCAATGCAGAACCGCTTGTTGGCGCGAATGCCCGGGACGAGAGGATGCCGGACAAGGCGGCTTGCACGGGCTTTCACATCATGCAACGTGTTTTCATTTTCTTTTCTTTCCTCGGCCATACCACCCGTTGAAGCCCATGTACGCACTACGAGGAGGAGATCCGAGCGCCTGTGAGAGCAGGGACACGGCAAGCAGAAAATGCCAGCAGATCCTCATTTCTTTCCCTAGTCCCGCGTGACGGACGGACGAGCATTCCAAGGGCATCGACAGAGAGTGGGAGATGAGTCGCAAAAGCCGCATTTCGCCGGCCAACTGTCTCGAATCTTGGCATGGCCCCACATCTAAAATCTGAATCGTCCTAAGGCGGGACGAGGTGCGCTTTTTAGTCTTTGGCCGGTGAGACACGAAGCTGTCAAGCACGGGTAAACGTGTGCGGCCGGAGAGCTCCGTGTAGAGAAGGGGGGCGACTGTGTGGCTGGTCATCTCGTCAAGCCTCTTGACCGAGAAGCGCCACGCGGACTGCAGATGGGGTGGGGAAATACATGACTGCTATTGAATATACGAAACGCGCTGAATCATCCCTTCCAGACTTGTTGTCCGGGGCTCTCTAAATACATCATATACAGTAGCTGTTCTGACGAGAGCATCGTGGCTCCTCAATTCCCACTCAAGGCTTCATCCGGCGTTGCGGGTTCGTCGGTGAGAAAGTTCGTGCCTGCAATATGGCTCGCTGCCCAATGTGTGTTGTCGGAGGGTCCCGACCCGAGCGAGGACACAGATCATGGCCTCGCCTTCCCCCCCCCCCCTTGTCCGGCCCAATGTCACGTCCCGGCGCCTTACGACGCCTTCTTCTTGCCAATCAAGCCCTCAATTTCCCTCAGCAAGCCCACCAACTCGGCCTCCTCGCCCTCAACTTCCAGCCCGCTCCTCACCCACTCCCTAGCCTCCTCAAGCCTACCCATCTCGACCAAACACCGACCCCTCCTCCACCACCCCTTCGCATTGCCCACACGCCTCGCCTCGACGCTGGCCTCGGCATCGACAGCGCCCTCGGGCCAGTTGTTCAAGGCCATGTGCGCCTGCGCGCGGTTCGCCAGCAAGCCGCTGACCTCCTCGCGCACCAGCGCCGCGGGCTCCCACAGCGGCCGCGTCAGCGCCATCTGGATGCCCAGCGTGTAGAGCCGGATGGCCTCGCCGTACTTTTGCTTGCGGTACTCGGCATTGCCGTTGTCGCGCAGCTTGGTCACGTTGCCCGTGCGCTTGGGGTTGACGGGGATGGGCGGCGGTGGCACCCCTGCCGCGCTGCCGTCGAGCGACAGCAGCGACCGGTGCAGCATGTTGAGCTGCTCCAGCTCGGCGTCGAGCGCGCGCGAGCGCTTCGTTGCGCTGATGGCTTTGGACTGCGCGTCCATGTGCAGCGGGAGCAGGTCGAAGTGCGTGAGGTCAGACATGGTCACGACCGCTCGGTGTATTGGGCCGGATCGTATGCGATTATCTGGGCGATCGGTGCAGTCTTTTCAACTCGTTCACTGTCTTCTGTTTTGTTGTGGCCTCGAGACCGTCGGGTGAGAACAGAGTAAAGGGTCGTAAACGAGCGTGGCCGATTATGTTTCGGAAGCGGCGCTGGCCATGCCGAAGGACACGACACCTCTCACGTTGGTTTCTTATCTTATCGCCATGTGACCGATACGCTTTCTGTCAATCCCGACCCATCCCGCTCCACTATCTACGAATCCAAGTCCCGGAGCGAACTCGCAGAGATACACTGTTCTACCAATATCAGGGTCAGGCATGTGCGACTACGGATAGATATCGGCGAAATAGGCTGCTTCTCCCCAGTTGATATGGTTGGGTTATCATCCCTCGGCAGCAGATGATGCCAAGCCAGGCATTTGTAGAAAATGGCAAGTACAAGATACACTTTCCAGAGCTTCGCGCCCGTCACATATCGCAGGTCGCAACGAGCCACACCGCGTCATTCCTCATACACCGTCGTATTCCACTCTTTTTGGGGGGTTTCTCTGCTTTATTGTTTTGGGCCCGGGTTCCGACGATGAGATTCATGCAGAACATTCAGAATAACCATCCACCGCCTCCCCATGAGCCGCCGCCTTGCCATCACTCGGCAAATCAAGTGAAATCCGTTATGAACCGCCGCGCCTATCTAATAAACCGCACGAGAAATGACAAGACAATGCGATGATGCCAAGAACAGCCATCATGTTCGAGGTCCTGTCCACTTAGTAGCCGTAGGTCGCGAGGGCCTTCGCAGTCTCCGTCTTGGTCGAGGCGTTCTTCTTCGCGTCGGACAGTTGTCGCGCAGCCACCTTCTTGCGCTCGTAGTACGCAGCGCCCTTGGCCTTCCTTCTCTCTTCCAGCCTGTGCATGCCAGTTAGCGCAATTCCCGCCCGCCATTGGCACACGACAACGTACCGAGCAACGACATCCTGGTACTTCCAGCCGACCTCGTGGCTCAGGCGGCCGACAGTGCAGTACTTGCGGCCGGGCTGCAGGCGCAGCACGCGCAGGGCTTGGGGAACGACCATCTTCTTCATCTTGTCGTAGGGAGGGGGGACACCCTCGAAAACCTTGAGGCGCTCGAGAGCAGCGGCACCCCGGGCCGTCTTGTGGGGAATCATGCCCCGGACGGCCTTGTAGAAGATTCGGGAGGGGGCGCGGAAGTGGAATGGGCCTGGTATTCATCGTCAGCAAGATGGCTTGCGTCGCTCGTCGGAGTCCAACTCACCACCGCGGGTAGGATTGTATCGGGTCATCTTCCGCAGGTAGGCGTGGTACTTGACTGTTCAAGCGGTCAGCCTGAGCTCCCGTCATGCGGTCTCTTGCTCGCGTTGCTTCGACGGCTCGGCGCCAGCACGATCGGATGTGATGAGTTTCTGTGGGCTGGAGAGTGGGCGACGTACGCTTGGCGCGGAAGAACTCGCCAGAGATGTTGAGCGCCTCGCAGCGGACAATGACAATCTTCTGGCCGTTGAGGAGCTGCTTGGCAACGATGCTAGCAAGACGGCCAAGCAGGTGGCCCTTGCCATCGATGACGACCTATCCGGTATTGTTTGTCAGTTTTCGCTCTCGTCTCGGGATCCCGCTGCCTTGCGGCGATGACGACACAGGAAGAGAGATGCCCGAGAGCTCAGGGAAGCAATCAAGCGCTAGACAAGTTTGTCCCTGCCCTTCACTGCATGCGCCTCTCTATTGACCTGCGCCCGCCATCACGCCAAAGTGCTGCGTTGCGGCAAGCAACAGGTGGTCAACTCACAACCGGCTCGAAGGACGACATCGTATCGGCTCCTCTGGTGGCTGAGGGGGGAAACGAAAGGAAGTCGGCAGCTCAAATCACGACAACAAAGAACAGGCAGGCCCTCGAACCAGGCCGGCGAGAAACTGCTGCTGTGCTGCTGGGGTTAGTCGTCCCTGGGCGAGGATGTTGGTGACGAGGTCGCGATGATGATTGACTGCGAGAAAATCCAGGTTCACCTGGAGGGGACGTTGTGCCTTTGGAGCAAGCCGCGCTAGCTCAAAAAGGAAAGGTGGTATTTGGGGGGAAGCGAGGAGGGCGGGCACCGGCAAACTGACTTAGGGCTGCGAGACCTATCGGCCAAGCCGGAGTTTTGCCGCAGCCTCCAGGCCCAGACTCAAGGCGGGCCGGGACGGGGCTCTGCTGCAGCGCAGAAGTGGCCGACCCGGAATAGCATCAGTTGCGGTCCGGGGATTGGACAGATACGCGTTCTTGATATTCCCCACACGACCAGGGAAAGTTCTCTGCACAATGGGTTTGATGTTGGCATGCTCGTCGAGTCTCCGAATTTATCGAATTGGCAGTTGGCGTCTTGAGCGACGCTCACTACTAAGTAGACTGTCTGATCGCATGCTTCAACGGCAAGCAGCCTTAGTCGCCTCTTTCAACACCCAGACACCAGCAATCCCCGACATTGGCGGTGGCGGTCGAGACCCAAAATCAAGTCCATAATCAAGTCCAACGCCGAGCTGCGATATGCGATGCGGTCAGGTCAGGGTGGAGGAGGAATGGGGCCAACGCCAGCCTCTCTTGTCGTCGCATCAAAACTCCAAATATCCCGAAATGCAAAAAGAAGATTGGTTATGCAGACTTTGCTGCGCCGTCGAGTCCCTTAAGGACGTCCTGGACCGAGCGCACCAGCTCCTTCCGCCTCGCCCTTACTTCCGGAATGCCCTCCGTCTCAACGCCGTCAAGTTTCAGTAGGATGCTCTGCATCAGCATTTCTGACAGCTTCCTGTGCTCCTCCTCCCGAATCTTGGGGTCTGTGGGCGGTGCCGCGGTGTACTGGACACAGAGCGGCAGCCACTTGGTTTTGAACTCGATGGCCAAGTCGTCAATTTGCTTCAACGGACCGCTGCCAGACGCAGGCGGAGGAGGTGACCTGGAGTGTGAGTTGCCCTCGCGGGGGCTGGTCGCAGAGTCGCCGTCGTTCCAGTCGCTTCTCTTCTTGGGCTTCCTCTTCTTACGATGTCGCGACTTGGCGTCGACGATGACGACTTCTTCCTCGGACTGACTGCTCTCGTCGCCGACGTCGGGAAGCACGGCCATGAGTTCGCTCTTGTTCTTGACTCCGTAGTCGCGGACTGGCGCGGCGGCCTCCTTGAGTTCCCTGCCCTTGTACAGCAGCTTGAGACGGCGCATGGCTCGGTCCGACAGTTCCATCATCAGGCCTGCGCGTTCCCGGACATCCCTGACGCGCAGCTTTCCATCGCCAATTGAGTAGGCGGGAAAGCGAGACGGGTACGTGACGCCCTTGTTCTTGACGAGAAGGACATCATCCTCGGGCGCGGGTGGAGCGGCCGATTGGGACCTGGGGTGGTGGTGGCGATGGTTGGACGAGCCAATGGGGGCATCGTCCAGGTCCTGGGATGTAATGTAGCTAAAGTCGTCGTCGGTCACGGCAGGGACGCCGCCCGACAGAGAGCTGTAGGGAGAGCTCTGGTCGCGCCTCAGGGACCAGCCATATCGCGACATTGTGATGGGCACCGCGACGAGGGCGGCGAGGCTGCTGTAGACGAACCCTGGCGGAACGCCGAGGGTGCCGGAGATGTACTCGGTCGACTCGTGCAAGACGGACGACAGGTTGGCCAGGGTCCCGTTGAGGTACGAGGTCAAGTTTTGCAAGGCTCCAGAGGATGCCACGGCGGCCTGGCTGGAATCCACCTTGTCGTCCGGGTGCAAAGGTGGCCCTCGGAAAGGACACCTCTCGCGGATTGCGGGCGAGGTTGTCTAGCCGAGGGGGCCAAGCAGAGCGAGAGACGGAGGAATCCTTGGGTCGAGCGAATGGCGGGCGCAGGTCGAAGAGTGCGAGCGAGCGAGCGAATGGCGGAGGCTGCGACGAAAGGATGAAACGAATGCGCGAATCCGATTGCAGGAGACGTGGCAGCGCCGCAATCAGACCAACGGACGCAGGGGCGAATGCGAGGGCGATCCGAGGCGACGGCAGAGATGGAAACAGAGAACCTCAGCGCAGCCGAACTGACCGAGCGAAGCAGCAAATGCCGGGCCAGGTGGTTTCAGGGTCTGGAGCTGACGTGAGGCGAGGCGAGGCCAGCAAACTTACGGTCGCGGGGTGACGGCCGACGAGAGAAAAAGGGAGGCTCGAAAAGGGTCCCGGGGGGGTCCGGTGATGCTGTAAGCAAGCCAACTGTAAGTGTAGGGTAGGTGAGTGCTTTGCCGGCCAGGCAACCTGGAACGGCAGGCTGCTGCAGCAAGTGAGCGGACATGGCTGCTCCTGACTCGACCGGATGGAGCATTTGCATTGCCTACGTGTAAGTCGATGGCTCCCGCTCGGCCAGTGTTGGGCTGTTTATCTCCAGTCCCTCTTTCAAGGTGTTTAATGCCCCCCTCGGCCGACACAAAGCAATCCAATTTGGCTTGAAAAAAACATGCCCACCGCGGCCGCGTTCCTTTTTGCTTGATAAATGTCATGGACAAAAGAAGACTCCATAAACTGCTCGACTTTGTTTTCACTTGGCTCGGCGGCCGCCGAGCACGGCGTTGCAGTGTTCCATGGCCGCATATCGATCTTGCACATCAACCACGATCCACCATCTCGCCAGCCAGTCGACATCTCAACATGTCCTGCAATAACACGATGAGCGTATCAGTCGACACCTGCAAGCGGTCTGCCTTCTCTCCCCTCCGGCCCTCTTCCCGGAAAACCTCTCCAACGACACTCTTGGCCAACGTCTCAATGTCTCGTCCGTTGGACCAATCCCTCGTGGCGCCGAGCTTCTTGATGAGTCTATGGACCTTGTCCTTCTTGTCGGTGCTCGGCGGGGGCTTGTCTCTGATGATGATGCCCTCTTTGCCAATCAGCTGCCCGAGGAACTTCATGCACTGCACCGGGGTGAGTTGTGGGAAGACGATGTCTCTGGCGAAGCGGCCGCGAAGGCCCCTGTTGGACTTTATGAGCATGTCCATCTCTTCCCCGTACCCCGCGAGAATAACCAACAGCCGCTGGGCGTATCGCAACTTGGTCAGTCCATCCACCAGCTCTCCCACCGCTTCTTCCTCGAACGAGGTCCCCGAGCGAACCCCGCGGGCTCCTAGCCCGAGGCGATACGCTTCGTCGATGAAGAGAACCTTTCCCAGAGCTTTCTCGAGGAAGCTCTGCACCAACGGCGCCGTGTGACCAAGATGCTGCCCGATAAGGTCCGACGCTGAGCATTCAATCACCTCGTCGCTGGCAAGGAATCCCATGTCGTAAAAGATTTGCCCCAGCTTCCTCGCCGTCGTTGTCTTGCCTGTCCCTGGTGGACCCTTGAAGATGAACGTGAAGGGTATGTTTGGGCGAGGATCCTTGCCGTGCATCCTCATTCCAGCCGCCATCTCTTGGTACCCCTGGAATTGCTCGATGACCGCGTCGAAGCCCACAAACTCTTTGAACAAGTCCCTGCTCTTCCGGCCCGCGGCCGATGATCGGTCCCAATGAGAGTCAAAATCCTGAGGCTCCAACACAAGGCGTCTGTGCAGGTCGGCGTCGAGCGAGACGGCCAGCGCTGCGGCTCTTTCAGCATCCCCGGGCGGCTGGCCGGTTTGCCCATTCCGCTGCTTCAGCGATGCCCTCGCGCGATTCACCAAGTTATGGACGTCTCTGCCGTTGCCAAAGCCCGGACGATCTCGAGCTCTCGTAAGAACCTGCGAGGCCACCTGTTTCGCTTGCTCGGTTGCGTCAATGCCGTCCTTTGCCAGTTTCGCGTCCAAGATTCCCATCAACTCTGGCACCTCGTAGTCTCCAAGCTCGAAGGCGTCCTCTGGTGGAAATCTGCTCCGCAGTCCAGGATTGCCCCTGTGGAACATGTCGTGCATCTGCTCCGCATAGCCCGACATGATGATGCAGCGGTCTTGCCCGGGATCGGTCGATGTCTTGGCGACGAGCGTATCCAAGATGGTAAACAATGCTCGATCGCTCGACGAGACAGATCTGCCGAGGTCAGAACTCGGGCATAGCCCATGCGCGTCATCGATGATGAGTACCATGCCCCTGGTTGAGTCGAGGATATTGCATGTGTTCTTCTGCACACCGCCAATCCAGTTTGAGATGAAGTCGTTAGGATCCTTTACTACAACCCTGGTCTTTGAAACGAGCCCAGTGTCAACGACGATCTGACCAAAGAGCTTGGCGACGGTTGTTTTCCCCGACCCCGGCGGCCCAAGAAAGACGCGGTTCGGGCTGAACTGGATTGGTTCTTTGCCGCCCATCTCGAGGCAGTAGTTTATCCTTCCGAGATCTATGAGCTCTTCCACCGCCCTCTTGACCTTGTCGAACCCCTGCATAGCTTGAAGCTCCGCGTAGGCACTACTCGACTGTCGAATATCGGGCGGTGGGAGCCCAAGAAGATCCTCTTTGGTCAGGAAACGATCGTCTGGCGGGTCATCATGCTTGCCGCTTTTCGCCCACAGGACACGCTCCCGCTGAAGTCGGTCTGCCTGACGATCGTGGGCTACCGCGAGAGCGTCCCGGATTTCCCACACGTTTCTGAACGATGGCAGCATTCGGTTACTTGCAATCCTCCGAGCGAGAATGGCCGTATAGGTGCCTCCAACTCCGCCTTGGACATTAATGGACATTTCCGTCAAGGCTTTCCTGATGAACTCGTGAATCTCGCCTTCGGAAAAGCTACTCACTGTAACAACACGAGTGGACGTAGGTTCAAGTGACTCGGATTCAGGTGGAGGTGAGCTGGATGGCGAACCTATGTGAAGTTGACGTGGAGTCGGAGCTTGTTGATCAAGGGACCGTTTAAATTGATGGTAAAGGTTTTCGATGGTGAATTTCCCTGCCTGGCAGTTAGGATCAACTGAGCATTGATAGATTGCTTTTGGGTGACGATTCTCGACTCCACGACCGAAGAAGACGAGGGCATCAAGCAATTTCCCGGTTTTCGGGCGGATTCAAGAAGGTAGTTGAAACCATACCTGTGCCAGCGCCTCCTTTTACTGTGAGGTTTATAGTTCTTGTCTCGCCACGTCTGGCCGCCGCATCGACTGCAGCCTTTATAGACAAGAACAGGGACTTAACATTCTCGATGCCAATCATGCCCATCAGCTCATCAAGAGCCTGGTTTTCAGCACCCTCTTCCTTTTTCTGACGAATCCACTCGAGACGCGACGGGGATTCATCGTTGATGTCTTCTAGTGGATCCTTTTCCTCCTCCGCAGGATCCTTGGGCTCATTCTTGGCTGGCACCTCAGTGTCATCCTCGATATGTGGCTCCTTCGCGATATTTCCAGGGGGGTCCTCGGTCTCGAGTAATACAATGGTCCTGCCCATAATGCAGAAAGAGGGCTTGTCCTCAGGCTCTGATGACTCAGGCTCGGCATTGGGTGGTTCATCTGTTGATGGCTCCTCAAGTTTGGTTTCGAGTGACTCGAGCTCCGCATTAAGTGACACTCCAATTTCGGGGTTCGTTGGCTCCTCAGGCTCAGTCATGGATGGCTCCTCTGACACAGCTTCGCCTGACTCCGGCCCAGCTTCGGGCGATTGTTCTGGTCCCTCTGGTTGTGAGCTGGGTTCAAAATCGTCACTCTCGACTGGACTCGTCCGGACGGACGGGCTCACGCTGTGCGATCCTGACGACACGGCCCTGCGTTCTGAGTTCCCGCTGGGGACGCGGCAAATAGCTGTGAGCGGAGGCGCTGGAGAGGAAGGGAATGAAGGTGGGTGACCGAGCTCTTCGGATAATGGTTGGAGCCACGCGGACTCTTCGCTCAGCTCAGGGGGCGATGCGCCTTCTCTTTGGCCAGTATTGCGCGGCGTTACTCCAAGGACTTGAGGCACATCATGACCAGTCTCGTGCTGTGCGGATGTACTGGGACCCTCGATATGGGTTTCACTGTCATTCTGCCGAGTCTCGGGAACGGCATGACTTGGTGGTTTTGAGCTTGGAAGTTCCTGCGGATCGTGCCCAGATTCTGAAGCCGAGTTGTGCACTCCTGAACTGGGTCCGGGCCCCCCTGTAGTGCCTGGTACGGGAACCCCATGATAACTACCCCGTTCGTCTTGAAGGGTCATTTCCGTGATAGTTTAGTAGATTATGCTACTCGAACTACGGAGAGAGAGGGGGGGGGAGCCGAATATGCAGAGGGCAAGGGGTTTGCAGATGATTGACAGGTTAAGGACTCGATCACGACGTCGATGCTTTCGTAGGAGGTGCTTGAGGCTGTGCAGCAGTTATCAAGTGTCAATGAGAAAAAGGAACACTGCCAGCTCCTCGATGGGCCCTACATGTTGTGGTCTGCCTAGGATTGCCGCATAAGCCCCGTCGATATGTAGGACCTGCGCCTCTCCACGCCGCAAGGCAATTCCGGAACCATAGACGCAATCTCACAAGGGGGGGAGGCTCAGCAAGACGACGCCTTCGTAGTGAGTCTAGTGACTGGACCAAAAGAGAGAGCTGAATGCAAGCCACAAGGCAACGAAAAGGCCGCCTTGCGACTACTACAAGGCGTCCAGTAGGTTTCTGGTTCACAAGGCATCCAACCATGCCTCCGTCCACTACACGAAGGCTACATTCCCTGCGTCGTAGACACCCAGGACCCGCTTCCATCTAAGCTCCTTGGAAAGGAGGAGCTGCAGCCGCACGCATTTGCCCTTTTCGCGCGCACTGGTCCCCTCCATTGCCAACTTCTGCAGACGGCTCACGTCCTCACACACCAGGTATTGGTCCTCGGGGCTGGCCTGGTGGCCGACGATGCGCAGCCGTGTTCCGCGGCGCGAGTCGAGGCACACAAGCGCCTGGCCACGAGGCGTCACCACCTTGAGCGGCATCAGTCCGCTCATGAGCATGGTGGTGGTGCTGATGGGCCGGTCGATGGAGAAGCCCTCGTTGGAGCGACGCAGGAAGACCGAGTTGTAGGGCCCCCTCGTCACCAGGATGCCGCCACCGCTCTCGTCGTGGAGCAGCTTGGCGATGATCATCTGATCGCGGATGCCCGTGACGGCTTCGAGTTCCGACACGGAGCGGCAGGGGACGCGGAGGTGCAGGAAGTCACTCCATGACCAGTCCCGGACGAGCACGCTCTTGCAGACGAGAATCACAAACGCCGCCAGCACCCACGTGTACGTGGCAATGTTGAAGGGGTCGACGCCCACGATGCGGTTGCCGACGGTGAAGCCGATGGTGAGCCCGCCCGCCGCCAGCACCACAGCCACGGTGGCGATGGTCAACACGTACGTCGGACAGGGGACGATGACGGATCTTTCGTCCATGACCCACTCGCTCTCCATTAGTCGCCGCCGACGCTCGAACTTGCGAGTCCGGTCGACATCGGCACTCTGTGAGCGCCAACTGCCGTCGCTGCCCGACGGGTCGATGAGCCGACATCGCTCAAAGGTGCCGGCTTCAAACGCCGTCTTGAGACGTAGCACGCCGCGAGGCTGGGCATCTTCTTCCATGGTGCTTGTATACACGCGGAAGAAGGCGGTAAAGTTGGTTTCCTGGAATGGGCGAACGAGTTCTTGGTTGTCGCAGCTGAGGAGCATAATGCTCCGGAAGTTGTTCAACTCGGACACCAGACTCGGATTGGTCGTGGCGAGTGGAACCATGACGGTGATGATGTCGTCCATGTACTCGAGTGCCAGCTTCTCCAGCGGGTTCCCGTCCTGTCCCCGGCACGTCTCCGTCTCCCCGGTGCCTCGTTGGTCCGTCACTTTATACGTCCATTCGATAAATGTCTTGACCCTGGGCGGCTGGGCGGCATTGGGTAGGAGGCAGCCCGTCCGGAGCTCCCGCAGTTGGGCTACCGTTTTATCTAAAATGCGGAGAGCCGAGTCGGCCGTATTGAGATTGTCCAGGTCTGAGGTTGCAGAGAACTCCTGATCCCGATCCTGAAAGAGAAGCGTCTGCACGGCCGAGTGTCTATCAACCAGGGAGCTCGGGACAGCGTGGGTCATGCATACGCACCTTGAATCCTTGGAAGCCCGTCTCGTAGACTAACCCGCATATCTCGTACGCTGTGTTTGAGAGTCCAGAGCGCTTCAGGCACCGGAGAGACATGACCATGGACCTCAAGGCAGAGCTCATGCCCCCACGGAACTTGTTCTGGTTGACGCAGTAAGAGGCAACCCGGGCCTCGTCGACGGACGTGAGACCGTCTTTGGTATCAGCGTCGATGATCCTCAGAGCTTCTTCGCACTCCTCTTCCTCATCGATCCAGGTGGCTACGAGTGAGCCCCTGTCCCGGCTGCTGTCGAGGGCGCTCTCACCCCCCTGCGCCGCGATCCGGGCATTTGGGTAGAGATCGAGGAGCAAGACTTTGATTTTGGTTACACGCTTGACGAGCACGCAAAGGACCGTGGCCTGCCAGAAGTTTCCCGTCCCCGTCTGGGTGATCAGCCTCGCAAGCACGCCCGAGACGTAGTTGATCAAGTCGAACAAGGCAACCTGTTCACGGCGACGCTCGGCAGCGGCATCGTGACCATTGGCCGAATCGGCAAGCTCTTCGTCGCCATTATCGGCTTCGGCGGCAACTTGGGCCTGCTGGATCAGCTTCTGAAGCTTACTCCGGTTGGATATCTGTTTGCAGTATCGCACGTTGATGCACTCGTTGTCGAGGATGCACAGGGAAATGGCAGTCAAGATCTTGTCGGCCAGCGCGGAGAGAGCGTTGTAGCCGGCCTCGTCCCCAGTCGTAAAGAAATCCCGATTATCAAACCGGATGGGAACATTGGGGTTCTGAACGTAGTGGTGCAGTCGCTTGGCTTCTTCACGCAAGAGCCCGTTGTATACGGTCTCGTCCTCGGCTATGTAATACCTCTCGACGCTGTCAAACTGCGGATAGACGAGACGAGACTCTGCCTCGGGCGCGTCTGCAATGAGAATATCGTCGACTGAGAATGTGACGGGTATCCCGCGAGGTTGAGCGGACTCGTCGTCCGGAGCGCCGGGTATGGCAGGGTGAACGGGATGGCTCCTGAGTCGATCCCTGAGGCGATTGACTGGGCTTTTCACGCCGCGCCCGACTTGTTGGCTGACGGCGGACCAAGACATGCGGTAGGATGTCATGGCTGGTTCGGACAGGCCCACAGAGCGACTCGGTCGCCATAGTGGTGGTTCATAGAAACTCGCAAATGTTGGGATGCTTGCCGGGACAGAACCCTCGAGAGAGTCCGAGGCCTTCTCGGGCGTGTCGTTTGGAGTAGGCATCTGGCTGTCGTCCATGATGGCTTGCAGAATCAAAGTCACTCTTGGTCTTGTTGGAGAGAGATGGTGGCCCGTATCATCGGATGAGAGCCTTCTCGCATCCTGTAAACTGGTCGCGGTGATTCGGACTGGTCCTGACAGTTGACGGCTATGGATTGAGCGACTGATCCCGTCCTCCGGCTCTCTGTCAATGTCAAGGGTCCAAAAGAGGCGTTTCGTGCTGGTGTCAGCCTAACAATTGCGGCCAACTGAGGCGATGCCTTGCAAGCTGAGGTCAAAGTGGGAATCATTGACCACTCAGATGATGCCGTGATACTGATGCCCTGGATGGAGGTGGTGCATATGCATGTCAGATCAAGACGCCCGGTTGCCTTACAGGGTTGAGGAAATTGTATTTGCACCGCCGTCGAAGTAGGGCATAGCCACATCGAGAAGCCTCCGTCCGGACCACACCTGGATAGTTTCTGGCGATGCCAATCATGGCAACAGTGGAGCGCTCCAGCGACTGCATTGCTGGGGTGAGTTACCAAAGTCTTGCTTCAGTTCAACCTTGTCTCTGCTCCATTCCCCTTTCTTCCACGATTTGACCTCGCTTGCCAGACCATGGTCAACATGGACGACCAGAGATGCGGTTTCGAGCATTCTTGCGGCTATACACACTATGCAAAAGTGCTCGATTCTGGATGGTCGAGGCAGGATCCAACCAGAACTGAAGCATCAGGACCAATGCGCCATCATGCTCCCACAACCGTCATTACCATTGTACCGGATGACATGGCGCCTCCGATGAGGGCGTCAACGGAGCCAGTTCCGGTCACGTCTAAGGCCCATAGTCTCAACGCTCGAGTCGATTCGGATGACGAAGAGACAAGTCCCCGCCAGTGGACGAGGCCTCGTCGCCGTTGGACTGGAGGAACAGGCCATCACGGCCGTCTTCCGCGATGGGAGAAAAGAGCGTCCCGAGAGGCCAAAGAGATGTATTTGAGGGTCAACGAAGCGGCGGGTGATGACGTCTCTGAAGCCGAGATGAGTGGCCTCGACGAATACTACCTCTCCGACAACCGGCCTTCGGACCAGAAAGGGGAAGCGCAGTTCGCCCGGAAGCCGTCGTCGCAGTCTCGAGCTTCGGGGTCTGACTCGAGCTGCAGTGACGGTGAATGCGGTTGGGCAAAGAAGGCCGAGGTCTACGATAGCGACCTCGAGTCGACCATGTTAGACGTGGGCAAGGCTGCGCATGCCAAGAAGATGAGGAGATGGAAGGCCCTGGCAAAGGACAAGTTCGAGGAGATGTTGCTCGACTGCATTGTCAACACGGGTGGGTGTAATGCGATGGGTCCAAGGCTCAAGGCTTTGCGCTGATTGACGTCTGCTAGAGAGCATCCCTCCAGACTACGAAAACATCCATGTTGATGCCAAGATCATCGGCAAGCTGGAACGGGTCACCAAGATGTCGCTGACCATGCCCAAGGCATTCGGACACGGTGTGCTCGCGGGCAACAGGGTCACCGGGGCCGTGCTCTGGGGCCCGCCGGGGACGGGCAAGAGCCTGCTCGCAAAGGGGGTCGCGCGACAATCGGGCTTCAACATGATTCTGGCGTCGACGGCGGAGCTGTGGCAGAAGTGCCACGGTGACGACGAAAAGGTGGTCAAGGCGCTCTTCTCCATGGCACGGAAGACATATCCCTGCATCGTCTTCATCGACGAGGCGGATGCCCTGCTCGGGTCGCGCAAGGCGGGCGAGAAGAGGCACATCCGGGCGATGCTGAACCAGTTCCTGATGGAATGGGACGGCTTGTCGAGCGGCATGGACTCGCCCTTTATCCTGCTGGCGACCAACAGGCCCTTCGACCTCGACCCGGCGGTGCTCCGGCGCGCCCCCATGCAAATCCAGCTCGGGATCCCGACGCTCATAGGGCGGTGCGGCATTCTGCAGCTCCTTCTCAAGGGCGAGGTGCTGGCTCCGGATGTGTCGATTGCCAGGCTGGCCATGGTGACGGAGCGGTACACGGGATCCGACCTCAAGAACATGTGCGTGGCTGCGGCGACGGAATGCGTTGGCGAGCTGGAGCAAGACACATCGAAGCGGACGCTTGAGTTTCGTCACTTCAAGTCGGCCATGGAGACGATCAAGGCGACAGGACTGAGCAAGGTGTTGGAGAAGGAGTTCCGGAATTTCGAGAACCATGCCCAGTTCGGGACGCAGCAGGCCGACGATGAATAGGAGGCGGCGAGCAGACGCGGTGAGTCATCGCATGTACTTTGTATCATCGGCTGAATAGCACCCCGATGGAGTATTAATATGGGAATGGAGTCAAGTTCTTGGCCCGATTGCATCATGGCCGGCCCGCCCCACCACTCATCACCACTAACCACCGCCACCTCCCACTCTTCTCTCCCCCTCTCTCTCCCACCCAAACCCCCACCTCCGCTTCCCCTCCATCATCCTGCTGAGTTATTAGTACAGTAACTTACCAGCCCGAGGGAGAAAGACCAATCAGCTCGCGCATATCGGGTTGCATGTCACAACCACGTCGACTCCTCTGCAACAACCGCTTGTTAATCAGAGCTCCGTTGCTACAGCCAAGCTGCCGCCGTCTCCGTTTCTCATTAGCAAGCCTTGTCTCTGCATCATCTCCTCCAACTCCGCCTCGCTCCCCTCCTTACATGTCCATGTTCCGGACCTTCCGACAGTTATTTTCCACAACGCCGTCTCCCCAACGACAAGCAGCCATGGCCGCCGCAAAGGAAAAAGTCCAGAGGCTCATTGACGACAACGCCGTCAGTACGTACATAACATCAGTGCGCCATGCCAAATCCACGCTGACGTGCTGCCAGTCGTCTTCTCCAAGTCCTACTGCCCCTACTGCGCCGCCACCAAAAAGACGCTCGATGGCCTCAACGCGGCCTACACCGTGGTCGAGCTCGACAAAGAATGTACTTGCCCTCGTTCTTCCAGCCCGCTCCTCGACCAAACATCTGACATCGTCCTTCAGCCGAGGGTGGCGCCATGCAGGACGAGCTCGAGAAAATCACCAACCAGCGCACCGTCCCCAATGTCATCATCAAGAAGAAGCCCATCGGCGGCAACTCAGACGTCCAGGCAAAGCTCAAGTCGGGCGAGCTGGAAAAACTGCTCAAGGACGCCGGCTCGCTCAAGGCGTAAGCGCCATTTCCCTGAATCCGCACGCGCAAATGCAGAGAATTGCCGTGCTGATGAGTGCTTCTGCTCCGTGTCGCACCTTCTGGGTCGGGAGTAGCTCCAGATTGTGACGCAGAGCACGAAAGCGCTTTCGAGGGACCTGGTAGTATCAACCGTACAGTAGGCAGAAGCGACACAACATATAAGTGGGCTTCCGAGCCAGTGCAGTACCGAGACGTCACGTTTGCCATCTCGTTGCCTGTTTTTCTGCCGTAAAGAGGCGGCATCTGTATCATTGCGACCATTTACATGTATCATTACGCCGACTTACATCAAACGCAACAGCCCGTATCGTACAGCCTCTTCTCCCTCAAACAGATTCATCTTTCCTGCCCGTGCTACAAGACCTGCGATGCGACGGTGCCCACCGGCCGTCCCACAAACTCCATGACCCCCTCAATAATGTTCTGCCTCGCCGCCTCGGACGACACATTCGCGCCGGCCAAGTAGTTCAGCCAGAGCAGCCTGGAAAACCGTTCATCGGCCACGACGCCCAGCACGCTCCTCTTGGGGTTTCTGGCGAGCTCGCCGTCGCCGTACAGGACCGACAGCCTGCCGTCGAGGTCACGGCACAGCAACAACTCCTTCTTCTTGGGCACCGTCCCGCGGTTGAACATGGCCTTGAACTCCTTCATGGCGGCGCCAAACGACTCGTCGCCGAGCGACTTGTCGCGCTGCGCCCGCGTCTGGATGGCGCGGACGAAGCCGTCACGCAGGTGGTGGAAGTCGGTGTCTCGGACGGGCATGATGCGGAACAGGCTGCGGCAGCCTGCCTCCTGGAGCAGGGCGTCCCACGTCTGCTCGCCTTGGGTGGGGTCCTGCAGTGCCGCGCGCAGGGTTTCCTTCTCCGAGGGTATCAGCGTCGTCGCCAGCCGGTTGACCTTTCTGATCAGGTACTGCTGCAGCCGGGCAATGTCCTGCGTCGCCACGTAGAAGCCGACGAGATAGACCTGGAAGCCGAGGAAGGTGACGGTGCGCATGCCCAGGCCGACGAGGGTGTACTCGACGCCCTGCTTGTCCGAGATGGACTGGGCCAGATAGCTAGACGGCTGCGTGCCCGACTCGTCGACGGTCATGGTGCGCGGAAACGTCGGCACGACGCTGTTGCCCGTGGGGACAATCTCCCTGCCATCGTCGTCGTGCAGCACCACCTTGCGCCTCTCGCCCGCCTCGGTCTTGAAGGGTTCGGTGGGTATGGGCGAGTCGCACTTGACGGCCAGCTTGCTCTTTTCCTTGGCGCTCTCGCGGTCGAGGGCCTCCTTGAGCTTCCAGGCCGTGTAGACAAAGGCGATGAGGCCTGCGCCGGCGCCGGCGAAGAGGAAGGCGATGCGGTGCTGTTCGTACTCGCGGCGCTTGGCATTGAGCTTGTTGAGGTCGAGCTCCTGCGTGGCCCGGGCCGACTGCCGCTGGGAGAAGAGCATGCGGCGCGAGCAGGCGAGGCTTCGGGGCGAGGGTCCGAGAACGGGGCGGACAAAGGCCGCGGGTCGAAGCAGTGGCATCGTTGGCGGCGTCGGGCGAGAAGATGGGCTGTAAAGGGCGAGTTGGTGCTCCCTCAAGCCCTCTGGATGAAAATGCTGGCACGACTTTGGTCGTCCACCCCACGACAAATTCCGAGGTACTCCGTACAAGCCGCGGAGCTCGTGACGTACTGTACAAGCGTCTACAGGGCGCTGATTAGCTAAGGCACTGCTGTAGACACTGAGATGTGCGCAATTGCCAGCTTCAGGCCAAAGTTTTTGGAATCATGACACCCTGAAAGCCTACGTTACTAACGTTGTACAGCATACCTGAGATTTAAGTGCCTGGCAAATTATCAAGCATGTCGCCCTGCTCGTTGTCGACTTGGGCGTAGCCAGGCCCGGCAATTAGCAGTGAGATGCCGGCCTACCCTAGACAAGGAAGGATGAACAAGTGGCCCGTAATATGCGCATAAATGCAATTCGGGCGGCAGCGGGAGTATCCGCCCATTCTCTCTTACAAGCGCCTGATCTAATTAGCACAAGGTCAATAAAATGCTGTAATCATCAGGCAGCATGCGAGGGAAAGAGAATCCGTGTTAGTGAGCACAACCACCACCACTAGCAACAACAGATGGTCAACACTCTTTTTTATCCACCGTTATTGTCTCGGATCAACGACGACGGAACAGCCAAACACGTCCATATTGTCGTTCCCGCATGCGGGCTGCCATCCCGGACCCACAAAGGACAGTTTTGCGAATGATGAACCCAGCAATTGTTTCTTGATCACGGCGATTAGAAGCTAGAAAGCAAGCCATTGATGCAAGCCCGCAGCCTGCAGCCTGCAGCCGTTGAGCCGAGTTGAACTTAGAAGCTGACCGACAGGCATACATACATAAAAGGGCGGCTGAAGCATCAACCACCCGCGTGTCTACCTTGCCCCCTCCGCTCCTTTCGTAGAGATGCTCGGCTGTCTGCTCCCTTGCGTCGAGCTCAAGACGTCGCGCGTATAGCCATTACCAGCTCACCGACCATGCCGGCAAGCTCGTCTCCCCGCCGCCTTGTCGTCGCCGCGACGCTGGCCTCGAGTCTGGCCTGCGTTGCCGGCGCCGTGGCAGCGACGTCGCCCAAGGGCTGTACGTAAATCGCCGGCTCACGTCTCCGAGCTGTTGTCCTAACCAAGCGACACGCAGACGTCATCGTCGACGGATCCTCCTTTGTCCTCAACGGCGACAACGTCTCGTACCGCTTCCACGTCGACAACTCCACCGGCGATCTCGTCTCGGACCACTTCGGCGCCCCCATCGACGGCGACAGCATCGAGGCCGAGCCTGGCCCCGTCCACGGCTGGGTCACCCTCGTCGGCCGCGTGCGCCGCGAGCTTCCGGATCTGGGCCGCGGTGATTTCCGCACTCCGGCCGTCCAGATCCGACAGTCCGAGGGCTACACCGTCAGCGACTTTCAGTACAGCTCGCACGAGATTCGCAATGGGAAGCCGGCGCTCAAGGGCCTGCCCTCGACCTTTGGCGCCGACGACGACGTGACTACGCTGCTCATCCACATGTACGACAGATACAGCGCCGTCGCGGCACAGCTGTCTTACTCCATCTTTCCCAAGTACGATGCCGTCGTGCGCAGCGTCAACATCACCAACATGGGCACCGCAAACATCACCGTGGAGAAGCTCGCCAGCATGAGCGTTGACATGCCCTTTGGCGACTACGAGATGCTCGAGCTGACGGGAGACTGGGCGCGAGAGGCCATGAGAGTCCGTCGCAAGGTCGACTTTGGCACCCAAGGGTGAGTCTTTGCCCAGAGACATGGTCAACATATGACTGACGCTTGCTTCAGCTTCGGGAGTGCCGCTGGCTACTCCTCCCACTTCCACAACCCATTCTTCTCGCTCGTCAGCTCGACAACAACCGAGTCACACGGCGAGGCATGGGGCTTCTCCCTCGTGTACACCGGGTCCTTCGCTGCCGAGATCGAAAGGGGCTCCCAGGGTTTGACACGCGCCATGATTGGCCTAAACCCATCTCAACTTTCGTGGTCGCTCGGTCCCGGGGCGTCCCTCGTCTCGCCCGAGGCGGTTGCCGTCTTTTCCGACACGGGCATCGGCGGTATGTCGCGCAAGCTGCATAGCCTCTATCGAAAGCACCTGATGACGAGCAAATTCGCGACTCAGCCACGGCCAGTCCTCCTCAACAGCTGGGAAGGCCTCAGCTTCGACTACGACGCCGACAAGATCCACAAGCTCGCCACCGAGTCCGCCGACCTGGGCGTCAAGCTCTTCGTGCTCGACGACGGCTGGTTCGGGGTCCAGCATCCCCGCGACAACGACGAGGCCGGGCTGGGAGACTGGGAGGTGAATCCTGCCAAATTCCCAAAGGGCCTTAAGCCCCTAGTCGACGGCATCCGAGACCTCGCCAGCGGGAATTCGTCGACGGGCCCCAAGTTGAAGTTTGGTCTGTGGTTTGAGCCAGAAATGGTCAACCCCAACTCGAGCTTGTACGAAAAGCATCCAAACTGGGCTCTGCACGCAGGCGGCTACCCTCGGACCGAGACGCGCCACCAGCTGGTGCTCAACGTTGCGCTGCCCGAAGTTCAGGACTTCATCATCGACTCCGTCTCCCACATCCTCAGCAGCGCGCCCATTGACTACGTCAAGTGGGACAACAACAGGGGCATCCACGAGATGCCGACAGCCAGCACCAACCACGAGTACATGCTGGGCCTGTACCATGTGCTTGACACGCTGACGAAGCGCTTCCCATACGTTCTCTGGGAGGGTTGCGCGTCGGGTGGCGGCCGCTTCGACGCGGGCGTGCTGCATTATTTTCCGCAGATCTGGACGTCGGACGACACCGATGGGCTAGAGCGCGTCTATATCCAGTTTGGCACCTCGCTGGCCTACCCGGCCTCGGCCATGGGGGCCCACATTTCGGCGGTGCCGAACCAGCAGACGGGGCGCACGACGCCCATCGAGTTTCGGGCCCACGTGGCCATGATGGGCGGATCTTTTGGCCTCGAGCTAAACCCGGCGGAGATGCCGGCGGAGGACAAGGCCAAAATGGCGGGCCTGATTGCGCTCGCCGAAAAGGTCAATCCCATTGTCGTCAAGGGGGACATGTGGCGCCTCAACCTGCCCGAGGAGTCCAACTGGCCGGCGGCCCTGTTTGTCTCCGACGACGGCCAGCAGGCGGTGCTGTTCTACTTTCAACTGCGGGCGACCATCAACCACGCCTGGCCGGTGCTGCGGCTTCAGGGGCTGGACGCAAAGGCCAGGTACAGGGTGGATGGAAACCGGACGGTGTCGGGGGCGACGCTGATGAACAAGGGAGTGTCGTATCGGTTTCCCTCTGGCGATTTCGGGAGCAGGGTCGTCTTTCTCGAGAAGTTGTGAGAGGGCCCGAGGGCGTGAGATAAGATGCCTGCCGGCGGCGTCGAGCGTAGACAGGCCAGCCGGTCGGCATGCAGAGGACGGCCAGCGATTTGGAAGACGCGTAATAGAGATCTGGTCGATCTGGCACGGCAGTTTTAAGATGATGGGTCAACTTTGACTCTCCCTACATGTGGAAACTCAGGGCGCAAAGGTCACGTGCACGGTCGGGCCCTTCCTTCAGGCACATTTCCCAGTCGGTTTGTCCGTGCAGGGGAGGCAGGGGTCCCCCAGCCCGCCCTTTTAATTAACCACCTGAACTTCCCGCGAGGGTGACTGTACGAGACTCAGTTGAGTTGCCTTGCAGTGCGAGTCGCCAGCGCCGTGAACGCCCGATAGCCAGGTACTTGGGTATCAAGCCGTCTGGTGGCCGTTCCTGGCACTGGCACAGCGGAGGGTCTGGTGCGGCAGATACTAGTCACTAAGTTACTGTACCGCCAGTGGAGGGCGGGTGCTGGGAGACAGGGGAGGGTCCCGTGCAGGGCCCCACGCGCACGCACCAACTGGCCGCCTTCAGCACGCCTCCGCCCTGTCTCGGCCTACATGTACCTTCCGACCAACCCTGCTGACTTCCATCGCCAAGCAAGTAGCACCTCACTCCACACCTTTCCCTCCGTCGTCCCCTTCTCACCCGCCCTTGTCAGCATCCGCATCCGCATCCACCGGTGGCCGCTACCTCGCAGAAGCCGTCGGCCTCTGGCTCCCCCTCTCTCTGTACACCTGACTGCTTCGCGACGTCACCCGCGCCCTCTGGATCCATCGCGATATCCTCAGGGGACCGCGTCCCTCTGTGAGCCCACCCCGTCCCCGACGCCCAAAACTGCCCGAGCAGCAGCCCCAGCGTCGCTCGGGGATTTGCCCGCCGTCGATCCACCCTCGCTCTCTCCATCGCTTGCCTTGGGCTCTGCATCTCGGCCTCCCTCAGCGGGGAGCCTTGTACTGTACGTCCGCTCGCCCGGCGCTGCAAAAACGAGGCTGGGGGGAACGAGAAGCCAAAACGCAGTCGACAGGGTCCTTTGTCCTACGATGCTCCCGGCCGCCGCCCCTCACGGCATCATGGCTACGACATCTGCTGGCCCTGCCGCCGATGAGCAAGACGACTCCCGCTCCTCCTCGTCGGCCACCTCTCCTGCCCCGCCCGACAACGAAGAGTCCGACTTCTTTCTGGGCGCCAACGACTCGCAGTCGTCGCTCGGCGTCCCCAACTTCCAAGACATGCAGGTCGACGATGCCTGTTGGCCCCCGGTGAACCGGCTACCCAACGAAATCCTCATCAGCATCTTTGCCAAGCTCAGCGCCTCTTCCGACCTGTACCACTGCATGCTCGTCTCCCGGCGTTGGGCTCGGAATGCCGTCGACCTGCTGTGGCACAGACCCGCTTGTACCAACTGGCGAAACCACAGCAGCATCTGCCAGACGCTCGGCCTCGAGCGGCCCTTTTTCAGCTACCGCGACTTCATCAAACGCCTCAACCTTGCCGCCCTTGCCGACAAGGTCAACGACGGCAGCGTCCTGCCGCTCGCCGTGTGCTCCCGCGTCGAGAGACTGACTCTGACCAATTGTCGAGGTCTCACCGACTCGGGCCTCATCGCTCTGGTGGAGAATAGCGCGTCGCTGTCGGCGCTCGACATCTCCAACGACAAAAATATTACCGAAAAGTCCATCCACGCCATCGCCGAACATTGCCCGCGACTGCAGGGGCTCAACATTTCGGGCTGCGATGCAATCTCCAACGAGAGCCTCATCAGCCTCGCGCAGAACTGCAAGTACATCAGGAGGGTAAGTTTGCCATTTGTGCCTGGTCCCACGCCTGCGCATCTGCCTCTGCTCTTTCCAGAATCTGACGCTTTGGGCTTTAGGTGAAGCTCAACGAGTGTGCGCAGCTGCGTGACGATGCCGTCCTCTCCTTTGCCCAACACTGTCCCAACATCCTCGAGATCGACCTGCACCAGTGCCACCAGATTGGCAACATGCCTGTCACGGCCCTCCTCTCCAAAGGCAACTGCTTGCGCGAGCTGCGCCTTGTCAGCTGCGACCTGATCGACGACAACGCCTTCTTGAGCCTCCCGGATAACCAGGTCTACGACCACCTGCGAATCCTCGACTTGACCTCGTGTACGAGGCTCACAGACGCCGCCGTCGAGAAGATCATTGACGTTGCCCCGCGTCTTCGCAACCTCGTCTTGGCCAAGTGCCGCAACATCACCGACGCGGCTGTCCACTCCATCGCCCGACTCGGCAAGAACCTGCACTATGTACACCTCGGTCATTGCGGACAAATCACCGACGAAGGGGTTAAGAAGCTCGTCAACTCGTGCAACCGTATCCGCTACATCGACCTAGGGTGCTGCACAAACCTGACAGACGACTCCGTCAAGAGGCTGGCTCTACTGCCCAAGCTGAAGCGCATCGGCCTCGTCAAGTGCAGCTCCATCACGGACGAATCCGTCTTCGCGCTCGCCGAGGCAGCATACCGTCCTCGCGTTCGACGAGACGCCAGCGGAGTGTTTGTGGGTGGAGAGTACTACGCTTCGAGCCTGGAGCGAGTCCACTTGAGCTATTGCGTCAACCTGACGCTCAAGGTAATGCCCTTTCTGGGTCCCTCGTATACAGGATTTCTTGCTGACGCCTGCACAGAGCATCATGCGGCTTCTCAACTCGTGCCCCCGGCTTACCCACCTGAGCTTGACAGGTGTTGCCGCGTTCCAGCGTGACGACTTTCAGGCATTCTGCCGGATAGCTCCCCCTGGTGAGTGCAGTGATGACCCGTCAGACCTTTGAGCTCCGCAACGGCTTCTGACACTCGATATAGAATTCACGCAGCATCAGAGAGACGTCTTTTGCGTCTTCTCCGGAAGCATGGTGACCCAGTTCCGCGAGTTTCTCAACACGTCACCCCGGTTCGAAGAGCTCCGCGAGAGCTTACCCTACCGGGCTGGGGGTAGCCGCATCCGCGGCGCTGCTGCACGTCGATCGCAGGCCATGGCAAACAACTTGCCCACGACTGAAGGCGAGGGCTTCGACGACGAAATGGCCGACGAGGAAAACGACTTTGAAGGCCTGGATGGAAGCGAAATGGCTGTCGACGCGAACGTACAGAACCAGCCGCCCCCGGCCGGCACACTTGGATCGACCTTTGCGCAGGCGAATGGCATTCCCGTCCCGCCCCCGGCACCCAGCCTCAGCCACTCTCCGGCTGGTTCTTCGAGTCACGCACACCCTCTGACGGGGCCTATGGGGCCGCTGGCATTCTCGAGCTTCATGACCAACGAACCTGCCAGCGGAGGCCCGCCACTTAGTGCCCATGGCCATGTCCAGGCAAGCCTGGCTACCCTGGTCTCGGACCCGAGCGCATCTCAGCAAGCCAGCACTGCCCCGCCCGGTGGTTCCGCGTCGGGAGCGAGCACCGCGCCGATGCAGCTGCCGCCCCAAGATACGCTCAGAGAATAGATGCCCGTTTAGTGTGAGACGTGGACGAGTCCGTTTCGAAAGCCGGGTGGGTAATCTCGGGCTCCCGGTTGATTGACTTTCAGTCGCACGGCGCAGCATACAGACTGGTCACCGAGACGGCGTGAAGGCGTTCCGGACGAGCTTTCGGCGTCCGGGCGTTTGAGTTGGGCCACGACGGCCGACAAAGGTTCTTGGTCCTTTTTGGGGTTCGGCAGCCTTCTCGACATCATTTGCATAGGCGGAGTTTTAGTTCAGGGAGCGCCGTCCTTGCGTGCAACGAAGTGACGACAGCGACAGAAGACTCGGGACCACGACCGAGAAATGCTCCGGCAGCAGAGAATGGAACAGTGAGAGTGCGAAAGCATGCAGGCTACTAGGGAGTCGGGCGAGGACCAAACCTGACAAAGCCCGGCGAGGAGCACGGCGCAGCAGGGGTGCACACGTTGCGAAAGGATAGAGCATCTGCATGGCCGACTGCATGGAATAGGATTGAATTTGTTCCAGCAGCTACTATAGTTTGACCTTTGAGAATTGCCGTCTTGCGACTACTTGGACTGTGATGGCCGGCAGCGGCCGCGGTGTGCTCTTTAGGCCCTTATGGATTTACTATCCAGACCAGCCGAAATAGTGGAACGGGCTGGTGGGAAGAACAGGGGTTATCTATTTCGTGCCGCGCGCAAAAATGTCTGTATAAAGCTATGTAACAACTGGCTCGGGCCGTCCGACGGGCGTCGGCGTGACGCAATCGAGGGATGATGTACATCAGGCTGAACACCGGCGAACTCTTGCGTGATGATTTGTACATGTATTGACAGCCTACATGTTCTCAAACGTGATGCAAGGGAGACAAAGACCGAAAGCAGAGGCGGGGAGCAGGGCACGAGGAGTACAGATCGTCCATCGCCGTGCTGTGGCGCTGCGCGTCCCGCTCAAGCGGCGGAGATGATTGGGGGAAGGGCCTTTTCGTTGGCGGCGGTGGAGGCGTCGGAGGAAGCGTGCCGCTCGGAGACGGTGGTTGTCGTGTCGGCGACGTGGCGCGTCAGCTCGACGTAGTCGTAGGCGAACTCGCCGAGCTGGCAGTCGTCGATGCCGACGTCCTCGTCGTCGGCGGAGACGCGCAGTGACAGGCCGGGGACGAGGTTCATGAGGAAGAGGATGAGACAGGTCATGACGAAGGACCAGGTGAAGGCGGCGAGGACGCCGGCGAGCTGGTTGCCGAGCTGGACCCAGTGGCGGTCGACCCAGCCGATGGGCGGGTAGGTGTTGCCGTCGAGGCCGGCAATGTAGGAGCTTGGTGGCCAGACGTTAGCACTGTGGCATAGCACGAGACGAGGGCGATCTCATGATTGATATGGAGATGGGGAAAGGGGAGAGCAAGGGCGAGAAAGGGGGAACACTCACGCCCCAAATATGCCCGTCAGGATGTTGCCAACCATGCCGCCGATGCCGTGGACAGCAAAGATGTCAAGCGCGTCGTCAACGCCGGTGAGGAACTTGAGCTTGGTGGCAAAGTTGCAGCACAGCCCACCGCAGACGCCAATGACGAGGGCAGCCCAAGGGGCGACGAAGCCGGCGGCGGGGGTAATGGCGACGAGGCCCGAGATGGCGCCGGAGCAGAATCCAATGGTGCTCCACTTGCGCTCGAGGCGGTAGTCGAGCAGGACCCAAGTGATGCCGGCGCAGGCGGCGGCGAGGTTGGTGACGTAGCAGGCCATGATGGCGCGGATGTTGATGCTGAGGGCGGACCCGCCGTTGAAGCCGAACCAGCCGACCCAGAGGAAGACGGTGCCGAGGACGACGTTGGTGACGCTGTGCGGGCGATACGGTAGGCCGCCCGTGCCCGAGTAGCCGGTGCGCTTGCCGAGCATCAGGCTGTAGGCGAGGGCGCAGGAGCCCGAGGCGATGTGCACGGGGCCGCCGCCGGCAAAGTCGTAGCTGGGCAGCTTGGAGAGCCAGCCGTTGGCGTTCCACGTCCAGTAGGCAATGGGGTCGTAGACGATGGTCGACCACACAAAGATGAAGACAATGGCCGGCAGCATGCGGCCGCGGTCAGCAACGGCGCCGATGGCCAGGGCGGGACTGCATCGTGGTTTACCGTCAGTCTGCGTGACACCAGCCATAGGAGCAACGAGGGATACACGTTGAGGCGGACAACTCACGTAATGGAGGCGAACATGCCCTGGTACAGGCAGAAGAGAATGTCGGGCATGGCGCTGGACCCGTTGGGCTGCCCAATCGTCTTCATGAGGCCAAACTGCGAGAGGTCTCCGAGAAAGGCGTTGCCGGTGCGGGAAAAGGCGAGCGAGTAGCCCCAGAAGAACCACTGGAAGCCGACGACGGCGACGGAGAGCATTGACAGCAGGACGAGCTGCAGCGCCGACTTGCGGCGTGCGAGGCCGCTGTAGAAGAAACCGACGCCGGGGATCATGAGCAGCACCAGGACGGCGGAGAGGGTGATGAAGGCCATGTGGCCGGTCTGCCGACGCCATGTTTAGAATCGTTGCGTTTCCCATGGCAGCATCACGGCTTTACACAGCAGAGGAAGGGGAGGGGAGAGTAGAGCAGAGGCCAGAGCAGAGGGGAGACGTACGTCGTAAAAGATATTGAGGTTGCTGACCCTCGACGAGTAGCCGGCGTCGGCCGTGCCGGTCGTGCCATTGTATTCCACCGCCATGATGCTGGCCCTGGAGGAGGTCCTGCTCTCTTCCTCGATGCCAGGCTGTCCCGGGGATAGGTTAGCTCAGCCTTGTGGGCGGAAAAGAAACGAGGGGGGAGAAAAGAGTGAATGTGAGAAAGGGGGAAGGAAGAAAAAGTAAAGGAGAGACGAGGCACCAGCAAGTAATGACAACCCGAGAAAAAAACAGGTCGACAGGGTAAAAGATGTATTCTGAACGACCATCCATGCCACGTTTAAAGAGAGATTTGTCGCTGCAGCCACCATTCAGATACACGGAAGAGCGCGTGTCCTCGTCTGCCGAGTTGGGCCATTGGAAGCCCAGATGAGCTGCTTTGTCGCTGCCAACAGGCCACCACCCCAATTTGGGTGGCTAGGCAAGGGCATCTGGGACGTACAAAAAGTCCCCGTGGAGTTGGAGATCGAGACCGGACGGGCTTGTCTGTCTGCCTTCTATTTTCCTTGGCCGGCCCCCAAGCAAGCCGGGGTCCAGCCGCAAGCTGCTTATCGCGACGACAAGAAAAGAGAGACGTCCCCGTCCAATAGCGGGCATATTGGAGAGGCTGCCGATAAGCATGAGGGATCTGATAGGGACACGGCCCCCGGTCTCTTGTGGGAGTTGAGGAGCGTTGCAGCCCGGCCGCGTTTCCGCTTACTGCCCTGCCCTGCCCTGCCCTGCCCTCGACCGGGGCAGCTGCGGTGGCACCTGTTCATCTGCACGGGACATGCAGGCGTGGAGTTCCAGCCCTGGCCGCCAGACATTACCTCGAAATGACGAGCGAGCGAGCGACACCTGCTTGGAGTGTTGGTGATGAGGAGGGAGCCTCGTACGCCAGAGGTTTAGAAGCCAGGTCGGAACGACATTGGCAAAGGAAGCCGCAATTGTCATTGGCAGAGTCCGTCAGCGCGTGGACCCATGTACCTCTTGATGCGATACGCCGGACCAATGTGAGACTGGAGGGAGCATTAGTATCATCTGGTAAGCCGTAGGATATCGGACCTGGAGGAAAAAGGCTGTGTCAGATGCTTGTCGTTGGACCGGGGCGCTGCGAGGACCCAGCCGGCTCGAGATGAACGGACGGATCTGCGGAGAGTCGGAGCAGGCGGTTGACTGTTGGGCCCGGGGTATCGACTGCCAGTCGCAGCGAATTAATTAATTAATAGCCCACCTTTCGGCCAGCATAGGATCCTTCTGGAATACCACGTCGTCCAAATAAACCACCTGCAGCTTCCCGCCCCTCGTGTCGACAGGCGGAGGCAATACCACAGTCCCACGACCGTGACGCTGATGTTGGGGTCGACCCCTTTTCTCCTATGCAGCGTCGCGAGAAGCGATGACTGCTGGGGGAGGCCTGTCAAATTGCATCCGCAGCCTCATCCCCCTCGGGTGGACAGTGCGTCGTGAAGCCCTGCCGCTTTCTCCGACGCCACACGGTCCTTGAGGATTGACATTGTTTTCGGTGTGAGGAAGCGAGTCTCAGAATAGCGACTGGCAGAAGACGGCGGGCGCTTGGAATATGTATTGACGGAGAGGTGCATAGATTAAGTTACCTAGATAGTTGCCACATTGGGGTCCGAGGACCACTCCGCTTCACTGTAGAAGCCAGCTCCGGGACACACTCTCGCGAACAGCCGCCCGGTGCCGTGTCTGTTGGGTGAAGACGTCGCTCGGCCTGACATGGAATCGATCTGACGCGCCCGTCTGTCTGCCGTGCTTCCATTTTGGTCGATACGCAGTCAACCCGATAGGCGAGTTCTCCGTCACCTTGCAGGTTCGATGCGCCGTCTCTGAGACCTGGGAAAAAGGAACGAGAAAGAGGCCATTAATCCAGGTCATGGCATGTACCAGCCTGGAGGTGTAGAAAGGATGGGCCAGCCGAGCATAGAAGACTTGTGCTTTGCTTCCTGACGGTGGAGCCAAGCTCTTGCTGCCCGAGAAGCTCGGTGTTGGCTTCATCAACTCAGTCCAGGCGCTTGCTCTGGTCCTCCTGCTTCCCCAGTCTCCAATTCTCTTCATGCTTGGCCAGCGCTCTTGCCACCTCGAATGGGGCGACGTCCTCGAGGAGGCCCCGTGTCTCCGGTGACACGGGCTTCATGACGTACCTGACGACCGTGTCCTGATCTCTTTCTGGTGGTCGCCCGATCCCTATGGATATGCGGGCAAAAGTAGATGTCGGCCAATACTCCATCCTGATGCGCTTGAGGACGTCTTTGACGCCATTGTGTCCGCGTGCGCTGCGTGTCCAGTGAATTAGGGCGACGTCGCCCAGCTTCTTTTCCAGCTCGTCGTGGAGAATGACGAGGCTCAATGATGCAGGGTCATGCTTGTCGCACATGTCTTTCCACGCGCCGAGAGCAAAGTCACCCGACCTGTTCATGAGAGTCGGCGACTGTACAAGGGTGTACTTGGGTCCCTGAGATACAAGGCAGGTTTTGGACCTGCCCAGCCTTCTCTCGCGCCATTCCGGCTGGCGAAAGATTTGGGCCAGGCCACGGTTGGCAAAGTGGCCGGCAGAGTGAAGCGTGCTGTAGGCGGGAAGGGGGTTTCCCAGGCTGATAATGAGGAAGTGAGGATTGATCATAATGGCGCGCGCCACGCTCTCTCGTGGGCTCTGGGGGCCGAAATTCTTGCCTTGCTTGGCGACGGGATCGTGAAGTTCAGGCAAGAAACGCGATATCACGTGAGACGTGGCGGAGCCCCTCTGCGCCTCACCCGCTCACTTCTACTGACGTAGTACATAGCCGGACTCGACGGAGCACCTTGGATGCGCCGCCAATTGGGTCAAATCTCGGGCTGCGCAGCCTTCGCTCTCGCAACACACAACCCGACTGAGCTGCTGACCCCGACTCGCTCCGCAAAACATACCTATCAATTGGACACTTCCTCCTCACCACACACTGCGAATCTCGTCTCGCCTCGGTCACGCAATCCGCCTCGCCGACAAACAAATAAATACAGCCAAGATGTCGTGGGCGGGTGAGCTTTGACACCCCGCAGTTTGCAGAGAGGGGCTGACAAGGAGCAGGGTTCAAGAAAAACGTGAACCGCGCGACGACGCAGGTCATGATGAAGACGGGTGTGTTGTGCTCGAGGAGCTCCTTGAGCCAGTGTCGATGCTAATGGCGGCTTCCAGGGCACGTGGAAAAGACAAATGACCGCGATTATGAGGTCGAGGAAAGGTTCGGGACAGGCCCGACCGCTTGCCATCTCGACCGACGCTGACCTGTCGGCCCAGACGGTTCCGAACGATGGAGGCGGCGTCGCTACGACTGCAAAAGGAGGCCAAAGGCTATCTAGACTCGCTAAGAGGTACCGTCTGGCCAGACATCGCCGTGCTCGCTCGCGACCCGCTAACCTTGCCGCCCGTTCAGCAATGACAGCGTCACAAATGAGGATAGCAGAGACCATCGATGCTTTCTACGGAGACTCTGGCGCAAAGGACGGCGTCAGTAGGAGCTACAAACAAGCCGTCGAAGACCTCGATGCCGAGACCATCAAAGCCCTCGACGGCCCCTATCGAACGACTGTGCTCGAACCTATCACGCGCTTTTGCGCCTACTTTCCCGACGTCAACGAGTGCATCAAGAAGCGCGCGCACAAGCTCCTCGACTACGATGCCCTGCGCGCCCGGGTTAAGAAGCTGGTCGAGAAGCCCGACAAGGACGCGACCAAGCTGCCGCGCACGGAAAAGGAGCTCGAAATGGCAAAGGCCGCGTACGAGCAGCTCAACGAGCAGCTCAGCACAGAGGTGCCGCAGTTGATTGACTTGCGCGTGCCGTACCTGGACCCGACCTTTGAGGCGCTCGTCAAGATTCAGTTGCGTTTCTGCGCCGAGGCCTACTCACGGATGGCGCAGGTGCAGCAGTACCTAGACGCGGACACTAGGGATCAGTACGCTGAGGGCCAACTGGACGCCCGCGTGGAACAGGTTCTGCAGGAGATTCGGGAGCTGAGCATCAGCGGTACGGTCTAACGGCGTGTGGAGCGCCTGGGCTGGTTAGACGACCTTTTACGACACGCGGGATCATGGAGTACATCGACATGTAAGGGATAGCGCTCGGGCACGACACTGCTTGAAAATCGACTTTTCTAGACGCTTTGTATCCGCCTATATATCCACGACTAGGCTGGGCGAATGGCCCCTGCTTCGAAAATCCCCGCAGGCTCACAGCGAGGTGACCGTTAGCATCTTGTCGTGAGTCGCCAATCGTATGTCTGTGCCGGCTGGCTGTCTGGGGGCCTGTGGACCAAAGGCTAACTGGTACGTGAAAGTTGACGGGGAATGGGTATCATGAGGTTGGGCCATGGCGGGTAGGCCGTGGTGAATCATGGCTTCTGTCAAGACTGCCAAAACTCACTGAGTAGGGTTGAGATCGCGTTGCTTGCCAAACAGGTCGCTCAGGGATAGCCGCCGGCCAATAGCCTGCATGGCTGGCCCTGCTTCCGGCCCCTGCTCCTCGGCGATGCCGCCCGACCTAACAGCCTTCCAGCTCTCCTGGATCATGGCGGCGTTGATGTCTCTGGTCTCGTCTTTGTCGTTGTGTATCCAGATGCCGAGGACCTTGTCGCCTTGCTCCCAATCCCCCTCGAGCCGCAAGATGACCAGCTCGTCCATGACCTCGACATGTGTCACCCTGGCCAGGTCCGCGACCAGGTTGTCGAGCGCGCGGCGGTTGAGGACGAAGACGCAGGCGCGAGGACGGTGTTCTGTATCGTCGGCCAGCGGGCTCTGGGCACAGACGAACAAGGTGCCCTCGATGCCCGACTTGTCCCAGCTCTCCGAGGCGCCGTCAAAGGTGTAGACGACGGCGTTGGCGGCAATGCTGAGGATGCCCTGAATGGACGGCAGGTACCGCTGGAGCACGGAGAGGTTGAGCTCGGTGTTTGTGCGAGGCGGCGGCGGAGCGTAGGGAGCCTGCATGGCGGCTGCGTCGGATTCGTAGTCGGAGGCGGCGGGAATGAGGTTTGAAGGCTGGCGGATGTGGCGCGGTGCCTTGCGCGATGCGGTTCGACTCATGGTCGCGACAGACGGTTGCCCGGGCAGGGCTCGGGGGGGAGAGGGGGGCTGGACAGTGATGAACGTCGCACAGGTGGGCTCGATTGGGGAAAACGAGGGACACAAGGCGAGTCCCGAGGGTATATTAGTCGTCAGGTGCGGCGGCGAATCGGGGCCCAGACGAAGATGATGAGATCAAGGGCACACACAGAGGGATTGACGCGATGCGATTTCTCTGGCCAGCAACGGATGCAATTGAGGTCGAATGCCTGCTTTGACCCTTGGGGAGCTCAGTTGGGCTTATCGATAAGGCACCACTTAACGTGACGCTTGCTCCTTCTAGCCGGGGAAATCATCGACTCGGGAATATGTAGATCTTAAGTTCAGGGGAGAGAGCTTCTTTGCCCAGACTGCAACCCTCCCTGCAAGGACGGCTGAACCAAGGAAAACGAAGAATAGCTTTGGGTCAGCTTCTATGTATGAGACTTCCTGCTGTTGGGAGGCCAGCGCCGCCTGGGCGAGACCATTTGGCACATAAGATCGCCCCCAATGACTTGGCTGCCCGTCAAGTCTGGCTGCCACTGACATGAGCGCCCCTGGAAATCACAGGAACAAAGGCGGAATGCACCAAAGGGTTGCGGTACAGACTGTTGATCGCATGCCACGTGCTGCGAAAATGACCTAATCGGGTCTCGAGAAGAGCATGCGGCTAGGGGGCTGTTAAAGAGTCCGAGTGCACCCTCAAAGGAACGGGCTGCGGCAGTGTTCGAGTTCGCCGGCAGGTTGCTGTCCCGGTTCGAGGGCCTTGTAGATCTTTGCTGTTGGTTGAACGAGAGAAGGGAATGAAAGGGCAGAAGGGGCAGCAAGCCCAGACAGAAACGGCACAGTTTGCAATGACGGATGGCAAGCAGAGGGCACTATTAGCTAGGTAGTTCAATGGAGAGAGTGCACACGCAAAAAGGACAAGGCCTGTCGTAATGACCAAGTGGTCATAGGGAGTCTGATGCGTGGTTGGCCAGAGTCACGGAATCTGCTGCTGAAGCCGTTTGTGTTCTCGTCGCTTACGTGAGTCTACACGTGATATTTTACGTGATCCTGCGGCCCTGCACCGGTAGATGTGCTACCTAGGTACATACCTTACTTAGCTAATGTGCGACAGTCCAGGCACCTCGTGCTCTTACCTCGTGCTCTTACCTCGAGCGCGCCCAGCCTCACTGCGGCCGCTAGTTTCCATATTTAGGCCCTTACTAATTATTACTTGGTCTCATGCTCGACGTGGTAGGCACGCACCGCGTCAACACTCAGACATGACGGCATTCTTTGTGTATTGATTGTGTACGGCGCAACGGAGTATTTCCGCCTCGAAGAGCAAACAACTCGCGTCTCGTCGGCCGCCTCACCGTGTTTGCGCCATGATCTAGCAGGCCAAGCCCAAGGACATTTGCGGCATCCAAAGTCGGCAGCGTCGCTCCTCGCAGCCCGACATGACTACTTCAGCCAGCGAGGCGTCGTCAGACTCCGAGCCAGTCGACCTGTCGGCCACTCCGCAGTCGCTCGCGCGAGCTGTCCTTGCCCGCAGACGCGAGTACGTGCGGCCGCGCAAGCTGCGGGTCAAGATTGGCACGTGGAACGTCGCCGCCTGTCCAGGCACCGACAAGGACTTGGCGAGTTGGTTTGTCGAAGGCCGCGACATCGATAAGAGCTTGGCTGCGCTCCATCGCAATAGCAACACCGCCGTCGAGCACACCAAGTCTGGCACCGTCGACGGCGACTCTGACTCGGTCGGCGGAGACGATGTCGGGCTCTACGTCCTCGGGCTGCAAGAGGTGGTGGATCTCAACGGGACGAGAGAGTACATGAACCGAGCGGTCTACACTGACAACGGCCCCATGCTGAAGTGGCAGGCGGCCGTGGAAGCCGTCATGCCCTCCGGATACGAGCTTGTAGTTGCCGAGCAGATGACCGGAATCCTCCTCCTCATATACGCGTCGCCCCAAGTCGCCCCGACCGTCAGCAACGTCAGCACAAAGCAGGTCGGCACGGGGCTCCTGGGCTATTTCGGGAACAAGGGCGCTGTGACCACCCGTCTGGTCCTGGGCGAAACGACTCGCATGGTCTTTGTCAACTGCCATCTTGCTAGCGGCGCGAGCTCCAACTACCTCGACCGGCGGTGCTGGGATGTGAGCCAGATCCTAAGCAAGACGCAGTTCGACCCCGTTGTGCACGCAGGTGTTGCCGAGGACGAAGGGGACGAGATTGGCGACGAGGACTTTGCCTTTTGGTTCGGCGACCTCAACTTTCGCCTCGAGGGCCTGCCCGGGGACGATATTAGGAGGTTGTTGACATTGCACACGCGCGGCGAATACGACGTGAACAGCCATCGGTCACCTGCGCCCTTGGACGGCCATGGCTTCATCATCATGAAAAGCTGCGAGAGTGACGATGATACGAGCACCACCACCTCGCTCCATTCCCGAGACCAGAGCTTTGACTCCAAGAGTTCCCTGCCCGACCCGGACGATTTCCCCGAAGATCCAAGCCAGGACCCGACGTCCCTGCAGTCAACCCTAGACTCTCTCCTCCCTCATGACCAGCTAAGGCGGTTGATGGCGCGGCGGAAGCTCTTTCATGACGGCTGGAGGGAAGGCCCCATTACCTTTTTACCTTCGTACAAGTATGATGTGGGCACCATCGGCCTCTTCGACTCGAGCGAAAAGCAGCGCGCTCCGAGCTGGTGCGATCGCATTCTTTACCGTACGCGCAAGGACAAGCGGGGCTATGACCAACAAATCGAGGACGAAAAGGTAGCCAAGCAAAAGGACGACGAGATGAAGTCCAGGGGCCTTGAAGAAGACGACGACGTCTTGTTCAGCTACGACCCGGACACTGACAGCGAACAGCAGCCTAAAGGAAGCCCTGGGATCGACTATGACGAGTATGACGAGACGATGGAGGACCGCGAACCCGACGAAATGGTAACAAAGGATGGCTCTGTAGATCACATTCATCAAGATATCTATACGTCTCACCAGCGCATCACTTCATCTGATCACAAGCCAATCATCTCCGTCTTCACACTAGAATACGATGCCGTCGTGCCGGAGCTCAAGGCCCAGGTCCACGCCGAGGTTGCTCGCGAACTCGACCGGGCGGAGAACGAGGGTCGGCCCGGCATCACGATCGTAGTGGAAGGAGGAAAGGGGCACCTCGAGGGTGCCATCGACTTTGGCGACATTGGATTTCTCGAGACGGTATCAGCCGTCGTGACCATCGCCAACACCAGCGGCGTGCCCGCGAGCTTCGCCTTTGTCGAGAAGCCGACGACAGACGAGGGCGAGCCTGCCACTGCATCCTGGCTGACGACGTCGTTTATCCAGGCCGACGAAGATGCGACGGACAATCTCGGCAAGACCGTGACTCTCGAACCGGGAGAAACCGTGCTGGCGCACATCGAGGCCCAAGTCTCCGCCATTTTCCAGCTTCGAGCTCTCAACGACGGTCATGTCAAGTTGGAAGATATCCTGGTGCTGCGCGTTGAAGACGGCCGCGACCACTTCATCCCTGTGCGAGGCGCGTGGCTCCCCACGTGCTTCGGCCGCTCCATGGACGAGCTGATACGCGTCCCGGACGGGGGCATCAGGAAATTCGCGCGAGACAGAGGGCTCAAGGGCGCGATACCCTACGATCTGGACGTGCACTGCTCGGCGCCAAAGGAGCTGTTCAAGCTTACAGAGGTGGTGCAGACGCTGGCCGAGCGATGCGTCGCAGATGAGGCCATGCTAGAAGACATGGAGCTGCCTCGTGATCCTGGATGGCCGCTCGACGCTTCCACCTGGGTTCCTGGGCTCGTGGAGCAGAACTCAGTCAAGGCCGCGATTGTGGCGGCATTGGACACAGACACACCCATAGTCGAGGCTCTGCCGGTAGAGCTGTCGTCGGCGCACAGGCTTGAACTTGTGTCGTCGGCGTTGCTTCTCTTCCTAGCCTCCCTCACCGACGGCCTTGTACCGCCGCACCTGTGGGCAAAGCTATGGGCTTCTCTCCCGAGTCTCACGGCGTTGCCCTACACGGCATGGCCTGGCGTCCGATCTCAGGTCTTGGACATACTCGCGACCGCCCCGAACCACAATATCGCCTTTGTCTTCTTGACGGCAACGGTTTCCCGGGTATCAGCAGAGCTTAGTCCCGGGACGCCAGAGGGATCCGGTTTGTCCGGGCTGTCGCGACGGCTCAGCTTCCGGAGAGGCGACGAGGACGGCTCAAAGAAGAGACGTACCAGAGAAAGGAGGTATGCAGAGATTCTGGGGCCTCTGGCGTTCCGGGCAAACGACAAGGACAAGGCGTTGAAAGACAAGGAGCGCATCGTCATCGAGATGTTCCTCAGCCGCGAGGCGATTGGCTAGGGCCGAGAGACGGGACCGGCATCTGGAAAGGACAACAAGGAGAGACGGCGACGGGCGCAGAGGCGTTGGCGATTGATCGAATCAAGATTACGAGTATCTACGCATCTTTTTTGACTAGGCCGATTGGAACCTAAATGAGCACACGGTAATACTCTGAGAAACAACAACAGCCGGACAGGGTAGAGCCAAGTGCTTGCTGACTAGAAATGCTCGGCCTCATGGACGTGCTGGCGAGGCTGAGAGAGGCCGGTTGGGGTTGGGCTGCAGGCGAAGTGCGCACCCGCGGTGATTCGTCGGAACACCCAGGAGCCACTCACGGCCCAGCAGGCTTTGATTTCTCGGGGAAGAGCGCGACGAGTCAATGGCAGGTTCAGCCTGCGAGGCAGTTACCACGACGCCTACAAATTGCAGCCGATGAACGCGCAGCCCCTGTTCTTGGATTCCACACTTGGGACGGCCAGGGCGGCTGAACAGAGTCGAGCTCGAGCTGGTCGATGCGAACACGACCATCAGATGGATAACATTTGTCGTTTGCACCATCATTAGCGCATCGTCCAGCCATAACGAACCATCTGCTTGAACAGCGACCCACCGCTCCATTCAGGCACTCCTCCGACATCACTGTTGCTTTGGTTCGACAAGAAAGGTCTCGAGACCAAAAATAGAGGTGTGTCTCGTGCCTCGTTTGCGTGACTGCCGTCGCTGCCTACAGAAGATGGACCATCTGACGCACGCAGAGCAGCTCCGAGCCCCCCGAGACATGTTGCCGCCGCTTGAATCTCGGTGCTCGGCCATCTAAAGCAGCACCGCCGGCGTCCGATAACCTCCCAGTCTGTCCCCTATTTCCACGATGCACTGGCCAGCGAAGCCTAGCAGCACAGCCAAGCTCTCGCACACAGGCCGCGAACTCCTCCTCCAAAAAGCTGGCGACATGATACAGCGACTCGAAGATATTCGGATCCGCGCCGTGCAGCACTCGACGTTGGAGCCCATCACCATGCTTGCTGCCGAAATCCCGTTGCCGCTCGTTTCCGCTTCGGAGCAAATCGACCTTGGGGATGGTTCCTCAGGGGTCGTTTACTCCCGGATGGAGGCTATTCCCCCGCAGGGAGGGCTTGGGTGGGAGCCCTGGGATGGCACTGAGGAGCTGCCAGGTGGGGAGCAACTCGAAGATGGCCAGGATGCGTTCGCAATCGAGGGCTCCTGGCTGGAGCTCCTCTACCTGGCGCCTGATACCGAGCATGCATTTGAGTATTTCGACCTAGCCATCGCCAACGAAGAGGGTATGGGTCTCGCTGCTACGCTACCACTCGAAGACAGCACCCTACCCTCCCACACGGGCGCTCCCGAGACTCTTCAATCACTTACTGGCGAGGAAGGCTGGGCGGCAGATGGAGAAGCCGCTCTTGGCACCTCGAGTGAGGCCGCCGTCCAAGACAGTCATGTTCTTCTCTCCCCTTGGGCCGAAACATTCCCTGGTATGCTGGAGACATACTTGGACTACCTAGACAGGATGAGTCCCAGTCTGCGATACCCTCTTGCCTCCCCCGATTCGGTACCCTCCACAGACCTCGAGCTCACGCACGCTGCCGTCAACGACGCAAGCCCCCCAATCTCGACAGAGTGCTTGCTTACACTCCAGGATGGCATCAATAAGGCGTACCGATGTCGCGGAGTCATGAAAGACGGTCTTAAGAAAGCCCAGAGAGCGTCTAGATGCACCCCTTCCCGCTAGGAGCGAGAACGATCTCAAGACCACCCCGCGGGCTTGATGAAGAGCCTTGGTTACGGAAGTCCCTTGGTAGAGAGTATCACGGCCAACGAGGAGTGGCCTGCCGACGACTGGAGCAACTTGAACAGGCAACGCCAGCGGTCCAGACTCTGTGGCAGAGCTGGGGCGATGGTTTTGGCGGACGAAGATGCCTGCTTCTACGTGGACAACAAGGACTCCAAGTCGTCAAGTAAGGTCCGATGGTAACAAACGGGTTTGATTGCACGAGAATTTCGAGAGCATCATGTTGAACCACGCCACCAGAGGCGGAGGAGTCACCATAGCGGCGACTGAAAACTTTTGAGAAATTCGATTACCAGCCGAAAGCACAAAACCGCCTGCACACCTTGTCCTTTCTATCACCATGCAAGCCTCTCTTTCGCCATGTATAGACACGGTACAGAAACGCAACCGATGCAAGGCCCTCTCCGCCTCGTTGTCTCGAGCGCAGAAAACGATCTCTAATAAGAAACTAGGCTACAGGGGTATCCAGGACCCAGAAATCGGCTCAACGTTGAACGAAGATGGCGTACAAATAATGAGGAGAAGAGGACGGGCAACGGGCCCTTACGAGAAGTCGAGCACGAACTGGAACAAACCGAGGCCAAGGAGAGCGGGCTTATGCCGGCTACTCGCGCTGGTACGTGGGATGAGGATGCCACTTCTCCTCGAACATCTGCGAAACCCAATAGAGGGGGTGGTCCCAGTCAAACTGCGTCTGGGGTCCCATGTAGGGAGAGTCGTAATTGTCTCTGCTCTGGGCGTCAATCTTATCCGCTATCAAAGCGTTCCAAGCGTCAGCCTCGTCGTCGGGGGCCCATGGGTCTCGAGACACCACAAGCCGGGACTCACCGAAGCCGTTCTCCTCCTTGTACCTCTTCCACACCGAGAGCTGTTTCTGCACACGTGCATCGGTCAAGGTGTCCATGACAAGCTCATGCTGTTCCGGGCTGAGGTCTGCCATGAAGGCCGTGTGCCGGTTCCACGGCTCGGCCGGGTTGGGCCAGGGCTTGCAGTTGTAGTAGTGCCAGTGCATCAAGATGTTGTTGCAGCCTTCCTGGAGCTCCTCGACGAAGGCCGGGATCGAGTATCGAGACTACAGAGACATCGTGTTGTCAGTGCGCGTGCAGGACAAGGCCGGGCTTTGGAAAGGGGTAAAGGGGTCTGGCAGCTGGAGGAATCGAGGTGGAAATCAATGGTCTTGCCTTACCTTTGCGCCACAGTTGCTCCTCGCGTGACGATATCGATCGGCGCTGATGAAGCTGGCCTCGCGCAGGAGGATAAAGACACAGAGGTAGATGGTCCACCACCAGCGGCCCTGGTTGCGGAAGATGTAGCTCTCGAGGTCCTGCAGAACCAAGCGTCCGTACTTGACAAGCATCCTGGTGTGGTTGATGCTGTCAAACTGGGCGATGATCATGCGCGGCAGAGAGACCTTGCCGAACAGGGGGTACGTCTCGTCCTTGAGCTCGGGCTTCATATCGAGCCGATCCTCGCCGCAGATGTGGGCGCTGCCTGTGGTGTGTCCTGGTGCCAGTCAGTTTAAGCTCGCGCATCCCGGGGTTCCACAGCAAAGGAAGAAGGGGGGGGGGCGTCAACTTACGAGTAGCAAACCATAGGGTGAATAGATTGCCGAGCAGCTTCTTCTCGGCGTTGGGCTTCTTGCCAGACGTGTCCTCGAACTCGTCCTTGCTCGGTTGTCAACCTGACGAACAAAAGGAGGGAGGGGCCAGGGGCCAAAGCAAGGGGGGAGGGCGGCCCAGGTACCTCGAGGCTCTGATAGTGGTCCATGGCCATGGCATATGTTCGCTTGATGACGTCCTGCTGGGCACAGGGCAGCCCGCGGATGCGCGAAGTCGGCATGTTCTGCCTCGCCATGGAAGGCAGGGCGTTGGAGATGATGTACTTTTCGAAGTAGTTGGCCGTGTCCCAGATGTTGAAGAGACAAAAGGAGTCGAGTTCCTTCTTCTTGCGCACCTCATGGCCGTGCTCGCCCTCCCGGACGTACCAATAGCGCGCCGTCACGTCACCGGGCCGCGCATGGAATCGCACCACGTTGAGGACCAATGGCTCGCCGCAGACGCCGCTGGTGACGTGGATTGTGCGCATAACCGGTGGGTCGACTCGATCGCCGACATCCTTCATGGCCGTGTCGCGCCAGCGGTCCGTCAGTTCGAGGCCGCCTCGGCGGAAGAGGACCGTGTCAGTGAGCTTGCCCCTGAAGCACGAGATGCGGTGGATCGTCTTCTTGGACGTCTTGGAGAATTGCTGGCACGGCTGGCACTCCGCCTGTGCCTCTTGCGAGTCGTTGACGCACTCCAAGGCAAAGTCAGCTCCTAATTATATCCTCGTCTCTTTTTCATGCCACCACCCCCTTCTGGGATCCGCTGTCGACCGGGGACTTACGCGCAGTTTCTGGACCCGGCATCTCAGGCAAGCCTTTTTCCACCGGCTTTCGGTTGCTTCCCGGTGTCGTCCTCTGCCCCGGGCAGGGCGAGCCTTTGCCTTGGGGGCCGGGCAGTCGCTCGCATCCTCATGGTCTCGAGGGTCAGAGATGGGAGCCTGTTCGGCCGACAGTTGGATGCTTATCCTGCCCAGAATCGTCAAGTCAGACGCCGCCCAGGGCCCGCCCTCGGCATTTGTGACCTGATCGGGAGCTACAGGGCCCGATTGGAATTCTGACGGCTGGCCCCTGGGCGGGCCAGCGCCGCCTTGCTCCGTCAGCGGCACAGCATCGGCCGCGTCTCTACACCCATGAGTGGCCGCGCCGCCCTGAGATGACTGCTCCGCTGTCGACGAGGGGCCGCCGCTGCTCTCTGGGGAACACCTGCCGTCGGGATATAGCTGGCCTCGGCCCACGGCAGATGGAGGAGAGGGTGGATCCGGAGCACGTCGATGCCGCTCTAGATATTGGCCCATGGGGTTCCACCGGCCCTCATACTCTGGCACGATATGCTGCCGCATGTTACCTTGCCACTCAGAATATGACGGAGGGCTATAGAGGGCGTAGTTGACAGAAGACGGTGGGGGTGCGCCTGGCGGTGCTTTATCAAGAAGAGCGGCCTCTGCCTCGACTCCAGGCACGTGTATCGAGTCGAGATGGTCCGACGGGGTCGCATGCGTCGCCCTGTGCGCGGAATCCGTGACACAAGACGGCCCCGTTGAGTCTGCTGTGCCACTGCTGAAGGGCCCGGGGCTCAGCGTCTGGTCCTCGACGGCCTGTAGACGTCGATGGCATCCCGCACTGGCGGTGGTGGTGGTGAGGAAGGGGGTCGCAGCCGGCTGAGGCGGGTCATGCGGGAAAGGGGGTGCAGCAGAGGCAGGAGGAGGAGGAGGAAGAAGAGGAGGAGGAGGAGGAGGAGGAGAGTGATGGCCGTTGGCGAGCTGGCCGGCCAGGGACACCTGGATCCGGTGCTGGAAGTATGGGTCATAAAGTATCTGCAGCGCGCTACTAGCCGGCGACAACGCCATGCCCATGGCGGCCAGGTCGTCGTCGCCTGGATCCTGATGATGGCCGGCTTGGGGGCCGAAGCTCGACGGCGGAGCGACCAGACCCGCCATGGCACAGTAGGGAGCCGGCGGCTGCATGTGGTAGAGCTGGCTCGCCTGGGCCGTGCCATCTGGAGCATGGAGCCGAGTGGCATCACGATACGCTTCGGAGCTTGGCGGGTGAGCATTGTACGAGGGCACAAAAGGCGTTGGCCCAGGCCCGGCTGTCTCGGTCACACCCGTGCCGGGATGGACGGGCCAGGAATACTGAAAAGTGTTTCCCGGCCCGAGCTGCTCGAGTTGATTGTTGCTGTCGTGGAACCCCCTGCCAGGGCTACAGATCCTCTTCACCCCACGAGTCGTCTCCAACGGCGGACGCTCAGAGACCTTCTTACGTCTTGGTCGGCGCTGGGCCTGGGAGATTGATCAGTCAGAAAGCCGGAAGCTGGGTGAAAGCGCACAACTCCCGGGCGTCCCTTTTCCCGGTCGAAGCGCTGACCCCGGGCCACTGCCGGGGGCCCGCCCTCTCGCCCCTATCCAGAATCCACCACGCTCGTTGGACGACGGGGACACGCCCATTGCTCAGGGGGGCTCGCACAGCGTAGGAAGGACAAAGTGATTATTGATCCAAGCAGCATGAAATCAAACCGGGAGGATACGTAGGGTGGAGGGGGCGGAGAGGGCTGGGACTATACAGGACGGCCGATATACCGCATCATCGCACATGGCAGACATGGGGATACATACCACAAACAAAACCGGGGGCGTAAGGGAGGGGGCGTGTGGCATGGTGGAAATGGTAGGAAAGACTGAGGATGATGATAAGACAGGCAGCAGAGGCCAGTGCCAGTACATGGCCCGATATGGATCCCTCGGACGGCCAGGAAAACTTTTCACTTACCACATGCCCTGCCGGGGCTCTATCTGCGTCCATGGCACGGCGCCGTGCCCTCGGGGCCTGGCTGGAAACACAGCGTCAGGAGCGAAGGGGAGAGGAGACGGGTGAGGGGGGGCAGGGCACAGAGAGAGAGAGAGGAAAAGGGGGGGAGGCCCGGAGGCGGATGTGTCGCACAGGAGAGCAAAAGCCGTTCGAGCTGCGCGGTGAACTGATTGAATCGATGTGTGTGAGAGGGAAAGGGGCAGGGAACAGAATGCAGTGTGACCGACAGTGGTAGGCGTGAATGTGAGCGCGTGTGTATGCGAGTGCGTGCGTTTGTTTATGGAATTTGATGTCAAGTCTCGCCACAGGACGAAGCAGGTGGAGGACTGGAGAATCCTAAGAATACCCCGGAGGTTGGAGCGGCTGCTGACATGGGGAGGGAGAGGGGGCAAGGAAAGGGAAAGGAGGGAGGCAGAGCGCCGAGCTGGACAGGATGCCCTCCGCGTTCGGTCAGCGTCTCTGTGTAATGTGGCCCCCCCGATCCAAGGGCCCGCCATTCGATGGCTGCCCCCGAAGTCAAGGCCCTCGCGCTCGCACCAAAGCAGCTCTGCAGAAGCCATGGAAGGGCAAGCCACGCCACATCAGGAGGGACCCCGGCATCCAGCAGCCCAGGGGAGGCAACCAGCGCCTTGCTCCCGGCAGCACAGCCTCGCCCGCGGAGCAGATTCTTCTGTCTGCCTGCCAGACACTAGCAACGGGCCGTCCGCCGGGCCGAGGCGTGAGCAAACAAGTGGGTTGACGAGTCGCCGTTGGCTATGTCGAGCAAGCAACCGCAGCGTCCGGGCACTCGGCCACGCGAGTCTTTTTACCCCCCCCCCCCTTCACGGTACGTAACGCAGCGTTCCTGTCCGCTGCCCTGCGCAGGCAGGATGGTCCGAGTGCGCTCTGAAATTATGGGCCAAGGGGACTGTTGGCTGCCCACCGGCCTTGGTTGGCTGGCCGAATCCTGCTTGTTGGACGGGCGGCGGGGATACAGTACAGTACAATCGAGGCAGAGCTTCTGATGCTGCTGCCCGTTGTCCAATGACCGGCTCACGCTCTTCTCGGTGCAGGCCATGAGGTTACGCAGTATGGACTCCATCGGGCAAGTCGCAGGTCTCCGACGAACGACTCCGCATCTCTCATACTGTACTGTATGCGCGTGTACAGTATGTATGTTCCATGCCGGGACCCCGTCTTGGGGACTGAGTTCTTTCTTGTCTGGCACATGGTAGGGGGCTGTGTGTACAGGAGTGCCGGTGAGGGCATCGCTGCCTCTTTCCAGCCCCCCTGACCCAGGAGCGATCATCTCAGTGATATAAAGAGCGCGCTCGACTCGGCACGGAGTACGGGAACCATCAATCGAATGTACATGCTTACATGTACGCACGTGGAGGCCATGGCCCATGAGCCTGAATCTCAAGGCTGGCGTTACACAAAGCATTTCAGCCGCCAGCGAGGCTACGTGCCGACAGGGAGGCAATCTGGGCAGATTGCAGTACAGACGGCTTGAGCTTTGCCCTGGGCTGCGTCTCCCGATCCCTGTCCCTGCTTCCGCCGCGTACGTCAAACGTGTTATCGCGCTCAGCCATGATGTTTGCACCTCGCACGCGGACGCGGGAGCCCAAGAGGCGCTGTTGAGTCGTGCAACGGGCTCTCTGCTGGTGCTTGTCAGCACACGAAAAGCAGATGGAAACAACTAGCACGCAGTTGGGCGCGACTTGACGCCATTGCGTTGCTGTTCTCGAGCTGTGTAGGCTGAGACATGCCATATATAAGCTGTGTATCTCTCGACGTCTGCATCGGGCTGTGTCGCTTGCCGTTCCCCTTTTCGATGCCACAGGGCCAAGCCCTACCATGCAGACTGGTGTTTTAAGTTGAGGCATGCGGTGGTCCCCAGCTCGAATCGACAATGCCGAGTTGGGCCTGGGCCCTTCACTCGAACTCCCAATGTGGCTCAAGATTCAAAGCCAAGTGCCGGCCGACTGACAAGCATGGTCTGCCCGGTAGCACGGATCGTGCCTGATGTCGTGCCAACGTACATACTCGTACATGCGTCCGTACATGCAAACGGAGCCCCTCCGAGCTTACGGGTGACCAGACGCGGAGAGCGCTTCGTATCCGTGTACATGTGCGCCGCATAATCTCGGCACATGTAAGAAGCGAGAGAGGACCCCAGCCGTGGATGAAACTAGAAAAAGAAAATCGAAGCATACACTTGTAACCCCAACCTTGAATATGCGCGAACACGGCCAGCGGAGGCCGGCTGATCGTCTGGCCATGCAAGGCGCGACCACGGAGTAGTCTGCGATGGGATAATGCCATGACATCAACAGTATGTAAGAACACTCGGTAAAGCATGCATGTTCCAGTCGCGAGCCGGGCTGAGTCGGCCCCTGGAAAAGGGGGTGGGGGCCTGGGGTGAAGCGAGAAGGGTGGACGGGGGGAGAGATCATGCGATGCCATCTGCCCCAGACTCCCGGGACTGGAAACTGACACGATGAGGAGTTTGGAGAGAGATAGGAGTCGTTCTAGCAAGAACATGGTTCTCGAGGGCCGCTGCCCGGCGCGGGCATGGCCGGCTGTGCCTGGGCGTGCAAATCGCAGCCGCACATGCCACAGGGGACCGGGGGAGGAAATAGAGCCGCATCGGACCTCGGGAATAGAATGGATGATGGTCTTTTCATTTCCGTTTTCAAAGAGTATTGGACATACGTGTGTCCGTGTATATATATATATAAACATATGCCCACTCCAGGGAATACTCGGGGGGGCTATTGACCCTTTAGATAAGGGAAAGTTCCGTCCAAGATCCTTATGCTTTTTGATTCGTACTCTACTGTAGAATCTGATTGGATAAATACAAAATGACGGCACGTTCCGATTTTGCTGTATGCCAGAGTACGTGGCCAGCTGCAGTTGCAGACAACAACAAGACGTTGATCAGCAGGATGCGCGTGCGCGTGTGTGTATGAGCGCGCACCACCTTCTTGCATTTGTACGGAGCACATACATATGTACGCATAAGCGCGCACGTTAGATTGCATGCAGACATTCTCCACAGCGTTACATACATGCCTTGACAGACACATACATACATATACACACAGGTGGGCACACACCGTCAAGACTTCCGAGGCGAATCTTGGGGTCTTTCGGCCGAGATATACTGACACTTGAACCGAAGTCGAGATGGTGTTTCCGGGAAGACTCTCCTTGGCCAGCCCGGCATCCACCCCGGTCCGTAGTCGTCTTGTAAGAGTTACAGCCCTGCTCCGAGTGCCAGCCATACTCGGGCAAGGGGCCTGCCGTATGTACTATCACCGCCTGTCGAGGCTCAAGGACAAAGAGTCGCAGCCCCCGTGCTGTATGCACTGTATATGCGCGAGAGATTGCGTGAGCCTTCGCTGCCGACTGCAGATGGCCAGCGTTCCTCCCCCTTCCCCTCCCCTTTCCCCTCCCCTTTCCCCCCCTTTTCCCACCAACAAGAAGCAGAAGCAGCAGGAGGGATGGGAGTTGCCTCCCAGGCTGCTGCACCCCGAGACCGCGCGGGTTCTTGTCCGGCGGCCCGGCAGCGAGCTACCATCGATGGTGCCTTGGGCCTCATTCTCCCTAATCAAAACCTCAGTTGAGGACTGGCCGGCCTTGGCCTCCGCGCACATATGTACATGGCAGTAGCAAGCTCTTTTCTGTCAAGGAGACCCAAGGAATATGTCACTATTTACCCGTCAAAGTAGACATTCTTCTTGGTCATCCCACCCAAGGGTATGTTACGAGACCTGTCAAAACTTGTACACGCACCTCGCCTGACCATGGCCTCGCTGATTGGCCTGGGTCCTTTGCCCGTCCGTCAATAACGGGCTTCGTCATTATTGTCTGGCATGGCCTTTCAAGCCAATCATTCGAATTCCGATCTGCTTTGTGCTTCTGGGACCCAACGTTCGGCCCTTTGAACCCTTTCTGGCTCTCCTTGCCCTGGCCAGACATGAGTCCAGGCCACAGAGAGTACGGATCACATTGGCTTTGTTACCTTTCATTTATCTCTTTGAACCCCGCCTTTCATCCGTTCCCTCCTCAAGTCCTCGTGCTTGCCCGTGCCTGCGCCATCAGCACCTCACTTCCAGCCTCGAATCGCGGCATCACGGAGCAGGCTCATGGAGCACTGACGTCGAGCAGCGTCTGAATCCTGGGGCGATGCATGTCGTCTCGGATATTCTTGTAGCAGGCTCCATTAAAGCACCAGGCAGACGTCGGGCAGATGCAACCTGCCCCCTCGCACGTTTGCTGCACAGGGAGACTCGGGGAACATTCAAGAATGGAAACATGAACCTGTGCAGCGCAGCAGATGGCATGGCCCACTTCTTCTTGTCGTCGTGGAGAGGATCTAAAAAATGGTCCCGTCCTGAGAGCTCTTTCCGTCGTGTCTCTGCTCCGTAGAGTGTCCCAGGGCGGATCTGCCTGCAATTGAACCAAGCCTTCGACCTCGAGTGCCCGAGGAGGATTCACGAGTATCACAAGCATCGGTCCGGACAGACGTCGCCCCCTGCAAGCCACAACGTGGCCATGTGCGACAGTGCTTCCCCGACGCCAGCAGCCACCGACAACGCCGTGACACAGCCGACCGTCTGCGAGAAGGCCGAGGTGGTCCGCCCCTTGATCGGCACGACGCGAGACGCGACGTTTGCCGATATCCTAACCGGACCTTTCCTTTGGACCGCAGCCGACTTCGAGACTCGAGAGATTTACACTCAGCGGTTGGGCCCTCGAGATATCGAAGAGATTGAAGCCGCGCTGCGAAGCTTCAAATCTGGTGGGTGTTCCTTTTCATATTCGCCGTGTCAGTCTGGGGAGAATGTTGCTCTGACGAGGATTGGATTTTGGACAGCTCACGGCCTCGACTACGATGAAGTTTCGCAGGGGAACTTTCCGCTTTCAGGATTAGCCTTGCAGCTTACGCCGGCTGCCGAGACGCTTCACAAGGGGCATGGCTTCACAGTCATCAAAGGCCTCGACGCCTCTCGATACTCCGTCGAGGACAGCACCATCATCTACCTGGGCCTTGCGAGCCATTTGGCCGACAAGAGAGGCCTGCAAGACAGGAAGGGCAACATCTTGTGTAAGCAGTTGCCCGCAAAAACTTCTCAAGCTTCACCCCTGCAGGAGAGAAGGGACGCAGCGAAATCGACGACGAGACAGCCTCTGACTGAATGGAGCAGCTCACATCACCAATTCCAAACTCTGGGATGTCCCCATGCAGCAGCGGCATGGCATCCACTCCAGTCAAGCATTGGTTAGTCTCTACCCCTTGTCTGTCTGAGGTTTTGTCAACAAGGCGTAACAGCTAATCCTCGCAGCCGTTCCACAGTGATATGGGCTGCGACGTCCTCGCCTTGCAAGTCCGTCAGAGCGCACGGACTGGCGGCTACACCTACTTGGCCTCGGCCGCGGCGGTTTTCAACCACATCCTCCGCGAGGAACCAGAGGTGGCCTTGACCTTGCTGTCTCCCAACTGGCCTGTTCAGATGTAGGCTACGCCTGCTGGCCAAAGATTATACTTCTCTCTCGGAGACTGACGCTGATTTCTAGTTCCAGCCGGAGAACTCGCCACTACCTTGCCCCGGTTTTTGCCGTTCACGACGGCAGGCTCCTCGTGAGCCTGGACCCGAGCCGTCTGGGCCGGCATGCCGCAAGCCCCGATGGGTGCGTCCCAGCCCTGACTATGACGCAGAGGCACGCCCTGGGCAGAGTTTCCCAGGTGGCCAGGCTCTTCGAGTTGCGGTTGAAGCTGGAGGCTGGTGACCTGTTGTTTTTAAACAACTGGGCCCTGCTTCATCGGCGAGACGCCTATCAAGACGGCGAACGCACTTCTCGCCACATGGTGCGGCTGTGGCTTCGAAACACCCAGCTGGGGTGGTCGATTCCCACCCAGATGCTCCCTCCGTGGCTAGCCGCCTACGGGGAGAGCTCGGCGTCCAAGGCGAGAATCTACCCAGTTCACCCGATGCCAACCTACGTCGTTCCAAAGTACATCACGGGCTCGGCTGCCTTCGTCGTGGAGGAGGCCGACGAGTCAGATGCCGAACCGACCGTGCCGTTGGCTTCTGGAAATGAGTGGCCAGGTCGACCACGCTGAGCGAGTTTTCCAAAGTGAAGGGTGGAAAAGGTTTAACCGAAAAAAAGGGGAGGGGGAGGACTGGAGGGGCGAGTAATTCAGGGATGCTCAGAGGGGTGACAGGCTTGTGCACAGCGACTAGATCTGCATGTGACGAGTCCACGGCCAGGAGGTTTTTTCTTTTGATAATGCTCCTATCGTCTTTCATTACTCGTTCATAAGGGACTTATTTCCGTCTCATGAGTAAAAGTTGTCTGTTTACCAGCTCTTGGCTTGGCCGTCCATGGGGGAGGCTGGACTTGGAAATCAACAGCGTCAACGCTCTTGAAAAAGGTCGACGCGCTTGAAAAACACATATACCTAACTACCAAGGGTTCCAATGGCAATATCAGGTACTATGGACGGGTCCCTTATTTTCCCGGCCTCTTTCCAATCTTTCTCGTCGACTTGCGCCCCTAGAGGCCGTTGCCCAGGGCAGATTCTCCGTGTGCCTCCGTTGCGCAGCTCACATCACACCATTCACCGAGACGCGCCAGCGGATTTTTAATGGCGCTGAACCACCGAGATGGAGTACGAGACTTTTTCTTGACGATTGATGCCATAGCCGAGTCGATAATGGTGTATGCTTGTTGGTATCGCCAGGAAGCCATGCAGGCTGGCAGCCCTCTTCCCACTGATATCCACACAAGACCCCCCTAAGATCTTGGCTGTATGGTTGTGGCACGCCACCGAGTCTTGCTTGAAGGTCCAGAGACTCGCTGTACAGCATCCTTGCCGTGCGCATTCGACGCTTGCAAGGAGAGGGAGCGGTGGGTATCCATCTTCCCGTGTCCTGTATGATCGAGGGTTTGATATGATGCTACACGGTGCCGCAGACAGTAACAGACCATGGTCAAACTCGCTTCACAAGCCTTTGTAAACGTCGTTGAAGCAGTCGTATTGTCTACGCGGGGAATTTCCCGTACAGGCCGTCTATAAGGGGGTATCAAGGGGCCACTGATGTCGATGGTCATCAGGAGCACACGAATGGGCCTGGTCCAAGTCCTTGTCACGCGGTTTTCCTTGCATTAAAGAAAAGTAAATGAGGACCATAAAGTATAAAGCACTCGTAACTTGGATCGAGCCCCATGAAAGCCGTCACCAGGGACACACCCGCGTCGATATATATGTGCTTGCATATGGGCAGCCATCAGGTCATTATCCAGTCGTCGACAAGAAGAGACCTTTTGGAGGGGGGTCTCCCCACTGAGGAACGTGACAGCTTGGACCAAAGCCCAGGCTTCAAAGTCACGGCCCTTTCTGGAACAAACAGCTGTTTTTGGCCCGTACGGTGACAATTTGGACTTTCCACAGGGGCCAGGCGTCACCCCCTCCCTCCACCCCCTTGTTCCCTGTCGCGAACCGGAGCAGCATGATGGTGAGTGCCATTGCCGGCCGATGATGCACTCGGCCTGTGCCACATCTCGTGCAGATTCTCTGCGCGCAAGACCCTGGTTATGAAGCTCGAGCATGCGGCGCTGGACGATGGCCCGTCCCGTATCTCTCTGTACAACACCAAGTTTTGAGGCAAGTTTTGAAGAACCGCTGGAGCCCGACACGTCCTGCCTCTCCGTCCGGTCACATCACCCACACCCATGGAGATATCCTGTCATCTCAGGCTTCGACAGAGTGGACGGTGTTGGGCACACACGCATCACTTCATATCATCCTCCCGCTGTCAAGAGGCCGTGGTGAGCGAGTCGGGTTCTCCCCCGTGGCCAAAGTCCACCCTCGTGCGTCTGCTATGTCCACATAGGTCAGCCCAGTCAAGTCTCCTTCACAGACTCTTCATCTTCAAGTTGCCTGCATCAGTGATGTGTGCCACAGGATTGGTCTTTGGTCGCGCCATTGTCTTCAATGCCGTAATCTCGGATCCGCTTACCGGGGGTCCGTGATTGCCAATGGCGATATCTCGACCGAAAATGGAGCCCCTGAGTTCGGCCAAGAGTCTCACATTCTCCGAGCCATCCTTGAACAACAATTTAGTATTGAGATGTGCTTGAACGTAGCGATTCTATCTGCATGTGCCCATTCATATCTCATCTGCTCTGTGCGTTGCCGTCAGCCACATCTCGGAAGCAACCGATGAGCGTATGCCCAACTCGACAGTTCATTTTTCTTGGTGGTGCTAGCCCCCCTTTTCCAGAAGCCATGAAATTTGGCTCGTGCCCTGAGGATTGTGATTCTGCAAATTGCGTGGCATTCACATGTCTATCTGTACGCCTGGCATTGCCGTCGAGATTGGGATCTAAAGGGTTCGTCTTATGACCCTGAACTCTGTTGTCTACTTCATGTCGTCGTCAACTTCGGGTTACAGCTTTGGAACTCTCCTTCTTTTCCAAAGTCCGGTGCATCTATTAACGGTCTTGCATTGCCCTCAGCCCAAAGCACTCGAACCAAGGAACTCGCGTCTTGGTGTCTCCAGGCCACAACGAACAAGCCCTTTCGTGGTTCTTAGTGGTACAAGCAAGTACAATAGATACAACAACAAGGAAGGGAGAACAGCATTCATTGGCCCCGACAATTCATTCTGTCATGCCATCGATGTGCGCCCGGGCACGTGATATGTTCTGCTCACTCGCCGATAGCATCAACATGATATCAGGACAACCACCTTCGACAGAAACATGATGTCTTTAAATCCGATGGTGGGGACAATATCGCCGATGCACGTGTCCATCCGGGTGCTTCCAATGAGATGTGAGCTGTTGATGCCGGATATGACGAATTAGAGCCCTGATAGCAGCAGGATTCCGGCTCAGAACTGCTCGACGAGCTAACCGGGACCCGATGATGGTGATGGCTTGGTCAGTATTCAGGCCATCGAGTCTTTAGCTTGCCAAAATTGTAGACCGCGGGTCCTCCGACAGGTGACCGATACCTATCTCGGCGCCCGCCTTTGTCGATCTCAGTCGGCGAAGCGATCAATACGAGCACGCTCTTCAGCTCGGGTACAGTCGGAGGAAGGGGAACTCCGGTCATTTAATATTTCTCTTTCATCATTCCGGTCTGCCGTCTTGATGAACCAAGATCCTTCTCGGACCGACGAAGCCTGGCGCTGTCACGGCTCCGACGCTTTTGATTATGCAGGCTCTCCATACTGCTGACGCGGAAGGCGGAACGAGTTGTTCGGAACGAGTGTTTTTGTCGTACAATTACCAGCAGTTCGAGTCATTTTGATTCCCAGGTATGCAGCCTCCGAGTCAGATGTTTGCGCGTTAGTTTCAACGCTCCTAGATCGCCCAGCTAGGGGTCTGAGAGGCACCAGCGGACTCTGTCACCGGGTTTGCGGAGAGAACATGTCCAACGGGACAGAGAAAGCGACTAATGTCCTCAGTTCAAAATCGCGCGAAACCGGGCTTGCGTGGCGACTTGGCCATCGGCATGGTCACCTGCCGCGACCCACCACCCTAGAGCGGCTCCCGGCGCTCGTCCGCTAGGGTCCGCTTTGATCTCCGCCGGGGATCCGCCCCACGGCCACCAACGTGCCTCGGTAATTCGGAACGGATGTATTCCTATGGACCGTACTGCGTCTATCGATCATACGCCTTGATTAAGGCGATTATATACGGGATTGACTTTACGGTGAGGGAAGCAGCATGTTTGCTATCGGCCTCGGCTCCGCCCTCCCAGGTGTGCAAGGTGCCACCCATAGTCGCTCGGCAGGGATCGAGGTAAGCATGAATGAACCCTTGTTTACTCTGAATTTTGCGGAACACATGCATGTTCTGAGATTATAAAGCTTTTAGAACAAGGTTAAAGACGCCTTGGGGCAACAATGTGGTTCGGAACGCGCTCTAACGGAACCCGAGACGAAATTGCAAACATGGGACAGCGACCAACAACAGGAGGCGGTGCTTGAACGGAAGACGGATACTGAGAGGGAAAACGAATCATCGACAAAACAGCGTCCATCATGGCAAGTGCTCATGATGCCGACAAGCTGGAGCCGAGCACCCGTCCGACTCTGGCAACGCGAATCAGACATTTGCGACGCGAGCCAAAGGAAGATGAATGCTTGGTTCCGAGGACGACAGATGAACGGTACGCGTTAGCGCGGAGAGCACGGCTGGACCCTTAAGGGGTGACATCCCATTTGGGGGGCGATCTCGCTTGTCGCACGTTCACGCCATCATCGAGGGAGGCTGGCCGCTCCCTCACTCAGGATGCTGAAGCCGGGCCGGCGGGCGTGGGCCCGGTCCACGACAGAGACGGCGTCGACGGTCGCTGCTGAGTCTCTCGAGCTGCACTGCTTCAGCCAACTCATCCCTGGGAGCCGTCTCGTCGGTTCGCCGCTCGATGTTTCGAGACACGATGACCGGTTTGCCTGCCTCTTTGGGGACAGACAGTTGCGTATACAGCCGCGGCGTGGCCGAAACCTTTGCGTCGAGCACCCCAATCCCAGGTGGAATGCCCGATTCATGGGGAAAATGCTCCGTTTTGTCTTTGAGGACGCCGGACAATCAACGGGGTCCAGGACGGGAAGAAGAGGGCTCACCTCTCTCCAGCCTGCGTCTAAGAATAGCTCATGCGGCGTGCCGTCAAGACCCTGGATTGGTGGCCCTCAGCCCTGCAGGAATGGAGGTGGCCTCTTCGGACCGAAGACTGGGCTCATTTGTTCGTGTATAGCCAATGGCAGTCGATGGTTGTACCTCTTCCACCATTTGCCTCTGCCGACGACTGTGCTGGCTGCGTCATGTTGGCTCGGCCTTCTCTCCGCATTGCGACCAAGTGGTCCGTGTGGCCGAAAAAATGCGCTACCGACCCTTCCGTAGTCGATGTCTCGCGAAGCCACCATCACCAGCGCGTCAAAAGGACCCTCTAGCCGTCAGAATATCCGTAAGCTGGAGACTTGTCAGCAGGCGGGCGGGGGCTATGCTGGGGCCGCGGTCCGGCACGGCGTGACCGCGCTCTCCGCATCAATCTAGTCGCCAAGTTGGGATGCAAGAGTGAGTGTTTGCGATGCTACGTAGCATTCATCCATCACCCCCAGTTGGGCGCCGCCGCATCTGGTTGGTGGGTTGGTTGACGACGGCTTGTGCGTGCGTGCGCCCGTGTGCTCTCGACCTCATTCGCCCATTGTGCGCAGACGGATGGATGGATGAATGGGATTGATTTGATGGCGAGGAATTCATGTGCGTCGCCCATGAGTCATCAGACACGAGCTGGTTGGCGCTGCAAAACTCCCGGATGCCAGCCTGGTGTCTCAACCGCGAAGGAGAGTAGCATGTCACCCTGTCCGTTTCACGAGGGGAGAGAGAGAAGTAAACAACAGAGACTGGGGAGAGCAGCGATGAGCTCCAAGTACTTTGGCCTGTCTCGTGTTTCTCCCAAGGTGTCTCCCTCTCGCGGCTTCGACGCCGCCTTGTCTGTGCCTCCGTTTTGTTTTGGTCCTATTTGTGTCGCCTCCAAGGCCGTTGCATGCGTTGCTCGTAGCTGCAGGCATCTATCCTGTCGACCGTCGGCGATCTGCTGTTGTGGCCCTTGTTCTGCATGTGCATCTGGACTGGGCGAGATTTCTGGACGAAAACGGAGATGCAGTGTCCAGCAGCGGCAGGTAGCACGATGGCACGGTCCCCAGCGATTGCGAGTCCCCCACATTTTGTAAGACCAGGTACCAGGCGTTTAGCAAGCACAGTGCGGAACTACCCCAAGGATGTGCACGACGAGATGCATCTGGCTGGAGCCACGCACTGTAACGCACTGTACATTCCCGGGCCAGGCACTTGGGTCGATTGGGGATGGTTCAGCGGCACCCCAGGCGGAGAGGTAAGTTACTGTACATGCTCTGATTTGCCTTTTGCTCCCCAGAGAGCCAAGCGTCAGGCGTCGATCCCTCCCCTGACAGGAGCAGGGGCTGAAGAGACAGAAAACGTGCTGTCAATGCCCATGTCTTGCACGCAGAGGGATGGCGGCGATGCGACTGGCCTTTAGGCCATGGACGACTTGGACATTCCAGCAGCCACAATAACATCAGCTGCCCGGTTCCCAGACAAAGCTCGTCGACGTGTGGCCTCGGTTGGCCGCCGCCCGCCTGGTTGCATTTCCCCCGCAGGATCCGAAAGAAGGCGCGCGGCCAATATGGGGCAGGAATTAAGGTTCCAACGCCTCAACGTCGCCAGCGGTTGCTCCATGAGTGCCGTTTTGCAATGGCTACTGTACAGATTGATGGTTGCATGCGCAGCTCAAGTGGCTGTGCCGCCTCTGTCCGTGTCCGTAGGCAACTACAGGCACAGAATGTTTATCGACGTGCCAGCGTTCCAGGGTACGAGGTACAGCGCCTCTCTCGCGTCCCGGGCGAGTTAGATTGAATGGAAAGAAGAAAGAAGAAAGGGACGAGGGTGAAATGAACCATTGAATGGTGGCGGTTGCCATCTGCAGACTAGCATGGTCGTGATGAATGCTACTCGATGTATCGATGGGTACTAGTCGACATTGTCGGTGTGGCATACAGTGCAGTGCACGGCTTACATGGATTCGGAGCTGAGAAGCGTAGAAATACTAGCTTAAGGCAGTAACGACAGGGCTGGTAAAAGGATCGGAAACCTGCGAGCTTCCCTGCAAGCTGAGGAGCCACTGGAGGGGCTTGTCAAGATGCGGGCGCGCCGTTGGGGCGAGTCGGTATCCGGTACTTGGCTGCCAAGCGGTGCGCGCTGCTCGAGTCGAGGCCGACGCCATCCGCGACTACCGGGGTGATAGAGGTGGACGGTAAAGATCCAAGGCTGCACTGTATCGGGCGCGCCGGATGGCAGGGACTGCACAGTCGTGTTTACTCCGCAACCAAGCGCTAACTAGCAGCGCCCACAAACCCCTCCGCCAGCGCGGGTGGAGGGTGAAGTTCCCAATACGCAGATGTACAGTGTGTGTCTCCTGCTGTCTCTGTCGCCCACCACCGGGCTCCCTCGACAGGCGTTTTGAGTGTGTACAGATTCCACTCAGCCCAGCTGGCCAGGCCCTCCCCGGGGTCAGGCTAGGCCCCAAGTGTTGGATTCGTTGCACCCGCGCCGGTCAGCTCGCTTCGCAGAGCCTGCTCGTGTCCACTCACAGCCCTGGACTCGCGACGCCTAATTTCTGGTGCTTGATCCAACTGTCTGGCTCGCGCCTCATCATTCCATTCCATCCATCTTCTCTCCGGTCCTCTGTACCCTCCGTCATCTCCTCTCTCCCTCCACGCCTTGAAGAAAACCCACCTGCCCGCATCCACTTGTTTTTTATTCCTGCTTCCTCCCCCCCCCGTTTTCGATATCACTCTCTCCTACGCCAATATCCACCCCCTTACCGACGCCTGGGGCCTGCTCGACCGACAACCATCGACGACTCTCGACGACAAGCTTCCTTGGTAGAACCCGCTTCAACTTCCTCTTCTCACTATTCGCCCCCCCAGACGAACCGCCTCGGCAGTCCTTCCCCGCGTCCGGGCCCGCTTCGAAAGGGCCAAATATCGCCTGCAGGCGCACATCGACGTACCGTGCTCGCTCCCTGCGTCCGCTGCTACGGGGTCACGCGAAGACTTTCCTGCGTCTGCACTCCTCCCCGCAAAATCCCCGAACTCTGGGACCCGTCCTCTCCAAAAGCCTCGCTGTCTATGGTGGTATCGATAACCGCGTCGTCGCACCTTTTCCTTTTTCCCTCGTCTTCGCCCTCTCCGCCCTAGGCCTCGCTCGTGGGCCACGGCCGATCGCGCGCCGAGAGAGCCGCCCGAGACACGCCCTCATAATCTCTCGCCCATCATGGCCCAAGCCGTCAAGAGGGCCTGCGATGCCTGCCACCGCCGCAAGGTCAAGTGCGACGGCATCAACCCGTGCCGCAACTGCTCCTCGGCTCAGCTATCGTGCACCTACAATGCCATTCCTCAGAAAAAGGGCCCCAAGGGCTCGCGCGCCAAGGTCATCAGCGAGCTGAGGGAGACGCAGCGACAGACCAGCCTCTCGGCAAAGGTCCAGAACCGCATGAATGGCATCGCCTGCCCTCCCACGAACTCGAGCCTTGGTCCCACCCCCGGTCTTCTCACCAGCGAACTCGTCAAGGAGTGCGCCCATTTCTTCTTCGACAATCTCTACTCGCAGAGCCCCATCCTCGACCGCAACCAGATCGAGCAACAGGTCCTGTACATGGAGCAGAACCGGGATGCCTATTGCCTCATGACATCGCTGTGCGCCTACATCATGCTGCAGCCTGGCATGTCCATGCCTCCCGGTGACCCATACAACCTCGACATGGTCCCCGGCGCCAACATCATTTCCAGCCAGCTGCTCCTCGAGGAGACTCTGCGTGTCCGCAAAGGCTACGAGTACCTCGACTCCATCAGCTTCAACGCCCTCGTTACAAACTTCTTCATCTTCGGCTGCTACTACGGCCAGGAGATGCACGACAAGGCATGGTTCCACCTCCGGGAAGCCACAACCATGATCCACATGGCTGGCATGCACAAGGAAGAGTACTACATGCAGTTCGACGCTGCCGAGTCTGCACGACGTCGACGGCTCTACTGGCTCTTTTTCGTGCTTGAGCGGTAAGTATCCAGCCACGTTCTCATGTCCAGAACAGTTGAAGCTGACTTTGTCCTCTCACTAAAGAGCATATGCCCTGCAACGCCAACGCCCCACGACGCTTCAGGCGACCATAAATCTCCCAACCCTCGGTGACGACCCGAGTGACCCTCAGGCTCACCAGCTCAACAGCTTCATCCTCTTGATAAACCTCTACCGGCCGTTCGACGACACCTTCACCGCGGCCTGGAGCAAGACCAAGAGCCACCTGTCGTCTCAGTACCTCAACGGCCTGCAGAAGCAGCTCAACGACCTGGTTCAGTCTTACGCATGCCAGGACGGCAACTTCAACGATATTCACACCAACCAGCAGTGGCTGAAGAACACCATCTGGCAATTGACCAGTGGCGTCGTCAATGGAAACGGCGACGACTCCATGTCTTTCCAGTACCCCGTGCATCTGTCACGAGAGCTCCTCGTCAACATGGCCTCGCAGTTTCCTGTTCAGGTCGACCTCTTGGGACCGGGCTTGGTAGGTTTCATTGCACAGCCTGGCTGATCGTGTCACTAACTAGTCCCAGATTGAGAAACTCATGGAGATGACCTCGTCAATGACCGAGTTTCTTTCCATGCAAGCCCCTTCGCGCGACCCCTTCTCAGTCGGCCCTCGCGAGCATCTGAACCAGATGATTTCCATGGTCGCCATGTCCCGCAATGGTGATCATCGTTTCCTACCGCTGCTCATGAACAAGATCAACGAAGTCCTGCCACGCATCGCCAACCCCATGCTGCAGAATGCCCCAGAGAACTCCAACTTGGCCAACGTGGACATCTTCGACGGCTTTGGCAACGCCGGCATGGCCCAACCCCCGCCGAGTCAGATGCACCTGGACTTTGACCGCAAGTTTCCCGTTGAGGACTACGAGAAGAAGTACAACATGGACATGCCCAGCAGCACCCCCGAATCTGCCTCCAACTCTAACCACTCTGGCTCGCCGTCCTCGCTGCACCATCACGGCTCAGATTTGAACGGTTCGTTTGGTGGCTCTCCGGGCATGGACTATTCCCACAACATGAACGGCTTTGGCTGTCAACCCGTGCCGGACATGGTCATACATCAGATGGCGAACCCAGCACAATCAAACCCGATGAATGCGCCCCAGACACAACATCAGCATCAACACTCACATCAGTTATCGCCTCAGCATTTGAGTCCCAGTCACGATGGTAGTGTATCGCATCACGCGAACGGGATCTCCCCCCAAAGTATGCGGTCACAGGGGGTAGCCGCCACATCCATGCCCGGGCCACACCAAATGAACTTCCGCCCACCAGCACAAACTCAGGACGGGTTTCGAATGCAAGCACCGCCTCAACTGCAACCATTGGGCGACTTCAATACCTTGCCAAGAACAGGCGCGGACGCGGCCAACTCCATGATGGGGATGAGTGCCATCGGCGGCGACCTCAACTTCGGCTCCATCAGATAACAACACGCCAGTCCTGCACCCCAAGACACGTTTGCTTTACTTATCTGAATAAGACGACTGGCTCGTCAGAGTTTGGGGAATCAGCTTTTCCCCTGTATTCTTACCATGTCGTTCGCTTCACCATTTTCCTTTGTTCATACGCCCAGTTATGACCTGATGAGGAAGCGATTTGAATGTCGCTGATTGTTCCCATCTGGGTGGTTCAGCAGCTCTGAGCGGATGAGGTGACATTGTTTGGGGCAATTTTGGCCTGAAGTGGGAGTGCCATTCTCTGTGGATTTCTTCTACTCGTGAACGGCGCCCACCCCTCCTTTTCTCTTACGACTTTTCTTGACTACGCAAACTGCCGAAGACGGCTGAACTTCTAAAGAGGGATTGGATTTGCAATGGCGATGTTGGGAGTTGAACAGACCTGGGTTGTCCATTTCGACAGATGGGAACAAGAGCTAGGAAAGTGTTGGATGATGCGAAGAAGGAAGTGGCTGTTTCACGATATATTATTAGTTTTCTTTTACTTTCGGGTCCCACGGAGTAGCAATCTAGATGGTCTGGCGGAAACGGCCGTAAAACGAAATAGGCCTTATTGACTTTGCTTCACATTTCATTGGCGCCTTTTCTGAAGAATACTTTACGTGATGGTAGAACTTGGACCCAGCATCTGAAAATGAACTGCGACGTACACTTCAATTGAGTGCTTTGACTATATATTTTCATTTCTTGTAAAAGAACCTCGTACACATGATGTACAGAATCCATGGAAGCGCGTTGGACATGGGCGCATTTAGCAGGCAGGGCAATTTGCGGTGCCCAACGCATATGTAAGCTCACATCTCAGCATCGGCATACTCACCTAGGCCAACGGCGCCGTCTTGAGGCCACGATGCCGGTCAGTCTAGTTGAGCTCTCACATGCCTGCAGACTGCTCATGCAGCTGATATGCACGAAATGGAGAATCAACAATCGCGTTTCCTGAATGACAGACTCAATCTGTGAATGTCTTCAGGGTGATGTCTTCCCAGCCATCTCCGCGGCCGCTGCGAGAGCCTCGACGCGCACCGCGTACAGCCGCATGAGGTGGCAGACGGGATCTCCCCAGATGACGCCGCGCAGCTGGTCGTCGCGGCACGTTACGGCTACGACCCCCTCATGGAGCCGGTCTTGGACGGATTTGCGGTCGACAGGCGGTAAATACGGGTCGCCGCTGCGGAGAAGGACGATACAGCCGGCGTTGCTGAGGGTCGAAGGAGGCACCGTCCAGACGGGCGGGCTCCAGTAAGGCTGCGGGGCCGGAGGTGAGTCCTTGTTGTTCTTCTTCTTCTTTTCGCCGTCGCCGATCGGACCCGCCGAGGATGGCGGCGGGCTTTTGAGCAGCGTGAACAGGCTCTTGACAAAGGCCTTGTCGGCCCTCGTGACGGGATCGCCCTCGTTGACGAAGCTCAGGAAGAGGCTCTTGCGCAGCTCGGGCCGGTTGGGCTTGGCCAGGGGCAGCAGGCTGACGGGCGGGGCGCCAAAGGTGAGGCAGTGGACGCGACGGAAGCAGCCTGCCAGCACGGTAAGATCGCTCTGGGCGTCGGGGCAGGCGGCGAGCATGTGCATGTACAGCAGCGCCGCCACAGCGCCGCCCGCCGAGTGGCCGGTGAAGACGAGGGAGTGATCGGCCCGGGAGGGATCGTCCTCGAGCATCTCGCGCAGACGGCGGGCGACAGGGGCGACCATGGCGCGGGCGACGGACAGGAAGCCGGCGTGGCACGCGTTTCCCGGGTCGTCGAGGAAGCCCAGCGGAGAGACGGGGTCGGCGCGCAGGTTGACGGCCCAGTCGGCGAAGGAAGCGGTGCCCCGGACGGCGACGACGACGGTGCGTGCGGCGTCGGCGGGCACGGAGCGGATGTACATGGCCTTGGACCCGGAGCGCCAGTCTGCGGGCACGACGATGGCCTGGCGCCGCTCCGGGCCCGTGGGGGGCGAGTAGACGCGGAGCGAGCACTGGGCGGCGAGGCGGAGGAGCGGCGGCCAGCTAGAACCGCACAAGGCAAAGGGAGAGAGTGCCAGCGGAAGCTTCGAGTTTGCGTAGAGCTCGACCTTGGAAAAATACTTGCCGGACACGACAGCCGTTGTTGCTTGGAGCGGGCCGGCGTCGGGGTTCTTGTGGGGTAAGGACGGCCATAGTTTGGAGAAGCCGAGCGACCGATCGGTTGTTGGTGGTGGTGTTGTTTCCTTGATCGCGGGTGAGGACGGGCATAGGAAGAGGTCTGCTTCATGGCCGGCGTATTCTTCGCGGTCGATGAGTGTCACGACGTCGTCGAAGCGGCTGCACACATCCGAGTAGATCTCGTCGCCGCCGTCATCGTCGCCGGCAAGGGCACAAGGCTGCACGAGATGGACCGCCGACCCAGCCCCTTTCCCCTGACGCGGACACCAGCGCTGCCAAGGCGGAGGCGCCGAGCCCGGGCCGAATTTCGGGGCCAGAGCGGAGAAGGACCAGCACGGCGGCGGGGGCAGCTGGGTAACGGCGGGGACGAGGAAGTGTGCACTGGGCAGCGGGGCGGGCGTGATGGGACGCGGAGGGAGGGCAGGAGGAGAAGGCGGCTTGAGATGGACGCCTGGATGGTCTGGGTGGGAGGACTGTGCTTTGATGGGTTTGCTCCTGTTGAAGAAGCCCATGGCTGTGGTTTTATTTGACAGCATACGCTCAACTGAGAAACAATTGCTGATTATCCGTCCCAAGTGGCATCTTGACGAGATGTTTCAACGTGTTGGAAAAGATTGAACCTAGTGGATGAGGATGATGATGAGGAGGAGGAGGAGGAGGGGGAGGAGGGGGAGGAGGAGGAGAATAGCGGCAGCAGCAAACAAGAGCGCACAGCTTGATCAGTTCAGGAGCGGCTATTAATGGAAGCGCCCTCCCTTTGACTCTCCAGCCACCTTGCCCACCTATTCATTAGTCCATACATCCTAGCATCGTCGGTGGAGATGCCCCTCTCCTCCGGTCGACGCAGGGAAGGGCCAAGTACTTCTATATCTTGCGACAACGTGGCGGTGGTGGTGATGGTGAGCGCTGAAAGTACGTGCCTGCGGTTCCCGGCACCTATTCCAACTCGAAGCGTTTCAGCGTCCTGATTCGCTGACGTGGACGGTGCGCGGCTCAGCCACCCTCTCGGAGGCCTAGACCGAGGTGTTGCCATGCCTAGTGACAAGGCGGATGACGAAAAGCCCATTGACGGCCCGGCACCGCGGCAGTGGAGCGCGCCATGTGATTCCGCTCGGGCCTGGCTGGCAGTCTGAGAAGAGGAGAGGCGAAAGACGCATGAGAGGGGAACAGATCGACCAATCTGGGGAGGCGTCGACGGATGAATGCCGGCCGTTTGGGCGATCCAGATGAGCCGGTGGCCGACGACACAGGTGAACGGATCGTTGTCGCCAACCAGCGAGGAAACAGCCAGGAACCAGCCAGCCCTATGAGCGGCTCATCTTGCATGGCTTAGTGACATGGAGCTGCCGCATACCGCCTTGCTCCATTTCTGCGGCCCAAGTATCCACGTCCGGAGACAAGCTCTCAGCCTGTGCCAATGACGACTCTCATCGCCAAGGAGGCGAGTCGCACAGGTTCTGAGCCCATCTTTGACATCATTCGACGATGACGTGACTTGACTTGGTCCCATCCGAGGAGTTTCTCGGTCCCACAGGTTGCTAGCTCGTACACAGCATGGTTGAGAGACTGGAACACAAGCCAGCTCTCGCCATCGTGCCAAGGGCAGACGGAGAGTATCTCCCCACGCTGCTTCACGCACGGGCGATATAGCAGTTTTCCCGTTCAAGTAAGCGCGGGGACATATGCCGTTGGTGTTGACATTGGTGAGAGGGTAACTTAGTGTCTCTGATGAGAGGGGTGGGGAGGAAAGTCCTCGCTTGTCTCGACGTGGCGGGAGCACAAGCATCGCCGTCCGTGGTGATACTCGACTTTTCTGTCAAACCCGCCATCGCAAATCCTCAACGGCATCATCACCTGGAGGGATTTGTTGAAGCTTGTCGCCTTTGCTGGCTTTCAGTTGATGCGAATCGAGCAGACAGCTCTCTGCTTGCTAGTCACGATCTACGTCGCTCCTAGCGCGCATCAACTCTCGAGTCAAGTGATGGGAGACAAGTCCATCCGGGTTCGAGCTGTAGCTGTTTCCTCGACACGACTCACTTAGCATCCGTAGACAGATTCCCAACGGTAACTCGCCTGTACAGTCGGGAGGATTTGGGGGGCTGCTCGAGTTTGGATGAAGGTGAATCGCCATCGATCTCGACAAGTGAACCATGACAGCCGTAATTGACATGCCCCCAACAAAACCAAGACAGTAACTTGAGTCACACGCATCCGCCGACATGTCGATGAAATCGAAACCGGCGATGGCGGCGTGCAAGCAGAGGCCTCCCGAGTTTTGACTTTGCGCAAAGGCTTGGATGCCTGAAGCCGAGTGAATCACGGTCAAGTGAGTGCAGCTTAGTAAGCAATGCAGGCTGCGTGGGGAGCCAATAGAGGCGCGGGGGTCCGCGCCTTTAAAGTCGGCGCGGACGTCCGCGCCTGTTTTGTAAGCCCAGCCGGAAGATAGTCGGGCCCGCCTCCGGCCCCGACCTGTCCTCTCCTTTCTCTCGCCCTCCGTACTGTGGCAAGCATATCACGACCATATCCACGGAGGGTCAGCGCGCCGCCATTGCGGCCCAATTTATCCGCCGCCCCTTACGCAGAGTAGGCCAATATGGAGCTTACTGAATTCCCTGACGATTGCCTTCCTCCTGAGGGTCAATTCGACTCGCGAGAGTCCCTTCTTGTCTCAATTAATGCGTGGGCAGCTCCAAGAGGCTATGCCTTCACCACAGGCAAGTCCACGAGACCCGCGGTCCGGAAGACGCACAGTCACATTTGCCTGTGATCGTGGAGGTAGACCAGGGGCTCATACAAGCAAGGACCAGAAGCCAGCTGAACGGCAACGGTCTACAAGCTCCCGTATCACTGGATGCCAGTTTTCCATCAATGCGAAAGAGAGCCTTGATAAGTCGTACTGGTATATCAGGCATCGCCCAGGCGAGGAGAAGTCGGTCCACAACCATGAGCCCAGTCTGCACATTACAGCACATCCAGCTCATCGTGCCCTCTCCTCAACTGACCAGTCAGCTATTGGGAACCTCGCAAGCGCCGGCATAGCACCAAAGGATATCCGGACATATATGCGCCAGAGCTCTCAGACTGCTCAAGGAGCGACACAGCAAGACATATATAACTGTATCGCACAGCGCAGACGAGAGCTTCTTGCTGGGCAGAGCACAATGCATGCCCTTGCCAATGAGCTTGACAACGAGGGGTTCCAAACCCGCATACAGCTTGACCATGACGGCCGAGTCACAGCGGTCTTATTCGCACACCCGGCGTCACTAGAATACCTCAACGCATACCCAGAATTACTACTTCTAGACTGCACATACAAGACGAACAAATATAAGATGCCACTGCTCGATATGATCGGCGTTGATGCCTGCCAACGGTCATTCTGTATTGCCTTTGCCTTTCTCAGTGGTGAAGATGAAGATGACTACATCTGGGCACTGGACCAACTCCAATCGATATACGAGTTATATGACATTCGCCAGCCATCCGTTATCCTTACAGATCGTTGCCTTGCCTGCATGAACGCAATTTCCCGGTGCTTTCCTGCGTCAAGGTCTCTGCTCTGCATCTGGCATGCGAACAAGGCGGTGCTTAGCTATTGCAAACCAGCATTCGACCGTGAGGATGAGAACTCTAACAGTGATGAGAAATGGGTTGAGTTCTTTGGGTATTGGCACTCAATCGTGAGCTCGAGAGATGAGGAGACATTCGATCAACAAGTTGAAGAGCTGGAGAAGCGCTTTGTACCACGATACGTCAAGGAGGTTAGCTACATACGGGAAACCTGGTTGGACCCGTATAAGGAAAAGCTCGTCAAGGCCTGGGTTGATCAATATGCTCATTTCGGCAATGTGGCTACTTCCCGGGTGGAAGGCATCCACGCATTATTGAAGAGCCACCTTAAGAAGTCAACACTAGACCTCTTCGAAGCAACGAGGGCAATCAAGCAAGCTCTTCTCAACCAACTGGCCGAGCTACAAGCCAACCAAGCCAGGCAGCATATACGGATGCCAATTGAGCTCTCTGGAACCGTATATAGCACGGTACGTGGCTGGGTATCACACGAAGCCTTGCGACAGGTTGCAAAGCAACACAAGCGCCTCAACGAGAAAGACATCCCTGCTTGCACAGGCAGCTTCACCAAGTCTCACGGTCTCCCTTGTGCGCACACATTACAGCCGCTCATAGAGGAAGATCTGCCACTCCGGCCACAACATTTTCATACGCATTGGCGCCTTCGACGGGATACCAAAGAGATTGGTCAGGTCCTCATAGAGCCTCGTCGGCGATTGGACCAACTTGTCGCCACATCGAGGATAACACAGTCATCCACACAGCGCGAGCCAAGTGCATTTGAAGCCATAGAGCCAGTTCTACGGCCAAAGGCGCCACCTACATGCAGCAAATGCCACCAGAAAGGGCACATCATGACATCTCGCAATTGTCCTTTACGCTATAGCGACATACTGCAGCGGGCAGAGGCACGGGCGGCAGAGACTGCAGAGACGGCAGCAATTGCAGCGACTGCACAGACTGCACAGACTGCACAAGCAGTAGCAATTTCAGAGACTGCACAGACTGCAGCAGTCATGGAGACAATCACGGTTGCAGTCACTACAGTCTCTACGGTGTCTACAATTGCTGCAGTCTCGACAGGAATTGCAGAAGCTACAGAGACTACGGAGAATCTACGATATGATGACCCACGAGCCATCTATCAGAGGTATGTCAGGGCAAGAGACTCTTGGTATAGAGCACAGCCTCGCGGCAATCTCAAGACCAACCAGGCATACCGAAAGGCAATGGGCTTGCCATTGCGCTACAGCAAGACTGAATATGACTGGTGCCTCGACTGGAAGCAAATGTCAAGGAGCTGCGGCTCGAGGAAATGGACCAAGGAAGAGATGATGGCATACCTTGATTGGGATAAGGCAGAAGAAGAGCGGTTAGATGCCCGGGTGGCCGAGGAAATGCAAGCGCAGCCTTTCTCACGAGAAAGAGGTACTGCAGGTATATGGGCTGACTGCGAGAGAGACTCGGAGGAACAGCAGGCAAACTATTCCCGCATATAAGTCGTCTGCTAGGACCGGTCTGTATAAGTGCGCCACAGTTGGAAACCACAGCAATTCTAGATTAAAAAAAATTTGAGTCGATTGACACTCAAATTGACGCTGTGGCCGTTGAGTACTTTTGCCGATGTGCGGGGAGATATGTGCAGTAAAACTGGCGCGCCAGCGCGGTCGCGGCGGGCGCTGTTCGCGGCGCCCACAATGGCCAGCCGGGCTTACATAACAGGCGCGGACGTCCGCGCCGACTTTAAAGGCGCGGACCCCCGCGCCTCTATTGGCTCCCAGGCTGCGTGAATCACCTGACCAAGGCATGTCCTGCGCGGGCCAACTCTTTCTCCGAAAACGCGCTAAACTTGGAACACCCTTCTGCCATTTGCCAGCAACAGGCAACTGCTGCCCTCTTTTTTTTCCTTCGTCGTGCAACTGACACGACTCACCAAGCGCTTGCATCACGGCGCTGTCATCCCACTGCTTGCACCTATTCATCAACCGTCAACGGACCTGCAAGATGGCTTGGCGAAACCAGGGCATCACGGGCTCCAACAACATCCCCCTGGGCAAGACTCGACGCTTCGGTGGCGAACCTGACGACGATGTCCCCGACCGCGACCTGAAGCGTGGCCGCGACCCCGAACCGCGAAGCGAGGCCGATGGCCCTCGCCGCCGAAAGAAGCGTAACCGCTGGGGCGAGGCCTCGGAGAACAAGGCGGCCGGCCTCATGGGTCTGCCCACAGCCATCATGTCCAACATGACGAGCGAGCAGCTCGAGGCATACACTCTCCACCTTCGCATCGAGGAAATCAGCCAGAAGCTTCGCATCGACGACGTAGTCCCGGCTGATGGCGACAGGTGGGCTCAATTTCCCCTTCTGCCTCCCATTACCGCCGCCTTCAACCATAGCGTGCTAACGCCCTTTTCTCTCTCTTCCAGATCGCCGTCTCCCCCTCCGCAATACGACAACCACGGGCGACGTATCAACACCCGTGAATACCGATACCGCAAGCGACTCGAGGATGAACGTCACAAGCTTATCGAACGAGCGATGAAAACCATCCCCAACTATCACCCTCCTCAAGATTACCGACGTCCGACCAAGACCCAGGAGAAGGTCTACGTGCCCGTCAATGACTATCCGGAGATTAACTTCAGTATGATTGCTAACCCTCTACCCTGGGCTGTTTCCTTTCTCCGTTCTCTCCCCCCCGCCTGCTGCTATTTCTGGTTTCGCTTTTCTTTGCGCGTTCCGTCTTTTTTCCGCACCCAGCCATCGCGTTTCTTGTTTGGTTTCCATCTCATGTATCTTGATCAGGCTCGTTACCCGCTCACCGCGGTGTCTTGACAACCTGGATCTCGTCCGGCTGGGGACCTGCTCTCGGCCGCTTAACCTCTCGTACGTGGCAACCTTTGGATACTAACACCTAGGCTCAAGTCGGTTTACTCATCGGCCCTCGTGGTAATACTCTGAAGAAGATGGAGGCCGATTCTGGAGCAAAGATTGCCATCCGCGGCAAAGGGTCAGTCAAGGAGGGCAAAGGCCGCTCCGATGCTGCTCACTCCAGCAACCAAGAAGAGGACCTTCACTGCCTCATCATGGCCGAATCCGAAGAGAAGATCAACAAGGCCAAGCAGCTAATCCACAACGTTATCGAGACGGTTTGTTGTCTCTGAAACCCTCTACAACACTATCATTTCCTAACATGTTCGGCGCAGGCTGCTTCCATCCCTGAGGGGCAGAATGAACTGAAGCGCAACCAACTTCGAGAGCTCGCTGCGCTCAACGGTACACTGCGTGACGACGAAAATCAGGCCTGCCAGAATTGCGGTAAGATCGGGCATCGCAAGTACGATTGCCCTGAGCGACAAAACTTCACCGCCAGCATCATCTGCCGAGTTTGCGGTAATGCTGGCCACATGGCCCGCGACTGTCCGGATCGCCAGAGAGGTGCTAGTTGGCGCAACGATACCAATGGCGGTCGTCCTGCAGGCAGAATCGGCGCAGGCGGCGGGGGCGATGCGGTTGACCGCGAGATGGAGGTGGGTTCCCTCCCACACAGTCCTTATGCGCTCTTTTTCGAAGCTAACCATATTTTTAGCAACTCATGCAAGAACTCGGCGGAGGTCCCAGTGCTCCGGCCCAGATTGAGGCTGGACCCGGCGGGCACGGCGGGCACGGCGGGCACGACGGCGGTGATGCCAGGCCCTGGCAACGCGCTCCCGCCGGCGGACAAGCTCCGTGGCGCTCTCGTAACCACGACTCCCACGATGGAGGATCTGGAGGTTCCAGCGCCCCTTGGGCTCGAGAACGACGCCGCGGTCACGATGACCAAGCTGACACCTACCACGGACACGGCCACGACAACGACCGCGACCGTGACCGCGACCGCGACCGCAATCGCGACCGTGACCGCGACTACGGCCGTGACAATGGCCAAGGCCACAGCCATGGTTATGGTTCGGGCTATGGTTCGGGCTCGGGCTATGGCTCCGCCCCCGGCTCGGGTGCTCCTGGCGCTGCCCCGTGGCATCAGCCTCCCCCTGGGACACACGGTGGCTACCCTGGCTATGGTGGATACGGTGGTTACGGCGGCGCTCCCGGCACGGCTCCTCCTCCTGGCCCGCCTCCCGGTCTCGGCCCGGCTGGTGCACCCCCTGGCATGGGAGGGCCCAGTGTCCCCTACCCGCAGTATGGGGGTGCAGCGCCGCCTCCGCCGCCTCCTCCATCCGGCGAGTCGCCGCCTCCGCCGCCTCGCAATCAACCGCCACCGCCTCCTCCCCCGGGCGCTTAGTCTGCATCCGAGGTATTCAGCGAATCCATTGACATCAGCTGGCTGTCGGCTCTCAGCGGTGAAGAAGCAGAATGACTTACATGGTAAACGTAGGGCAGCTTGGCACATTGGCCAGATTACTTGCATAGTCTGTCGGCTGCGTTTGAGAGAAGTTTGAGAGAAGGGACGGCTGGGGGTGTTGACTCGTTGGATGGCTAGTCTTGGCTTCTTCTCACAGGTAACGAGATGGCATCAACGAACTAATTGCACAGGGATTGTAGAATAGCTGCCGCTCAAACAGCGACTTGATCAAGGTAGAGGAAGAAATGAAGGCGGGCTGGTTTTCGACATTTCAAACCTCGTCCAAATGTCGGATGATGCGTTTGGAGTTGGAGGGAGAAGACAAGACAAGGCGGCTAGGTACTTGTGTTGGATGAGTGTGAAGCGTAAAGCTATTTGTTTGGTACTGTACTTCGTGATAATCGGGGTGCTCCTTTGTGTTACGTCATCAGAAGAAGGCTACCAGGGCTACGTACTGTTCCACGAACCCATGCCCGCTCCGGAGTCATCTTTAGCAACTCCGCACGGAGCAGTACGATGCCATGATCCTGCCCCGACACTGACGTTTTCCTTCCTTCAACACAAACCTCGGGTCGAGGTGCTGTCCCGCAGCCAACATACAAACCGCCACGCCCGCTCTCATTGGATGGCCAACCTCGGGCGACCGCGCAGCATGACCCTGTAGACGCAGCTGCCGCTCGTCGCGCCAATCGCCGCTCAAGGGCCTGCACGTCGATATACCTACCTCCTGAGGCATCATGAAGCTCTGCAACCCATTCGCTTTCCGGCCCGGCCCGGTCACATTCTGGACCACCGTCGTCTACCTAGCCGTCGTCATCCCGCTCGTGTACGTGCACGAGACGGTCCCCGGCGCGCCCGCTGACGATGCCCTGTATGGCGGCCTCAACCTGACGGAGGCGTGGCTCGACCTTCAAACTATCACTAGGACCTATCATCCCTACAACAGCCACGAGAATGATCGCGTGCGTGACTTACTTCTTGCTCGCGCCAAGCATGTCCTTGATCGCAACGGCATGGACTACACCATAGAGACGCTGGGCGATGCAGCTCGGAATCGCAGGTGCGCCGAGAATCCTCCATCAGATGCAGTGTCGACTCTCAACTGACTAGCCGACTCAAAAGCTCGGGTTTGATCTTGGGTCAGGACAAAACCCATGGTGCTGGGTCCGACACCAAAGCTCCCAGAGTCACCGTCTTCGATGACCGCATGGCCAACGTCACATACACGTCCAAGGGCCCCCAGAATTGGACGGCCCAGTACTTCGAAGGCAGCAACTTTTACCTTTATATCCGCGGAAAGGATGATCCCCGAGGCGACTGGTGGGCTGCAGGGCAACGACCCACGGCCTCGCGCCGCACGGGAGGTGTCCTCGTCAACTGCCACTTCGATTCGTAGGTTACCTGCGCATTCTCGTTACCGTTCCCCAGTCTCATATCGCCCAGGGTCTCGACCGGCTACGGAGCCACCGATGATGGCGTGGCGTGCGTGTCCATGCTCCAGCTCCTCAGCTACTTTACCTCCCACGGCCGCCAGCCCAACAACGGCATTGTCTTGCTCTTCAACAACGCCGAGGAGGACGGCCTCCTGGGAGCCCGCGCGTTCGGCTACAGTCCCTTGCTGAGCTTTTGCCGCACATTTGTCAACCTCGAGGGGGCCGGGGCCGGCGGCCGCGCCATGCTGTTTCGTACAACGGACCTCGAGGCCGCCAAGGCGTACGCCGCGAGCCCGCATCCTTTCGGCTCGGTGGTTGCAGCGAATGCCTTTGAGCGAGGAGTCATCAAGAGTGCCACTGACTACTCCGTGTTTGCTGATGTCTATGGCCAGCGCGGACTGGACATTGCCTTTTACGAGCCTCGCTCGCGCTACCACACACAAGAGGACGATGCGCGCCACTCGTCCGTCAACAGCGTCTGGCACATGCTCTCGGCCGCTCTGGCCTCGACCGAGGCTCTCTCCAAGACGACCGGCGTTGACTTCGAAGGCCCTCGCTCGGATGGACGGAAGGACCTTGTCCAGAACGGCAGGCCAACCGAGGGCGTCTGGTTCGATTGGTTCGGCAACGCATGGGTCGCATTTCCGCTTAGAGGGTTGTTTGCGTGGTCGCTGACTCTGCTCGTCGCCACGCCGCTGGTGCTGCTTCTCGTGACGTACTTGCTGGCCCGGAACGACAAGTACTACTTCTTCGCCAGAAACGTCAAGCCGGACAGCTCAGACGTGGATGGGGAGTTGGTCTCTCTGGGAGGCTGGAAGGGCTTATTCCGCTACCCGTTCGCCTTGCTCTTCGCGGCTGGGCTGACTGTTGCCTCGGTGTTTCTGGTCGCAAAGATCAACCCACTCATCATATACAGCAGCGACTACGCAGTGTGAGTTCCATTCGGAAAGGGGTGGATTTGCCAATGGCACAGTCTCTGACAAACCTCTCAGATGGGCCATGACCATGTCGTTGTTCTACTTTGCATTCTGGCTGATTGCGCGGGGCTCGAGCTTCGTCCGTCCCAGCGCGCTCCAGCGGGGCTTCGCCATGATCTGGCTCTACATCATCACTTGGATCGTGCAGGTCTTTGCCGCCGTCGCCGAGGATCGCATGCACGTCGGGGCCCTCTACTTCGCCGCCTTCCTCCATACGGCGGTGTTTGTCTCCCTTATGATATCATTGCTGGAACAGTTTGCCCTCCCGACCAAGCACGACTTTGCTCACCAGCTTCACGACACGGATCGCGAACGCAACTATTCTGTCCAGCGCGACGATCATCACAGCGCCGCCGAAGAGAGCGATGGGAATGCCCAAGGAATCGTCGAAGAAGACGATGATGCCGAGGACCCGACAGAGACGACCCCGCTCAGGGGGGGCGAGTCGGGTTACGGAGGAAGTGAAGCTCAAACGACGTTTGCCGGCACGTACCGCCGGTCTGTCGCGGCGGAAAGCTCATCAGCGCCCAAGCTGCAGAGCCAAGCGCCCGACGAGCGCGAACAGGCGTGGTCTGCCCGGCTGCCCACGTGGACGTGGCTCATTCAGCTCCTGCTGCTTGCGCCAGTGCACGTCATTATACTCGGAAATCTTGGCCTCGTCCAAACGACGGCGATGGCAATGACGGGGGTGGATGGCAACAGTCTGCTGACTCCATTGATGGCCATTGGCATCGTGGGCGTGCTTTTGTTGCTTCCTCTGACACCCTTTATGCATCGCATCAGCTACCATGTTCCAGTCTTTCTCCTTGCCGTCTTCGTCGGCACGCTCATTTACAACCTGGTCGCCTTCCCCTTTTCTGTCAGTAACCGGTTCAAGTTTAGATTCCAGCAGACGGTCGACCTGGATAAGGGCACCAACGTGGTCGAGCTGTCAGGCCTGGAAGAGTTTGTCCGGCCTGTCATCGCATACCTCCCATCGGCAGCCGGACAGGAGATTGAATGCCTCAAGTCAGTCGGAAGGATCGTGGAATGCCAGTATGACGCGTCAAGCCTTCCGCCAGACCCAGCGGATGGAGAGAAGCTCGATAGATTGGTGTCGATCGAGATCGCTAGGTCGTCTGACGGACGGTCTGCGAGCGTACAGGTGCGCGCCTTGAACACGAGAATGTGCCACCTGGACATCTCGAGCCCGATTTTCGACTTCTCCGTGGAAGGCGGAGGCCACAGAGATGACCGATTCGGTGCTCTTCCGAGCGAGGGCTTCCAGCACATCCAACTTTGGAGGCGGACATGGGAGGGAGCGTGGAACGTGACCCTGCAGCTGAGTGGTGATGGGCACTCTGCGGCCAGCAACGAAACAGGCTCGAGCGGCGCAGTCGGGGATCTCGACGACGTGAGGGGCGATGAGCTCAAACTGCGATCGACTCCGCCGGCCAGTAAGCTTGAGGTGGCCGTCAGATGCGCGTGGGATGATGCCAACGGGGCAGTCAAAATCCCTGCATTCTATGAGCTCATCAGGTTCATGCCCGAGTGGGCCATTGTCACGAAGAAGGCGACGGGGCTCGTGCAGGTGAGGAGAGGTTCCCAGGTGCCGTCATGAGCGACCACAGCTTGAGGCCAGCGACCATGAAGACGGGCCGGCCAGGGAACGCGGGATGCGATGGAATGAGAGGAGCGTCTGCATTTGGGTTGTAATCGCGCCGGGGTGTTTGTCGAGCGGATCATGTTGGCGTGCGAGCACCTTGAAGACGAGCCTTTGCTGGTTGAGTACAGCTACTCATAGTATATTTGAAGTAGTCATTCTCAAGGAAGAGTTTTCCCTGACGCCGGAATGCCACCTGTCATGCCCTTGTCTTATGGCCATGCTTTATGAAGAAGTGCCGCCAAGCTCGAGGTGACGAGGCGATTTAGGGGCGACGTTAGTGGGAGACGAGGTACCCGGACTTGTTGAATGCCGAGGCTCTATTACGAGACATGAGCTACTTGTACGGTAGCTGGATCAAAGTGCTCTCTTGCGCTGCGTACGGAGTACATGGCGGGGATTCCCCACCCGATGGAAAGACATGACGGCAACGTCGACCAAACAAGCTTCATCATCCATCCTCAGTCCAAAGGGTGTTGGACCTCCCTCTCTCTTGAAGTGAGTGGGCGAGGAGCAAGGGAAAGCAGGCAGGCTGTGGATGTGGGCTTCGACGGCCTTTTCTCGGCGCAATTCTCTCTCTCTCTCTCTCTCTCTCTCTTTGCAGTCCAACCTCTTCCTTGCTTCATCCAACCCACACGGACATGATTTCGTCCATATGGCAGCCGTCGACGCTGCCCAAGGCCGGGCGCCGCGGCCTCATTTACTTCATCTGCGGCAACCCCGGCTGCATTGGCTTCTACGCCGACTTCCTCGAGGCCCTGCGCGGCATGCTCGACTCGTCCGAGACGCACACGGCCTACGACATTTACGGGCGCAACCTGCGGGGCTTTAGCGACGGCGAGCACGAGCCATTTGCCCCCGGTAGCGGGAGCGAGCCGTGGGACGTTGACGGCCAGGTCGAGGCTGTCACGGCTGATGTCGTCGCCAGAGCTGGTGGCCGAGACCGTGAGGGGGACGAGGGGGGAGAGGCGTATGACCTGGTCATCCTCACCGGTCACTCCATCGGAGCCTACATCGCCGTCGAAATCTTTGACCGGCACCTCCGCAACCCAGAGCGCGCGCCGCATCTCCGCCTGCGCCACGGCTTCCTCCTCTTCCCGACCATTGCCTCCATCGGCCTCTCCCCCAGCGGGCGCCACATGCAGCTCTTGCGGCGCGTCCCCACGCTCGAGGCCCTGGCGCCCGTCTACGCCCGCCTGCTCCTGGGCTTGGTGCCGGGGTCCGCGCTGCGGTGGCTCCTCGAGACCGTCATGGGCTTCTCGGCGCGCGCCGCCGACGTGGCCGCCGAGTGGCTCAAGGGCCGCGACGGCGTGCGCCAGGCGCTGCACATGGGCATCTCGGAGCTGGATCACGTCTGCGAGGATGGCTGGGACGAGGAGCTGTGGGGGGCTGCGACGGCCGAGGACGTGGTGCTCGACGGCAAAGATGGTGGTCGTGATGCCCTTCCGCCACGCTTCTTCCTCTTTTATGGCAAGAGCGACCACTGGGTTGCTGACCATGTTCGTGATGAGTTTGTGCGGCGGCGGATGGCGCATGGGGAGAGGGGCGGGCGGACGAGTATCATGGTGGACGAGGGGAATCTCCCGCATGCTTTTTGCGTGACGGAGCGTGAGTTTTCCCATCAATCGACCCCTGTCTTCCCTTCGAAGACGCAGCAAGTCCGTGATGCGGTATTGGTGAGCTGACAGATCATTTACAGATAATAGCTGGGTGGTTGCCAAGAGGGTCCACGGGTGGCTCGAGGAGATTGAAGGCGGCATGAAGAACTGACCGGCCGGACAGACGCGGGAAACCCATAGGACGGGGCAAGCAGAGGGGGGGATTGTCTGACGTCGTCTCATTTGCGGCCGTGAGGGCTGCTCTTACTTGGATATATAGGGGCGTTTACTAGAATGGGGGATACAGTGGCCGCCAAGTTCAGTGATAGACAGAGCCACGGGAGATGCAGTGGCATTCACATGGACTCTTTCCAGACGGACGGCGCTCAGCCCTCTTCTACCGCCTTATTATAAAAACGCAAGCAGCGCCGTCGGCCAGTGGGAGCACCAACAGCAAGCACCGCGTCGGCCCAGCGCACCTCGTCCAGAAGATTCCCCTTTACTCAGACCCCTCTTCTATTCTAAAGTCTACCGTCCCGTTCATCTTCGACTTCGACTCCCCTTTGTTTCCCCCCAAGCTCAACAAAGCGTAACCCGAGCAACGGCGGTCGTCTGTCCACACCCCCCGGAGCCTCAAGCCGGAGCAGAGAAAAAGTCAAAAAGGTAAAGTCCCGATTAAACCAAAGACCCGCGCCCTCTTCTCAAAATAAACCCCCCAACAAAGAGATATTTCCGCCTCCCCTGGCGAGGAATTTCATCCATCGCCGCAGAAAGCTTACCCCTCCCCCCCCTTTCCCCGTCTATGATGCCATCGCGCCTCCCTCCGCCCCTAGCAGACAGCCACAACTGAAGTATAAATCGTGCGGCCCTTGGTTGTCCAGGGCTACAACTCGCTCTCTCGGACTCGTTGCACGGGGGGGGGGTGTTTAGAAGCGTCGCTCGAGGAACACTACAGCTGTTGATGTTCGTGTCTCCCGTGAGGGGGTTTGCTTTTGTGGCGGTGGCCTCAATGGATGCTTGGGTAAGGTTGAAGACTGCAGGCTGCAAGCTGCGACTGAAAATATCTCGGGCGACTCCATGCGCTATCGTTGGGGGGGGGGTGCAATGACATACTCGACTGGCGAAGAGCTGCTGACAGCGAGACCTTGTCGACCGCAAATCATGAGAACAATGCCCGTCTTGTACTCAGACACACAAAGACCACTACAGAAGCTGCACCCAGAATCGGCGTACGGGTCATGATCGAGAGCCAAATAGAACAAACACGGATAGAAACCGAAATAGAGCAGTTTTGTAATTACGATTATCCAGAAGACTGGTTATATAGCTTTTTTCTCGACTACAGCTGTCCACCCCTTGATTTCAAGCAGTTGGATTCCGTGGATCAAGCCACCTCATCCCCCACCCACCGACTTCATATCCGGAGTCCAGTCACAAATCCTGACCAATCCACCATGTGGGACACGCTGTCTCCCAAATTCAACCTTTACAGAAGGAAAGCACCGAGAGCCAGGATGGCCAGGCCGCCAGCGGGGACGACACCGGCAGCCCCGGCAGTGACGATGGGAGCGGTGGGGACGGTGCCGTTGGAGGGAGCAGTAGGGGCAGCGGTGGGCACCAGGGTGGTGTCGCACTTGGTGGTCTGTTGGCCGGGCTGCGTGGGCTGGGCGGATCCGGAGGTCTCAGCGGGCTGGGAGGGCTCGTCCGTCTCGGAAGGCTCAGCGGGCTCAGAAGACTGGGCCGGCTGCGAGGGCTGGGCAGAAGAGGGCTGTTGAGAGGCCGGAGCAGAGGGAGAGGCAGAGGCCGGGGCAGAGGGCGAAGCGGAAGACTGGCTGCCGCCGCTGCCGGCGTTCTTGCAGAGGGCCTGGGTAGCAGGCAGGACCTTGGCTGTAGGAGCAGTTAGTCGATATCATGTTCACATATGATGACGGTGATGAACAGAAGAGTAGGGATGAAGGAGAGACATACTCAGGGCGACATCCTGGCCGCACGCCTTGAGGACACAGCTGGTGGCGGGGCCCTGGACGGCGTCGAAGTTCTTGCAGACGCAGGGAATGTCGGTGGTGGAGCACTGGGTGTTCTCCTTGACGGCGTTGTCAATGCAGGGACGAGCGCAGCTGGGGATGTCGCTGAGGCTCTGGGCGTTGGCCAGAGCGGCGACGGCGAGAGCGGCAACAGCGGAGAACTTCATCTTGACGAAGGAGTTGTTGATGGGATAGAGTGTGGGGAGAGCGTATGTACAGGACAACGAGTGTGTACTTGGAGAGCGAGCGGATGAGGATGAAGGGCCAAGACGGGGAGAGCGTGTGCGACGGTGGTTGTCTTTATGTAGGTTGACAGCGCCGTGGCAGGGCAACCGCTCTCGACATGTCGTCTAGACACACGTCGTCTGGGGATGCAGGCCGTCGACTTACACCCCTCCTCCTCCCCAGGATGGATCCCCCCATCATCGGCGGCTCCAGGCCCGAAAGCGAATCAAGGCCGCGTCTTGTTTCGGCGGGTCGTCGGCCCATGGCTGGGGGGGAGGGAGCGTGGAGAGGCAGCCGCTGATTGGGCGGGCAGGGGCGGTTCCACGCGAGGTGGCGATGGCCGTCGAGGGCTGCATGACGGGGATTTTTTTGCCTTGGTTGTTGCTGGACGAGCTTACCGCATTGGCTGAGAGGCCCGAGACGGCCGGGATGGAGTGGCCGGAGGAGCGGAAGCGAGGTGCGTTGGGCCCCAGCCCCTCCACTTGTTGCCTCGCCTCTTGCCCTCTTTGGGACGGGCGACGAGGGCCAGACCGTGGGGGCGGCAGGGCGGATGATGTGGACAATGCCGGCCATTGTCTCTGATTTGCGTGGCAGTGTATGCGGATCCGCCAGCAGTGTGGGAAATGAGACTTGATGATGATGGTGGTGGTGGTGACTGGTGACGATGATGATGACTGATCAACGCAACGAGCATCAATCGAGCGGGCCGTTGGTTCTGTTCCCTCTGGCCGCCTCGCTGCAGCCCCAGGCAGAGTCTCTCGTTCCATGGGATGCATCGTGCTGTGCGTCGGTGATGCTGTTGATGCATCCGCCAAACTCGACATCGTCAGATTCTCCTCGAACTCGAGAGGAGGTACGGAGTAGTTGCTCTCGGTACATGGTTGTTCCGCCAAGAGCACGCTCAGCAAGAGCACGCTCAGCAAGAGCACGCTCAGTCGGGCAGGCAGGCACGCGCGCTTAAAGCTTAAAGGAGCACCTGCCTTGCACAATTGTTTCTATCCAGACGGTTTTAACCAAACAAAACAGAGGCCTGATAAAACTGGCCCTATTTTGTGCACAGCAGGTGCAGCATTCTCAATACCTACCTGGTAGATAGTAAGGGTGCTTTACTCGCTTGCATGTGGAAAGCCCATCCAGCCAGTCAGCCATTCAGATCATGAAATCCCCAGCGTGCTGTAAGAGACTTGAGTCTTTGCCATTCCTTCCGTCCAGCACAGACGTCATGGTGGCACGCACACGACCGTGTTGGCCATGGATATCACGGTCGAAAAGCACCATGTGCGTCTGCCGCTGCAAAGCAACCGCCTTGCATCCTCATCCTCGCCACCGACTTCCCATGTCCATTCTCTCATGTCCTTTTATTATACGCATGGTTTGATATCATTGTTGGCTGGCACGTCCAGCATATCATACATAAGCGGGCACATGTCCGTCAAGCTCGGCGCATTTTCCCAACCTGTCCGTCTTCTGCCTCGGTTAATACTATGTTTACGCTTGATGATTTTTTTCTCGCCCGGGCTGACGCGTGCGACCCCATCCATGCCCCGTGGCACCGGACCGCCACCAAAATAGAACGTAAAAATAGAGGAGGCCAAGGGCACACGACAACACCCACCATCCCAACATGCGCTGTAGCGAGATGAACTTTTTGGGCCGTCTGTCAAAGACCTGCATTAGCTGGGACTATCGTGGCCACCTGTCCAAGTGACTCCTCAAGCAGGCCCACGACGCACTGCATCATGTATGTACGTATGCATGACCTCCACTTGCGTGGCAATTCCGGGCCAATAATCAAGAGCGCTTTATTGACTCTTGCGTCGCTGGCCGCCGGCAATGTCCGTCCATGGTAGCCGCCTTGTCCCACTTTCAATATGGCCTCTGATGAAATGCTCCGGTCCTCGGACCGCCGACGGCAAGAACAAGAGGGAGCTTTAAAACTACTCTATGGCCTATGCCGGGACGTCGTCGAGGTTGCCATCAAAGTCCTTGGCAAGCACGGCAATGGGGCAGACACAATGCTGCCAAATGCAGGAACAGCATGGAAACATCCACCAACAGTTGTGTCCATCGCCCTCGGTCCCAAGATCATTCATTCGTCCATGCTGGCCCGAAATGCCGACGTCGGGATTGCTGCACATCATCCCGACCAGCTTCCTTTTCCATCTCTTCCAGCCTTTCCTTGTCCGGGAGCCTCGCCTTTTCTGCTCTACTCAAAACTCCCCACACGCCTTGTCAATCGCGTCGGTAGCCACGCAAGCTTGGACCGGTTCGGTCATTCTATCCTTGACCACCGGGAACCCCATCCATCCTCCGGCGGTTCCCTGCGGGATTGAATCCACCGATAACCCTTGTCCCCCGCACACACATACATGTGCATACATATCAGGCGTACAGTATGGGCTGAAGACCATACATATGTACATACAGCTGCTTCCACATGCCCGTCATCTCGACAATCTTCCTCCGTCCTGGGAATCCCCGCCTGGGGTATGACGGGCCCCCGGTCCGCGGCTCCAGTAGCTGCTTGGGGAGCCCATGACTGTACGACATGCCTCCCTGCTGCCCCGGACCACTCTTATTCCTCTCCAACATGACTGGTCCCGCTCTGTCGGCCTTAGGCCCAAACTTGGAAGCTCTCCTTCGAGTCCCGCATGCTTGATCTGCACGTGAGGAGCGAATGGGATGCCAGCAAGATTGCTTCGTACTTCCTGTACATATTACTGTATGTACAGAACCTACCAACACAGTACTCCTTTGAGCACGCATCATGCCGGCCTTGGAAAAGGAGCCGCCAACGGGGACCCTCTTCAGCCATCCGGCCAAGGTCAGCATACGGACGTGCAGTCAGACATGCTGCTATTGCAGCGAGGTCTGTCTGGAAAGGGGGTTGGTCACCCAGGAGTTGCCGCTGGCCTACTCCCTATCTGCATACACACATGCACATACACACGCCAGCTGTCGCCCATTGGCTCTGCCCCGTGCCGCTCTTACAGCAAAGGGAAGCAAAAGGGGGGTTGGACGGGGAACTGGTGCCCTGGGTCTTGTTTATTAGCCCGGTTTGCAAGTCGGAATTGGCTACCAGCCTGTCGTTCTATCCTCGGCCTTGATTCGCCTGCTTCTCGGGCGGTGCATGCATCTGCACTTGCACTGCATGGGCCCTACAGGCTACGAGGCGGGCCGTCACCTGCAAGTCCTGGTCTGCCTGGCTCTGCTAGCAGGGGGTAGACATCCATCAAAGCCCGAGATGGTTGGCGGACGGAGCGCGTTGCCAGGCCGCCGGCTTCTAGTAGAGTGTCTTGTTCTCCAGCCTCTCCGCACCGTCATCGCCAATGGATCGTGAGTCTGTGCAGACGGCGTGTTTCTATCAAGCAGCCAACCGGGTGTAAGATGAGGCTGGTGCATTTGAGCTGGCTTCGGATTCGCGAATGGCAGGGGCACGCTTGTGTACGGTTTGCTTCTTCGTGAGCTTCTTAGAATAAGGGGACGGACCTTGGGTACCTAGCAATTACAGACGGTTGGTAAAATGAACGGAGCTGGACAGAGAAAAAGACTTGGAACTTGTGCTAACTTCAAAAGTCATCGCCCGTGCAGAGTAGCCTCGCTCCGAGAAAACGGGGGGCGGCGCACTCCCAAAGACGGGAGAAAAAGCGTAGAGTTGGATACGTCAAGAGCATCAACACCGCTCATCGAAGTGCTCTCTCTACTGTACAGCACTTGTTGGTTCGAAGGGTCTTTTGGCCTGTTCCAAAAGCAACGACGATCGGAGATGAAGAACCACGAAGCCACGAGCAGCTCCTTGCCTTGTCGACCCAATCATGTCGAGTATCCATCCCGTTTCTATCCGTTGTCCTGCAAAACACATGCATCTGACGTAGCTGCTGGCTTGATCGGTTGTATCTCACCCAGCTTCTGGAAGAGAGCGTGTAGAGATGTGACTCGATGCCCGACACCGCAATCTTCCACGCAGACATGCCGTCTTGCCGATCCCACGCGTGCTGCAATCTGCAACACCCCAAACATGTGGGCTTCCATCTCGGCGGCCGTCGACGGAATCTGTCTCCCCACACCACCTCCGCACTCGAGCAGCCAACCTCCCTGTCCAGTCGCCAACCCCCCCGCTTCGCTGATGACCTGCAGGCACACTTCTTCACCAACGGTCGCCCCAAGCTAGCAAAGCAAATGTGGTGGTCGGCCGAGTCGACGGGCTATGAATAGTACGCTGAGTGGTGAGTCGCTGCATGTAACGTGCCCCAAAGGGGGGGGAAGTGGAAAAAGGAGGAGGAGGAGGATCATCGGGGTGCGCCTCCGGAGATTACCGCACAGGACACTGTCCCTTGGTTCTTGGTAATGGAATTGATGGATGTGCGTCTGCGGGTTGGGCTACACGACACGAAGCCTGCCTGCTCTGTCTTGCCTGCGTGCGTCTTGTGGTAACTATAGTTGCGTGGAATCATTGCTTTGACACGTGAAGGTACAGCCCCCTTCCCCCCCTTTCCCCCCCTTTCCCCCCCCTTCCTCTCACCACCTCGTGCCATCTTTCATGTCTTCTTCATCTTCTCTCCCACGCCACAGAATAGAGCACCCCCTTCGCCTAAACTGCGAGCTCGACGACCGTCAAAACTCGTATATCATGTCTTGGCCTACAGACTCGCCTCGCCAGACCCGTCGCCATCATGACAGAGAGCACCCGTGAAAGGGCCGAGCAGCACCTGACGACATGAAAGTCCATCCACCGTCCGACCACCCATGAGACTTGGCTACGTCGCGCGTGCCGGATGTAAGGGCGTTGGCCGGCCATCAAAACACCGACCTCGGCGTATGACGATGCTCGAGTCCTGCCTCCGCTTGGGTAGGCTCCAGCCACCCTCTGCCACCCTCTCGAGCTGGGCCGCGTGGACAGAAACAGGTAGGCAGCCCTCTGCAAGCGCCCGTTGAGTTGGAGAATCCAATCATGGTCGTCGCCCGCACCTGGGGAAGCCGAGCCCCGGCCCTTCCCCCGCAGATGGGGGGCCCTGAGCCAGCTGCTCCGGCAAACGGTGCGGAGAGGCCGTGCGGAGAGGCTATTTCGGGGCCGCCGAGGATATCAAGAACCAGCCTCCCCCGTCTGAGCGCATCACCAGACACAGACACGTACGCTGGAGGCGCTGCCCGCGACCGGCCAGACCCGATTCATCCCTCCCTCAGGCAGGGAATTGCTTTTTGCGTATGCCGCTTTGCAGTCACTATTGCCGTTGCGTGGCTTCTTGTCAGCTCCGAGACGCCGAGGACGTCGCGCGCTCTCCAACAACTTGCGCGGAAACGCCGGGGACAAGAGAGTGATTGTTCCGGCATGGTTTGTAGTGCCGCTGATGCCCCGTAGAAGTTGATGCTGCCTTCATATCTCTTCATCCAAAGCCTTGTGACTCCTAAGTGCACACAACCTGGACGCCGAGAGCAAGCCCGTGGACTCTGCCATGACCGCGACCTTGAAACCTTCATCTTCTGATCTCCACAGAACCAAAACCAAGCTACACTTTGAACGAGCTTGCAGTGGGGCCGATGGTGGGACTCTCGACAGAAAGATGCTGCCATGCCATCTGCCATGTGCTTTGCCGAGTCGGCCGTTGCCCGACCGAGGGAGGGGATAAAACGGGCCCGAGACTAAGCAATGATGCAACCGATTTGCCTAAATCAATTGCCTCGATTCACACGATAATGTGGGAACCCGAGTCCACCGTCTCAGGCCGCTGTGCCCCGCCATTCCGTGATGCTTCACTCTTCCTCTACATGCACAACGGCCCCCTTCGAGAATCATCCGTATAACCGCAAAGGCTGAAGAACCGAAGGCATAGACTGAAACAAAGGAACGCATACGCAATGACGGCCAAGGTGTTCAACGTTGGCGTCGTGGGTTATGGGTAGGTACTGCTCAATGACAACGTCGAGCAAGAGTGCGAGATGCAAAGCGCGGGATAAATCGAGTGTATCCAGCGGACTGACTGCCCCCAGGCTGTCCGCCAAAGTCTTCCACATCCCCTTCATCGCCACCACGGCGCAGCTCCAGCTCCACAGCATCGTCCAACGCTCCCCGAAGCAGGGCAGCTCGGCGCCCCAAGACCACCCCGAGGCCAAGCATTATAGCGACGTCGAGGCGCTACTCGCCGACGCCGACGTAGACGTCGTCGTCATCACCACTCCACCCGACACCCACTTTGCGCTCACCAAGGCGGCCCTCGAGGCGGGCAAGCATGTGCTGACAGAGAAGCCCTTTGTGCCGACATCGGCCCAGGCGGACCAGCTCATTGCCCTGGCCCGGGACAAGAAGCGCCTCATATGCGTGTACCAGAACCGCCGCTGGGACTCGGACTTTCTGACCGTCAAGCACCTGCTCGCCAACAAGGCCCTGGGCCGCATCGTCGAGTTCAACACGCACTTTGACCGCTACCGCGCCACCGCCCCCGCCAACTGGAAGGGCGAGCTGGGCATCCCCTCGGGCGGCAGCGCTCTCTTCGACCTGGGCACCCACCTCGTCGACCAAGTCTACGTGCTCTTCGGCATGCCGCAGGCCGTCCACGGGCGGCTCCTCTCCCAGCGATACGGCAAGGCTGACTTGACCAACCCCGACTCCGTCTCGGCCGAGTTGACGTATCCCGACGGCATGCTCGTCCACGTCCGCATGGGCGTCCTCAGCGCCGAGACGATCCAGCCGCGCTTCTGGGTCCGCGGCTCCCGCGGCAGCTTCCACAAGGTCGGCCTCGACCCGCAAGAGGACCAGCTCAGGGCGGGTGGGAAGCCGACCGACGGCGACTTTGGCAAGGAGGATGCTGGCAGGATGCGCCTGGTGCTCGTGGGCGACGACAACTCAATAAAGGAGACCAGGGCGCCCGAGCTCGAGCCTGAGACGTACAAGGTCTTTTATGCGGCGTTTGGCAAGGCCGTCGAGAGCGGTGCCGAGAGTGACGTGCCCGTCAAGGCCACCGAGGCGAGGGATGTGCTGCGCATCCTCGAGGCCATCATCGAGAGCGCAAAGACGGGGCGCGATGTCTGTTTCTGATGAATGGCAGGAATGTGCCTTTGGACTGAACCCTCGCAAACTCGCGCAGCAGGCAGAGGAAGAGGGACGGTGAAGAAGATGCGGAAACGGCTGCCCAAAAGCGATGCCAGGGGAATAAGCTGTCAAAATGGCTGCTCTAGGCGTTGATCTCCTCGTGGAGTGTACGTACCTAGATATCAACGAACGCATAGGCACAAGGAAGGAGCAGGACCTCAAGCCCTTGCCTCCTTTCCTCTTCTCTCTGTGCCCGGAAAAGAATGCCTCCCTTTTGTGCTCTCGCCACCAACAGCCTCCCACCTCCACATCACCATCACCATCGCCACCTTTGCCGGCGGCGGCTTTCGCCAGCTCGCCCACCCTCGCCCGTGCCCCTGCGCTGCGCAACCAAGAAACGAGCAGACATCGAAAAACGCCTCCAGATGGAGCCTCAACAGCCCCAAGGGCTTGGCTATGGCGGCCCCGGATCCACGGCAGAAGTGGGCAACCGTGTTGTTTCCATGGTCTCGTCAGGACCTGCTGCCCTTCGCGTCCCAGGCGACACCTTGCACGGCCGCACCGCAAAGCGCCAGAGTCGAGCCGGCCCCTCCCAAGATCGCACCTTCGCGAGATCGTCGTGGCAGGACACGTCAAAGCCGCGACCCACCTCCCCTCGGAGCTCTCGCACCGACGACAGTCGCTCGTCTGCCGAATATGCATCCTTCATGGGCTACTCGCCAGGCATCCCGACCTGGCAGCAGGACGCCCTGGCTTTCGAGACGGGCACTGGCTGCGGCCCATGGACCTATGGTGCCGACAACAGGCCCTTTCCATGGCTCCCCTGGACCTTGTTTGGGTCAAACTTGGAGCACAAAGCCCGCAATCCCGCCGCTTGCGACGCTATAGGCTACCAAATACGCCCCCCGAGCCTCATCTATGCGTTTCTTCGACGGTTTCTCGGCTTCTTCATGCTCTGCTTCTTGATTTCCCTGTTTCATCGTCAGCTCGAGAGCAAGGGACTGTATTGTAGGGGGGCAGTTGGAAGGCCTGAGCCGAGAATGGACGATTCGTTCCGCAAGCCGGAAGTGGACAATACACTCGTCAAGCTCTGGGCAGAAACCCTCATCACAACGGGTGCTTGTTTCCTGCTCGCACAGGGGCTTTACGGGTACGTACGATACCGTATGGCGGCCGGGGCCTCATCTTTCTGACAACATGGCCAGGGTTAGGGCCGCGCGGGAGCGGATGGAGAGAGTACGGCAGACAGCCGTCACGCTGGCCTACTCTTTCACCAAGACGACGGCCGCCACCAGCGAGATGGGTCGCAATAAGGAAGAGATGCAACTTCTCATCTAGTCCGTGGCCCGAAACCGATTTGACATGTCTTGCCGCTGACTAGATTGTCTAGCGAGTGCCTCGCCCTGCTTACCGCCTATCCTGTCGCTCTTCTTGAGCAGATACGAGGAAACACCTGCGAGCCCGCCATCACGAGGTACTGTCAAGACGTGGCGAGGGCATTGAAGCAGCTCAGAAGCGGTCAAGACAGCAACTTGGCGTCTCAGTGCTACGAGAGCAAGCCGTGGGCTCGCACTAACCGCGGCCATCATCAGTTTGCCACGGTCGAGTACTTTTTCGAAATCTTCTCTCTCCAGCTTCAGCTCGAATACAGTCGACAGACAATGAGGACAAAGGCGGCATCCTTGACGTCTCAGCATATCATCTTCAACCTTCGCAATCATTTTGAAAACCTCGTGGACCTGAGAAATGTCGACGATCGAAGGACGCCCATCATCCGTAAGTGTGCCGAAGGGGCTCCTTCTGTTCCGGCACTGACTGCCAATGCCTAGGAGAAAATATCGACATGCTGAGTCTGGCCGGACGAGAATGCGGCATCTTCTCCCTCACCGACGTCCTTCCGGTTGTCTTTCTCCATTCCGTCTCGGTGGCCGGCTGGCTCATTGCCTTGTACAGCCCCATTCAGAGGTGTGACTGGATTGTGGACTGGGCCCCCGACGGTTCGACGGGCATCAACCTTCCGACGTTGAATGCCATGGTGCCCATGGCCGTCTTGTCCCTCATGAGCAGTATGCTGACGACGGTCCTCGCCGAGATGTGGATGATGTGGGATCCTTTTGGCAAGGGCACCAACACATACGGGTGGACCCTGGGTATTGCGATGGAGATTGACAATATGCTCAACGACTTTTACGAATACGACACGGATGCGCTCGTCCGCGCGCACACGTACATGGACCCGGTACCGTGCCGGCATGAAATGGGGTCTGACGGCGGCGAGAGCTCGGGGGACAGAGCCCAGACCGTGTGATGGATCGGGGGAAAGAGAGCATAGGGGGCGGGCCGCTTCAGAGTCGGCGGAGAGCTTGGACGACGAAGGAGACCCGCATCCGCTCGCCTCGGCTTCAACGTCCTTTGCGGGTTCGATGCAAGCTTGTGACCCTGTCGCATGGGCTGGGAAAACAGGGCGGCTGATGCCTGGTGGCGCAATGGCAGAATTCTCATGTGCTCTTGCTTGCAGACTGTACACTACTACCCATAATGCCCACTTCATCTATACCCTGTCTGCTGAAACTTTTCGTCTGGCCGCGGTTTCTTCTCCTTTGCACCTTCAGACGGGAATCCGCCTGTGAGAGGGCTAGGTGAAGGGGAATATGAAGACGCCTTTTCTCTACCCAGATCCCGGAACGCTTATATACAGGTACATGCCAAGATGTATTAAAATTGTCCAAATCGTCATTACCCATGATGCGGGATCCCAGGCTACAGCGCCAAGGCCAGCGCCGCTGCGCCAATGGCCATGAGGACCGTCGTCGCGAGAGTCGACGGGCCCGCGACGGAGCCGGCGCTCTCGACCTTGATGGGGGTGCCGACAAACTGGGGCCGGTAGGGCTGGGGAGTGGCCTCGTCGATGCGGCCGTCCCAGCAGTACTTGTCGAAGCACTGGCGGCACTTTGCGGGGACGGACGTGTTTGTGCGGTCGAAGCTGCGGGCGAGCATGGCGCAGCCGACGCAGACGGGCCAGTCCGGGTCGCGGGTGGCGTTGAGCTGGGTGGCGAGGGCCCAGCCGTTGTGGACCAGGGCGTCGCGCTCGGGCGACGAGATGGACATTTGAAAGGTGGAGATGTTGGAGGCGTAGACGTAGGGGTAGTTTGGCAGGTAGACGACGAGCGGGGGCGCGGGCGACGACGAGTTTGAGGCGTTGCAGCCGAAGAAGGCGGGGCGGGTGTTGAGGCCGAGGTTGAGGAAGGTGTCCTTGCCGGGGACGACGGGAAAGGCCGAGGTCGGGGCGGTGATGTTTGTCTCGAGGGAGCGGCGGTAGGTGGACATGGCCGAGGCGCCGTCGGGCCAGCCCGAGTCGGTGTCGGCCGACGAGTCGACGGAGAAGACGACGTCGACGGAGCGGTCGCGGACGAGGTGCGGGTGGTAGGGGATGTTCTGGTCGTCCTCGCCGCCGTCGACGAGGGTGAGGCGGTCCGAGTCTACGCCAAGGTTGCGGCCGCGGTTCCAGCCCTTGAAGGGGTTGGGGGTCCAGTCGGCAATGTCGTTGTTGCTGTCGCCGAGGGCGCCGAGGACCGAGGTGAGGGCGTCGACGATGAAGCTGGGCACGTCCTGGGGCACGTAGCTGCTATTCTTGTCCTTGAGGTAGAGGACCACCTTGTTGAAGAGGGAGCTCGAAGTACCCATGACGAAGCCGACGTTGTCGAAGCCGTTGATGCACTTCTCGGCGTCGGGCAGCTTGCCGCCGTCAAACTTGGAGCCGACGTAGCGGAGGGGCACGAAGCCGTTGAGCGACAAGTCGGAAGAGCCGAGCTCCCAGGGCGAGAACTCGAAAATGGTCGTGTTCTTGTAGATGGGGTTCTCGCCAGGGGCGCGGCCGTCGGCGATGATAAAGGGCAGGGGCGTCTTGGCCGAGGAGAAGTCCGGGTCGTCGGCGATGGAGGAAAAGGTGAAGCCGGGCCCGCCGTCGGGGGTGCTGACGAGCTGGTACGAGAGCATGCGGCCCCAGTAGTCGGTGATGGAGGTGTCGTAGTTTGCATCTTTCTTGCCCTCGACGTCGTCGAGGATGTTTTTGTAGTACTGCAAGAGGCTGTACTGGACGGGGCCTGCGAAGGCGAGTCAGCTTTTTCGTTTGGCAGTCGAGTTGCCGTGTGTATGGCCTACCCTGGAGAATGGAGTGCTCAAACTGCCAAATGTTGGGCGAGTTGACAGCGTCCATGACCGAGGTGAAGTTGTTTGTGTAGATGCTGCCGACAAGCCAGCCGCCGCCCGAGAGGCCCGAGAGGTAGGTGGCGCTCTGCAGCAGGCCGCCTAGGTTACCCTTTGCATCGCTGCCGTCGGAGCGGCTGTCCCAGGCGGCGAGGACACCGGCACCGTTGAGCATGGCGCGGTAGCCGCCGCCCGAGACAGCGAGGCCAATGTTGGGCAGGGCGGTGGGGTCGGACTCGGCATTGCGCAGGTAGCGGTCGCTGTCGAAGTCGGGGATGGCGATGCGCTTCAGCAGGGCGCGGATGTGGGGGACGGTCTCGTTGCGGCGGCGCGGCAGCCATTCCTGTTCCTGAGGCGACAGCGAGGAGCCGTTGCGGATCGAGGGGCGCTGCTTGGGGCAGTCGACGGACGAGGGGATGTAGCGGCGGGGGGAGCGGTCGGTTGCTCTCCGGTCGAGGGGGGTGTCGTCGTTGTCGCGGCGGGCTGCCGGGGCGGAGAAGGAGTCGGGGGAGGAATGCGGAATGGCGACAGTGTCTTGGGGACGGCGGTGACGTCAGCCAGGGTGCACACAGGCGCTGAAGGGCACTGTACTTGTTCCAAGTACGGCGAGCGCCTAGGGGGGTTTCGTACCTGCATCACGCCATTGGCCTGTTGATGCCGCCGTAGAGGCCAGCAAGGCGAGGGCCAAGGACTTGACGAGGGCCATTCCTGCGCGCGATGGGGAGGTGGGGGTGTCAAGGACAGCGGAGAGGAAGTAGAAAAGAAGAAGAGGAGGAAAAAGAAAAGAAAAGGGAAGGGAAAAAAGAGAGGACTGGGCAGCGCAAGGAAGAGGCGGTGGTTGGCAATCGTCGTTTCAGAAGGGGGGAAAGCGTCAAAGTTTAACACAACGGACGACAACGCCAAGCATTGGAAAAGCCGGCAGAGCGCGCGCGCGAGACAGAGACCCCACGCAAACAGACAGCCTAGACACGCAGGAGCAACAGACAAGGTTCCCCTTCCCTATACGGATACGGAGTACTCGGCGACGAGATGACACGGCGGAAGAGACGGGGCGAGGCGCGGGTTAAGGGGACGAGAGCGAGAGAAAGGGCGAGAGGGGACAGGCGGATGAAGAGGAGAGAAATAGACAGGATGAAACGGAGAGAAATAGACAAATGTTTGTTCTCTCAATTGGCGTCTTGGCAAGGCGTCGGTGGGGCGCATTAATGAAGATGGGTTTAGGTAGTTGGCGGGAATCCAAACCCCGGGCCGGGATGATACATGAACGCGTCGAGCACCAACGAGGAAAAGGAAATGACCAGAGCCAAAATAGAAAATGCCCGGGAGGCTTGACAAATTTGTCAAGTCAAGCGTGCATTTGGCGTTGGATACCGACGAGTCCCTTCTTCCTCGGCAATCCGGAACGGGACACAAACACAAAGAGTACGACTCACACGCGTGCATCGCCTCGTTAACTGCTGAGATATAGATATATTTGGAAGGAGGAGAGCCTTGGCTTGGCGTGGCGGCCAAGATGATGTGAGGGCCGCAGCATCACCATCCGGGGCTGCAGCCGAACAAGGACCCAAGAAACGAGTCCCGGGACTTTGCCCATGGCCGTTGCGCCGGCGGCCCTTTCTACCGTCAGCCCCAGCCCGGCGTCTGAGCCCTGTAGCCCTGCGCTGTATGTACTTATGCATGTGCCTGTTGTCTGCCTGCGTCTCCGCGTCTACATACAGATGTATTGCGAATACAGCACAGATGCATGTAGCCTCTTATGTGTGACACCGTGAGCTGCCCCCACGGCCCGTGTCCCGGCCACCACTCACCACCCTTGAATGGCGGCATGCTCTCGCCCGGCCAAGCCTCGCTTGCAGATCCCGTCACCTACAGCGTCAGTTGCATGTGCAAATGCGCCCCCGGCAGCTCGAGCAGTCCCCAACACCCGTCACCCGTCACCCGTCACCCGTCACCGCCGTGTCTCACGGGAACCCACAGAGTTCAGTTCATTACAGTAATTACCCGTTAAACCAAGACAAAGAGGACAAGGCTGATCCAGTCCCGGAAGGCGAGAAGCCACACACGCCCACGGACAAACCTGTGCCCTCGCGTCCCCAGTCCACCACGCCAAGCCGTCATTAATTACCGACTCCCGCGAATGCAAAGGGCCAGACTTGGCCAAGCCAAGGCGAGGCGACACATGTGGCTGAGCCCCGTGTCCGGTCGAGCTCCTTGCCTTCGCGGGGGCGGAGCTGCCAACTCGCATCTCATTGCCGCTGTTAAGCGTTGGAGAAAAAGGAACAAGAAGAGAAGAGAGACAATGGTCAGACCCGTTTAACCCGTACGCGAGACCGACGGTGCCGGCTAGCCGAGCCGCGCAAAACAATAAGAGGCCCGAAGCCGAGGCCGCAGCAAACATGCCATGCAGTGATTACACACCGCACACATATTTCAGTGGCCTGCACATCGTGTCCATTGTCGGATCTGACATGCCGTAGTCCCGACCTTTTTGATGACGAGTTTCCCCTTCTTCCTCGTCCTCATCCCGGGGCGCAGTTCCAGGCTGCCGACCAGTCACGGACCGCGAACCTCTCGCTCTTTCTCGCGCCCAGCTTTGATGCCTAAACGAACTTGCCCCCAAGTCATGCAAATGAGTAAATTTGAGTCCGCTTTGGTGCCATTATAAGCTAATCCTATACGCAGTGTGCCTTGACGCCTATTACAAATCTGCCGCTGTCATGAAAACTAACAAGTTGAACGGCGGAGCGTGTCTGCTCGTCATCATCTAATCGTCGCCGTCCTCGCTCGCCCCCCTGACAAATGGACGGTTAAACTTGAGCAGCCCGTTGAGCCCTCCTACCCACGTGTCTGCGTCGGATCGAATCACGCACGGCACTCCGCCGTGCACCTCCTCGCCTGGCGCCGTCCGCCCGACAAACTCCCCCTCGATGCGGACTTCGGCCCCAGAAGCCACGTGGGCGCATGTCTTGCCGTCCACTTTGAGGTACATCTCCCGCCCTCGGTTCTTGGGGCTTATCCGCAGAGACACCTTGGTGTCGAGAGGCAGCACCAACGACCGGAAGCTGAGACTCAAGGGGCAGATGGGCGTGATGAGGAGCGACCTGACGAGCGGGTGTACGATTGGTCCCCCGGCGCTCAGGCTGTAGGCCGTTGAGCCCGTCGGTGTGCTGACCAGGATCCCGTCGGCCACCGTCTGCGTGAAGAAGTGCCCGTTTTGGAAAATGTCAATGATGGCCGGCGGCGCCTCCGGCATCCGACGGATTAGTATTTCGTTGACGGCCCGCACCGACGGCATCGGCTCCTCGTTGCCTCCGATTCCCGACTTGGCCTGACTGGCCAGCGTATCCGAGACCTGGTGGGTCATATTTTGACCCGCGCCGTCCCAGACGTCGGCCTTGATGCGGTGGCGGAGGATGACTTTGGAAGCCCTGCTGGGCCCGAGACTCTTGCCCCTGAGGAGCTCCCACCCGGCGACACCCGATAAGTCTGTGAAGCCCTGCTCGCCTAGGTGGGGGCGCGGCACGGCGGCGCTGCGTGCGGCCACATCGCTTCCGCTCATGTACATTTCTCTCCACGCCTTCTTGTACTCTATAAAGTCCCATTCGCACAGGAAGCTGAGCGTGCCCATGCGGAAGGACAGGATCGGGGGGACGGAGCTATGCAGCTTAAACAAGCTGGCGGCCCGGAGGACCGTTCCATCTCCACCAAAGGTGGCTACTATGTCAATCTTGTCGGCAATGTTGGATCGGTTGTCGGCCACGTAGATGGGAAAGCTGAGCCGCTTTTGGACGATCGAGGCCATGCGCGGCTCCACGACGACGTTGACGGGGTACTCGCTGCGAACGTACTCGGCAAACTTGGCAACGGAATCGACCACCTCTTCCGAGTGGAGCTTGAGCACGACCAGGAGGTTCTGCGGCGGCCTGGGCCACTTGAGAGAGAGCAAAGAGGACCCGGGCTTGGTGCTTTGCAGATATCGCGGGAACGTCCGCGCGGGCAGACTAACTGTGCTAGGGAACTGGGTGGGCGAGTGCGATGGTGCCGCCGAGAAGAAGCGGACCAGCGGGTTGGGACGCGCCGCAGCGAGGAGCTTGGCCGAGATGGGCCTGTGTCTGAACATGTTGTCGTTGGAGGAGTGGATTGATGTTGAAAAGCAGATAGCTCCAGACAACTACCGACCTCTAATAAGTAAGTAGGTAGGTCGGTCGGTAGGTAGGTATGTAACTGGGTACCTACCCTTCCTCCATCGATTACCACTTGGAAGGTAACTAAATACCTACCCAGCTAGGCAGGCAAGTACAGTAGGGACCGTAGAACCTCGGACAGGCTTGGCAGTCTAAATAAGTGGGCGCCCAATGTGTGGCGGCATCTCGAGCCGCGTACTGGGAACAGGGGTGTCTGGTCTCGCCCTAGCTGTCGTAATAACTTGCGCCACGGCAAGGCGATGGGGAAAAGCTAGGGCCAGACTAGGTGGACGAGTAGCTAGTACAGAACTATGGCGAGGCTGTTCGTGGCGCATGCACCTCCCCAGACCGCCAAGACTGTCCGAATTTTATGAGTTTGTACGGTGTAGCCACGTGACTTCCTGAAGCAAGGCATTACCAGTCGACTATAAGGCGAGAATCCCTTTTGTTGGGGCGCCACCGCCAAGTCCCGACGAGAGTTTGCTGAGTTTTTAAGGTGCCGGAATGTAGCGCGCGTGCGCAAATTATCCTTTATGGCACTGTTTAAGGGAGCCCCCAGGGGATCAAGGTTGAAGAGGCGGTGACTCTAAAGACCTTACCAGACCGCCTGCTCTTTCAGGGCGGACGGGTCTCGGTCTGCGTCGGGAACCCAACCGTGGAGGGTACATCCGGGGTAATTACGGAGTACTCACAAGGGACAATCGACCGCGTCAAACGCTGGCCTGTTTCAACAGGAAGAAACCTATCTCAAGCCGCACAGGACACGGACATGCACATATGCTTTGTCAACCACATCTCACAATGGTTTCCAAGGCGGTGCAGTGCAATCCCCCATCCAAGTCGGGACAGCCTGCCACGCTGCCGAGTTACAGCGTCTTCGTACCGGCATGATGCAGCTCGAGGTGCCCTTGGGCGGGAGCAAAGTACCCGTGGGTATCTTATTTTTAGGTGCGTCTTCAACGGCGTTCACTGCCTAAAAATGCGCGACCGGGCACCAAGTGCCCCGCTGCCCACCGCCTATTGGCCGCCCACAAATCAGCTGTAACCAGTGGCATGTCCCTAGTACCTATTTTAGCTACCCATGGCGTCACATGCAGCAAAACCGCCATGATTCGCACCAGCGGTTCCGGCTTTCCGCCAAACTCTTGCCTCACTTTCCTTCTTCTCGAGCCCGACGGCAGAGCTGATCAGGTGCCCCGCGCGCTCACTCTCTCCTCCCAGGCACACCTGATCGCTGCCACGCAAGCGCATCTCGTCGCGGGCGCCTCGGTTGCACGCGACCCGAGCCAGCCTCGGCGCAGTTTCACCTTCAAAACTCCGCGCCGCAGTCGGCTGGACTGACTGGATACTCGCCCAAACTGCAGCCCTTCCAATCAACCCTGAGAGAACTCGCCCGCGCACACACTTCTCTCCCATAGTCCGCGAGATCTGTCCAGGTGAAAGCCTTGCGCTGCGACACGAAAAACCTCCGACTCAGCCGTCATGGCCCACCTCAGGCATCCCGATGCCTCCGAAACCGACATACCGGGCCTGGGGCTGTCTTCGGCGCTCCAGAAGCAAGATCAAACGCCCTCACGAGATGCGACGGTTATGCATCCTTCGGGGAAACAAAGCCATGGCCGTCTTGCTCAAGTGTTGCGAGTGCTGGCCTTTTTCGTCTACTTTTTTATCTGCTGTGTCGGGTTTGTCTCTTCGTCCAAAGTGGCCAAGCCAAGCCTAGTCTCAGCTAACGCCTGACCTCCAGAATCGTCATTTCGCAGACCGTCGGCGCGCCACTCTACTTTATCAAGCGGGACTGGTTCTACCCATACATGGCCATGACGAAGCGCTCATTTGCCCTGACGACGACAGTCATGACCCAGATCTGGGGACCCACGACGATCCGCATCAGTGGCGACGAGTCTGTAGCGGGACAAATTAGGATGACCAAGGGCGGAGGCGTTGAATTCAGGTTTCCCGAGCGCTTGGTGCTGGTAGCTAATCATCAAGTAAGCTCCTAGCCTTGAGACGGCCAGGCTCCAGGCATAAAGGGGCTGACAAGAGGCCGCATGGCAGATTTATACGGACTGGCTGTACCTCTGGTGGATTGGCTATGCCAACCGCCCCGGCATGCACGGGCACCTGTACATCATCCTCAAGGAGTCGCTCAAGTACATCCCCTTTATCGGGCCCGGCATGATGTTCTACGGCTTCATCTTCATGTCGAGAAAGATGGCGACGGATCAGCCGCGGCTGGCCCACCGGCTCAACAAGCTCAACCAGAAGAAGACGGACCCCCGGGGCCGTACATATCTAGATCCCATGTGGCTACTCTTGTTTCCCGAAGGCACGAATCTGTCGACAAACGGCCGCACCAAGTCGGCGCAGTGGGCCAAGAAGAATGGGCTCAAGGACCCGGAGCATGTGATGCTCCCGCGGAGCACGGGCACCTTTTTTTGTCTCAACGAGCTCAAAGGCACCGTTGAATACGTCTACGACTGCACGGTGGCGTACGAGGGAGTCCCGTAAGTTGGAGGGAAGGCACCGACGTCGGAGAAAGAGGCTAACTCGTGAGTGACAGGCGTGGCAAGTACGGAGAGCAGTTCTTTGGCTTGGGCAGCACGTACTTTCAGGGGCGGCCACCCAAATCCGTCAACCTGTACTGGCGGCGGTTCCGCCTCGCCGACATGCCGCTGGACGATGCCAAGAAGTTCGACTCGTGGCTGCGGGAGCAGTGGTACAAAAAGGACGAGCTCATGGAGGAGTACCTCACCACCGGGCGGTTCCCGGCCATGGCGGGCTCAGACACGGACTACGTCGAGACGGCGGTGCGGACGCGGTATCCGTGGGAGATTCTGCAGGTGTTTACCATGACGGGGATCGTGTTTCTCATTTGGTACAACGTGAAGAAGCTTGTGCATGCTTTCAGCTCATCTGGATAGACGGCAAGGGTCGCTGCTTATCGCGTACTCGTTTGCGTATCGGATTGCAGATATACATGATGGGGGCCAGCGGGTCTTGGTGTGAGGCCAGTTAGGGCAGAGGGGTTGATGGACAAGGTAGAGTTGTGTCCACCACTGCCATTTTCTTGCTTTTCTGGTTGCTTCCTGTTACCCGACAGTGCGGGGACTGGGCGACGGCGCAGGGGAGGGCGGACTGGGACTATGCTTGGATGCTCGCGAATAATGCTTGGAAAGGCTGGAGTCGGTGATTAGTGGACTTGGTTACAGCTGGCAGACAAGGGTTGGAGATGGATGCGTCTACAATACACGGGCAAGCAGACGATGCTCGCACGCGGTCCCACGACATGGTCTTGGGAGACGGACTGGGGCCAAGTTCACCTTACCCAGCCCGTGGCCCCTGCAGCAGCGCCTAAAGCGACCTCGGGGAGCGTTGCGTTTGGTACTACACAAACGAGCTGAGGCCGTCAGGGTGGGTGGCTTCAGACATTGGGTACGAAAGCAAGAAGTGCTGTTGTCGCTGCTACGTCCTGACGCTCCCCGCCCCAAGATTTTGGCCCATAATCCCCCCCAAGTAATTACCGTCCAAGTCTGCTCCTGCGCGGGGCCTTTCCATGCCCAGCAAGTATCGGTACGTGGATGCTCAGGTACCTGCGCTACAGACTGTGGAGCTTGGCTGCCGCAGCACGACACCCGATTGGGCAAGGCCACTTGCAGGCAGCCGGTTGCTCAGTCAAAGAGATGAACAGCAGCAGTTTTGAGCAGACTGAACAGCAAAAAAAGGATTGCCCCAGGCCAGAGTTGAACTGGCGACCTTTCCAAGGCACTTGCCGTTTTCTACAACTTTGCAGTTGAACTGCTCTACCGTTGAGCTACCGGGGCTTGAGTGTCTGTTGTTGAGGATATTCGCAGCTTCAACCCCTTATGTACTGTAAGTACAAGTACCTATTTCTAGCCCTCCACATGTCATTACTCGGTACCTGCAACAGCCCCCGCCTGCACTGTCGAACCCCTCCCTCCTCCCCGTATTTCGCCCCGCAGAGTGGAGTGGAGCGCGAACCCCAGATCTCCAAGTTACTCTTTTCTCCATCTCGATACGGAGAGGCGCTCAACGTCGATTGGCGCTGTAGACGAACCGTTGCACTACAACGCAGTCTCGCTGCCTCTTGCTGGCTTCCGGTGGACAAATACGTACAGCGCCTTGCCAGTCCAATGAGGGACGTTCTAGATGCAGCCCAAAAAATATCATCACCAACATAGTTCCGCACTCCACATGGATCGAGGTTCGAGCTGGCAACGGCGTCTCCACACTAAGCCGCCACTGTAAAAGGTAAAAAAATAAAGGCTGCCCTACCTTCTACTTCCGGGGAAGCCTTCGTCATGGTTGCACGTCGTCCCCCATTTGCGAAGGCAAGGATACTGAGCCACCAAGACGTGGACGCGTTGAGACTAGGCTTCTTTTCTTTTTCTCCTCCTCCTCCTCCTCCTCCTCCTCTTCTTCTTCTCCTCTTCCTCCCATCGCAATTGCCATCCTCACCTACATCCTGCCCTTTCGTTCCTCCTTCTCTCCATCCCAGCTTATCATCCCGCCATGGAAAACGGCCGCACCAGCTCCGATGGCGGCGAGAAGCTGCAGGCCATCCTCGCCCACGACGACGACGGCCCCGTCCACGAAAAGGCCGCCGACGAGAGCAGCCATGTTGACGATGACGACTCCATGACGCCCGATGAGCAGCGCCGCATCATCCGTCGCGTCGATCGCCGCCTGGTCCTCACCGTCGGCGCCCTGTACTGCGTCAGCCTCATGGACCGGACAAACATGAGCGCTGCCAACATTGCCGGCATGAGCACCGAGCTGCACCTGCAGGGGTACCGCTACGTGAGTCTAGAGCTGTACCCTGTTTCCCCCAGAATCGCCTTTGTTTGCTGACGACGACAGAACATCGCCAACCTTGTCTTCTTCATTCCTTACGTCCTCTTCCAACCCCCGTCCACCATCCTGGTCCGTCGCATCGGGCCCCGCCTGCACCTTGCCGGCGTCATCCTCTTCTGGGGCGCCGTCATGATCGGCATGGGCTTCGTCTCGAGCTTCGGCCAGCTCGCGGGCCTCCGCGCCGTGCTCGGCTGCCTTGAGGCGGGCTTCTTCCCGAGCTGCGTCTACCTGCTCAGCACCTGGTACACGCGATGTGAGTGCTGGTCCTCGGACCCCCTTGCGCAGACTCAAGCCTGACGCTGCGTCTTGAGACGAGGTCGGCAAGCGATATTCCGTCTTTTACCTGCTCGGCTGCGTGGCCTCGGCCTGCTCCGGTATCTTGGCCTATGGAGTACGTGCTCTCCTTCACTCAAGCTGCCATCGAAAGAATGCGTCCCTGATCCCCCCGCGCACAGCTCATGCAACTCAGGGGTCGAGAGGGCCTCAGCGGCTGGCGCTGGATCTTCATCATCGAAGGCGCCTTGACCTGCGCCCTGGCCATTGCGAGCTACTGGCTGCTCGTCGACTTTCCCGACTCGCACCGCAAGTCGTGGAAGTTCTTGGGCGCGCGTGAGCGCCAATGGGTCGTCAACCGCATCCAGCGTGACCGCGGCGATACCCAAGTATCCCCCTTTAACCTCAAGACCTTTCTCGGCGCCGGGCGCGACTGGAAGGTCTGGGCCTACGCCCTCATCTTCTTCAACACCACCACCATCACCTACGCCCTCGCCTACACCCTGCCTATCATCCTCGTCGGCAACCTGGGCTTCGACGTCGGCGCCGCCCAGTGCCTCGTCGCGCCGCCCTACGCCTTTGCGGGAATCGTCATGTTCACCACGGGCTACGTCGGCGACAAGTACCACGTCCGCGGGCCCGTCATCCTCGTCAACATGCTGCTGTGCCTCATCGGCCTGCCCATCATGGGCTGGCATCCGAACGCCGCGGTCCGCTACCTGGGCGTCTTTTTCGTCACGGCCGGCGCCAATAGCAACGTGCCCGCCATGCTGTCCTTCCAGGCCAACAACGTGCGCGGGCAGTGGAAACGCGCCTTTTGCAGCGCCACTCTCGTCGGCTTCGGGGGCATCGGCGGTATCGCGGGCAGCCTGGTGTTCCGCGACCAGGACAAGGCCACCGGCTACAAGCCTGGCATGTACGCTTGCATTGCGTGCTCGCTGCTCAATGTTGTCCTCGTTCTGCTCCTCAACCTGGAATTTTACAGGCAAAACAGACTCGCCGACCAGGGCAAGAAGACGCTGGAGTCCGACGAGGTAAGTCTGCCGACTGCTCACTCCCCATCCGCCAAGGGGCTTGCGCTGCTCCTGATGTTTACGTGGGCTAACCCGACCCAACGCAGGACGACGGTTCCAAAGACTTTCGGTACACTTGCTGATGCATTCTGGGGATTACCTGCAATCCACTCGGGGGCAGTGGGGTGTCCAGTCGAGGAAAGCCCTGGCAGGAGCTGCTCATACAGGAGAAAGAATCTATACGAGGCCCGTCGTCTCGCAATTGCAATTGCTTGCGTCTTACCGGCCTGATTCAGGCGTTATTCGGACTTGGGCGTGGGACTTGCCACGCAAAGGCACCGATGACGTCTCAATAAGGCATGACGTCGCGCACAATAGCAGTCACAGCCATTGACATTGTTGGGCTGTGAATCACCGGCAAGGGGTCTCTCTCGTTGGGAGCACCTTCTTCTACCCATTCGCAGTGCCTCTTTCGTTTACCAACGGAGACTTCCTGTTCTGTCAACAACAGACCACCAACTCAGTTCGTGGTTTGCACTCCGGTCTCCAAAGCCTCTACGCCCATTCAAAGACTGTTTACTCGTCAATTCTGCGTCACCATGTCCACTCGTGACATTGCCTTCGGGCTGGGCAAGTCGGGCGAGAAGGCGTACGTTGTAGGGCCTGTGCCGGACAAGGAAACCAGTAAGCTGAGGCCGTCTTCGAGATTCATTGCGCTGTGCCTGGATGTGTACTGAGCTGGGGCGTTTTCCAGACGTTGCCCAGAGCCTCCTCGACAAGCAGCGCAACCTGGCTTCCAAGCCGATCGACCCAGCTGTAGGGAGCAGCCCGAAGCAGGACGAGGATCGCGCGCATGTGGTTTACGTAGGCGGGCTCTTACCCCCGTGTCCCCGACTTTGCCCTGTCGTTGACACCTTCTTTTTGCCGCGCAGAACCGCATCCACGGCACGGGAGCCCTGACCCCGGGATCGCTTGCCAGTGTGCTTGAAGCAGGGATCAAGAAGAAGTCGGCAGACATGGAAACAGGCCCGGGCAAAACGGGTGGCGATGGCAATTGATGAGCAGATTCTGAGGTGTCTGCCGACCACATTTGTTGGCAGACGCGGAATCCTGAGCACTTGACTTTCTCTTTCCCATCTGCGTGAAGGATGTGGGGGGTATAACGGGTCACGGGGAAGACATGACGAGAGAAAGGGATGTTTTCCGCACGACGTTTGTTCGTGGCCCCTGATTTCCTTATCTAGAGGCAACAAACACACGTTTACTACGCAGTCTGTCACTCGACGTCATCCGTATTTACCTAATTGCTAGTGTTTCGTACTGCTACATCCTCTCATCCAGCCTGTGTCATCCTGTAAGCTCGCCGGCTTCCCATGCCCATGATTCAGGTACGCGGAGTGCACTTGAGGAAGATGTTTCTGACGGGCCGCTTCTCGCCAATGCCCGAACGGTCGACTGTGGGCAGCTCATCCTTGGGCTCGTGGCCATTCTTGTCGCAGCGCTTGAAGTCGTAGTGGGCGAAGAAGGTGACGGTCGAGACGGCGATTTCGAGCTTCGCAAACTGCATGGTCATACGGTTAGCTAACGCCGTCATGAGGCCCAGACGGTGGCAGTGTTCATACTTTCATTCCCACTATTGAGTCGTTGGTCAGTGATTTGGCTCTAGCATCTCCCAGGGGACACGTCCGGAGGCATGGGATCTGGCAAGGCTTACAGCATGGATGCAGCCCGGTTCCCCAACCGATGTATGCGTGGGGCTGCTTCTTGTCTTCCTCTCTGCCGGGGAGATAGCGACTCGGATCCCATGTGCTGGGGTCTTGATATACCTGCTCGTTCATGTGGATGTCTCCCATCCCGTAGATCTTTGTTTCCCCTTTCGTCAGTCCCAGGCATAGCTCTTCAGTGCGACGAGAGAAGATGGGCCGAAAGGGGACAAGGGGATCAAGCATACCGCAAAGGTATTGTTGGGAATCACCTGGCCCGTGTTGCCAATCTGAACGTCCTTGCCGCTGATGTTCTTGCGCATCGACACGCCTTGGTTGTCGAGCCGGATCGTCTCCCGCAGAGCCATGTCGATCAAGGGAAACTCGGACTCCCACGCTTCCATGGGCAGGCGCGCAATGACCTTGGCGACGGGCTCGTCGGGAGACTGGCGGTACTTGGCCAAGACGGCGTCGACCTCGGCCTGTATCCGCGCGTACCAGTCGGGCTTGTCGGTGAGGTGGGAGAGGATCCAGGCGGCGCTGAAGGTGCTGTTGATCAGGCCTGCGAAGAGGGAGCCCATGATGAACTGTGGGTGACGGAGAACGAGAGAGGGTGGTCAGTGATATGTTCCGTAGCTCAACACATCACAAGCAGGGCAGAGGATGGAATTATAAGAGGGTTTTCGACGGAGACGCAGGGAGGCTTACAACAGAGATGAAAATGTCGGAAAGACCCTGATCCATCAACCACTGCATGGCATCCGTGTCGGTCCTGCCCGTCTTGCGGCGGTCGTGGATAATCTTGGAGAAAGCCCAGTGAAGCCTCGCGCCAGCCCACATCTTGCGAACCTTGCTGGGCCAGGGCAGCTTGGGAAACATAATCTCCATGGCGGAGCTGTCGTCGAGGCGTCCAAAGACGGCAAGCGTGTCGGTCAGCAGCTTGGGGTCGTTGGCAACGTCGTTGCTGCCGAGGGTGCGGTGCGTGAGCTGGTAGACGAGCTTGAGCATGACGGCGAAGGGATCGACGGCGGACGAGGTGTCGATCTTGGAGATGGCGGCGTGGGCATCGGTGGTCATGTGGTGCAGGTTGCCGGCGAGCCGGTCCCTCTGCAGGAGGCGCTTGAATATGGTGATGAACTGGCTCGTCATGTCGCCCTCGTACAGGTGGTCGATGTTGGGCGCGGCGGCGAAGAGGGCGGCGAAGCTGTGTCGCGACAGGGACGTTAGCCGATGACGATATATTCTCTCCCGGACGGAATGACCCGTCCTAGGAGTAAGGCGCAAGACTGGGGACTCGGGCGAGCTGTATGTCCGTACCCTTTATTCAAGTCGAGGCCGCGCGTGTTGAAAAACGAGACTCGGGCCTCCGGGCCGGACACGGCGACGATGGGGTGGGGTCCATAGTAGAAGCTGAACTGGCCGCTGGGCACCTTCTTGGTGTTCTTGTCGATGAATTCGGCGCGGGCGCGGAAGAAGTCGATGGATCCGAAAACGGGCCACCCCTTGAGCAGGCGAGGCGCGCCGCTGGGAAAGGCCGGCCGCGATGCCACCAGCTGGACCAGGACCGCGGCGGCGACGGTCAGCAGCAGCACGAGGATGCTAACGGGCCAGGACAGCGGGCCCGGAATGAGGCCCAGGATGGAAGCCATGGTTAGGCGAGGAACGTTGGGATAGGGGGGGGGGGTGTCGACTTGGTTGACTTCTCAGACGAGACGGCAAAGGAGACGAGACGAGGGGCCATCGACCGGGAAAGGGAGAGTGCCAAAGACAAGAAGACGACGAGGAGGGGTAGGACGGAGCGCGTAGTTATATCATGGCCCCCAGCGGCCATCAAGTCGGGCTGGTTTCGTGCCTGGCCAAGAATGCATATCCAGAAACCCGCTCCATCGTGATGCGGTTGACGGGACAGCTTCTGCCCGCCGCCATCTGCACAAAAAGCCCCGCCGGCCGGGTCTGACGTCTCCGGGCCGCGGGGATGGGGTGAGGAGCAGGGATCGGCCTGTGGCGGAGGGACCCCAGAGACGGTGACCAAGCCCGAGGCGTGGCCGTGTGCGAGCGTGTATAAGTGCTATTAACCAAGTATTTAGTGCGTGTCCAAGCGTGAGTATGTGTGCTTTTTTGTCTGACGGCGCTTACACAGCGTCGTCTCCCAGCATCAAGGGGGGGGCTTGGCTTGCTCGGCACGTCTTGGGATGCGGAACCCGAGTACGAGAGACCCCGATTGATGATCCGAACTCGAGAGACGGACTTGTAAAACACAAGGGTCTAAGCCACGTCACCAGCGTTGACAACGACAGGCTCACGAGTCATGCGGCCGCCGGTGGCGCATCACCGTCAGCCAGCCGGCCATCCCAGTCCCGTTGGGTGGTGATGCGGATGTTGTTCGGCGCAGCTTCAGCGACGCGAGTAGATGGTGAACCAGCTCGCTCGCTCACTCACTCACTCTCCCTCCTCCTCTCCAAGCTTTCACAATTATGCGCTCGGCGTGGTCCGCTTCCGAACCTACCATCAGCTAGCGCCCTGCTGGCCGTGTAACCTAGCCGGGGTATCGGAGCTGACGAAACAGGGCGCCGTCTGCATTGCATACCGTTTGTGCAGTATGTACCGAGTATTTGGCACTTTGTCGCTCTTGTCCCCCTCCCTCGCCTTCTCTGTGTTTGTGATGGTGAGAAGGGGAAGAGTGCTGCGGTACGTCTAATAGTGGGAAACCTGCATTACGGGAGAGAGAGCTCGTGTCTGGGAGAGCCCGGGTTGAAACAAAACACGCTGGAAAACAGGTCCGGCATGGCGTTTGCTCTGGCTGAAACAGCTTTCCTTGATCACACACATGGCATGGGGGAGCACCGAGGCCGCTGTCGTCCAATCCGACGGGACCTATGCCGAGACTCCGGAGCATCATCCCATCCCCGACAAGCCCCGTCTATACCGCAACGAGCGAACGGCATGCATTCCTGCACCATCATGCGCATCTTCAAGTCCCGTGCGGGGTCGTGTGTGGTGGCAGGACAGATCTGGTCCTGTCCACGTTCGTTTGACGGATGGAGCTCCGATCCAGGCCACCCTTCACACCACACTTGGACCTTGCTCGGCCGGCATACGCGCGAGCAGACTTTCCGACTCCTGTCGAGCTGCGTTCTCGAATACGACGGGTCGACTGCGTGTTTCTGGTCCGCTCCGCCCCGCGTCGTCGTCTCTTGGGTTGGAACTGCGAGACCGCTTGTCGCGTGCGTTGATCACCCCCCCTTGGATTTGCCACAGCTGTCACTGCCAACGAGGGGGTGTGGCGGCAATGGAGATTCTTTGGGGAAGCAGTGGAAACAGACACAATGGTAGTGGACTGGAAGCTGGCAGGCATAGGCTCTGTCTAAGTATGACTCGGAGCGTGGATCGAGTACATGAAATGGCCATATAATACTCGTCGGGGAGGGGGGTTTCTGTACACTTGTATTGGCACATGAAGAAACAAGACGACAGGCGCGACAAAGAAAGAGAGGGGGAAGACGAAAAGGGGCGGGAAGCGGAAACGAACAGAGCGCCCAGCAACATCACCACCGTCCCTCGGCCTGGATCATCTCCGCCGCCCTCTCCGCCACGGCATACAGCGTCGCCGTCAAGTGTCCGCTGGGCTGCATCGGCAGCACCGACGCATCGACGACCCTCAGCCGCGCCGTGCCGTAGACGGCCAGGCTCGGGTCCACGACGCCGCCCAGCTCCCGCGCCATCATGGCCGCCGTGCCGAGCGGGTGCGAGTTGGTCACGACGGCGCCGCGCGCCCAGCGCCGCCACTGCGCGTCTGTTGCCTCCCCCCCTGGCGGCAGCGGCAGCTGGTCGCTGGCGTTGGGTGCCAGGGCGTCGGCCACGAGGTCGCTGACGGGCGCCGTGCTCCAGAACTGCGCGGCCACGCGGCCGGCTGCGACTTGCACCGTGGTGTCCAGGTCGACGGTCAGGAGCTGCGTGTCGATGGCCGGCGCGTCCGGAACGGCGGCTGTGCCGTTGTCGCCGCCGGCGCCGGAGGGCCGGATGTGGACGCTGCCCCGGCTAAAGGGCTGCAGCGCCCAGAAGGAGGCCACGAGCCTGTCTCCAAAGGCCGTCGTCATGTACTCGGCTATCGTCGTCTCCTTGTCGAACATGAGGCCGTGCTGGATCCGGAAGATTCGCTCCAGCGCCGCCGCCGCGCCGGGCCCGCCGCCGTTCCTCCGGGCCACCTGCCGGGCCCACTGGCCGAGACTGCGCCGCGAGCGGGCCGCCACCTCGCCGACGCTGCTGCCAAAGAGGTCGCGGGCCGAGACAAAGGCGGCGTAGGGACTGGCGCCATCGAGCTTCTGCTTGCTTGCGTAGATGAGCGACAGGTTGGGTTGTTCAATCAAGTTTTCGCCCACGCCGGGCGAGTCGACGACCGGCTCGATACCCCGGCCCCGCAACAGCCGCGGATTTCCGACGCCAGAGCGCTCGAGAATGAGAGGCGTGCGGAGTGCGCCGGCCGAGAGAATGACCTCGCGCTTGGCGCAGACCATTCGGCGCTCCTTGCCGGGCGTCACGTACTCGACGCCCTCGGCCTCGGCGCCGACTCCCCCGGCCTTCCACAAGACTCTCGTAGCCGTGCCGTTGAGCAGATGCAGGTTAGGACGTCCAGCGACGGGCCAGAAATAGGCCGTGGCCGCGTCCCATCGCCGGTTCTGCCCGGGGTCCAGCGTCTGCGGATAGACGTCGAAGCCCCTCGTCACGCCGCTGTTTACATCTCTGTTGACGCCCTGGCCAAGCGCCCCCCACGACGCCCTCACGCGGTGGTAGAAAGAGCCGTTTTGCAGGGCCGGCACGAACCCGACGTGGAGGTCCCCTTCGTAGCCGTGGTTCTCGGGCCTTACCGACGCCCCGACGTCGACTTGCCAAGGCTCCGGCGGAAACAGCCTCTCGAGCTTCTTGTAGTAGCGCAGAAACAGGTTCCAGTTCCAGCCGCGGTTGCCCAGCTCCTCCCAGGCGTCAAACTGGGCCTTGTCGCCGCGGATATACACCATGCCTGTTTATTCGAAGGGCCCGGGAGAAGTAGGCCAGGGATGTCAGCTTAAGCCCCAGGTGTGTATAGGGCTGCCCGTGACTTGCAACGATATCGTCGACGACGGCAAGGGGCTCACACACCATTGATGAGACTCGAGCCTCCTATGCCCTTGCCGGCATGGGACGTGAGGACGCGCCCCGCGGCACCAGCCTGAGGAACGCTGGGATACGCCCAGTCGAGGTTCTGGGACAGGAAGACGCGAGTAAATAGGGTTGGGTCGCTGACCAGCGAGTTGTTTCGCTCGTCCGCACCGGGGTCAATGAGGGCGACGGTCGTGTCCGGGTCCTGCGAGAGCCTGTTGGCCACCAAGAGGCCGCACGTTCCGGCGCCGACGATGACATAGTCAAACGACTCGACGAGGCAGAGAACACGGGTGAAGAGTATGGCCAATGCCGCTGCCGCACCGAAGAGCGGCGTCTTCATGCTTTCGAACGGGACAGACCTTGGATCATGCAGTCGGCATTGCTGTGTGAGCGTCGAGGCATCTGAACGGGGTCATTTCCGACCAGGTCAACAGCGCCCGGCTTATCATGCACGGGAAGCAGTAAGCACTGAAGCGGGCCGGCCAGGTCTGAACCCTTTGCTTGCGCCGTCGCAATCTCATCAGCCGGCCCGCCCTCGGGTAAGACGAGCCCCCGTTGTTCGTCTTCATCGGACCAATGGTATAATTACGAGCCGCGCTCTGCAATACACGGCTCTGACGGATTCGCGGGGACGGGCGCATGCCAAGTGCATTGCGGCTTTGTAGTCGGGGCAGCCACCGCAAGACTCAACGGCTTATTTAGTGATGGATGGTTTCAAGCTTGTAAGCCGGCCACATCACGGTCGCCCTCGTCGGTTTACTTGTTCTGTCCCTTTCACATTTTCTTTTGGCAGCCTCGGTTGGCCAGAAACGTGATTTTCTGTGCCGATCACCTCGTCTTACTTTGGTCTTATGGATCTCCGGCGACATCTAAGCGTGCCAGAATAATCTTGGGGTTCAAAGTGACGGCCCTCACTTTTCCTCCGTCTAGAACAGCGGTGAGTGTGCTTCGGGGAGCAAGAGATGAAAAATAACAAGATTAATATAGGGCTACGGTGGTATATTAGCTAAGGTCCGTAAAGTACACTAAAACCTAATCCTACTAAATTACTATACTACTTTATTTATATATCGTTCCTAGTAAGATTCTCGTATATATATAAAAAAAATAAAGCTATTTATATATATATAATTAACTAGTCTTTACTTTACCCTAAGGCTTATACGAGCTAAGGTTACTAACCTAGAACTCTATAAGAAGGTACTAGTTATCGTTCTAGATTAGCTAGGACTTCCTAACTAATACCTCTATATAAGGCTACTTAGCTAAGGCTTTATAGGTACCTACTACCTATTATTATAGATAAAGAAATACTTATATATACCTTTCTAGAGGATAACTAGGTTATCTACGGTTTTATCCTTAAGTAGTAAAATCGCTTAGCTAGACGAGGACCCTAGAGCCTCGTCGACTAAGATCGGCTGCTCTCGAGAACTAAATATAAGGGCGCCCCGTACGCTAGGTAGAAACTAAGGATCTCTTTTAAAATAGTAAGTAGCGCGATCTAGCTACTTATAATTACTATAGTAGCTACTAAAGTAGCCTAGGAGGCGAATATAGTAAGGAAAGGGACTTATATATACGTCCTTATTTATAATTATTTTATTTTAGTAAGATTTATATAAATAAGGATAGAAAATACCTTAACTTTAAATAAAAAAGGCGTTTATATATAAGTCCTTTATACTTATAACCTATTTTAGTTATACGCGCTTATAAAGAAAAATAATATAATAGCTAGGTAGGTTAAAGATAGTATACTATATTATATTTTTTATATATAGCTAGAGTTACTACTTACTTATATTTACTTTAAGAAGGCGCGGTCTTTATAGGAGCTCGCGTATAAGATCTTAGTTAAGTGCCTTAAAAAAGTTAGTATCTTATATAAAAAGTATAAGGAACGGTGTTCTTACTATAAATAAAGTAGCTATAATATACTCTCCTAATTATATAAGCTAATAAGTAGTATATTAATTATAGATAAAATCCTATCTTATAGAGTAAGAATCGCTTATTATTTTATATATTATTATATATTAAATAGGTTGCCGGTTATCGTATAATAGGGAATTAAAGGAATAGAGCTAGCTTAGAATACTAGCTAAGACCTCTTAAGAATACTAGTACGACTAACCTCCTTTAAATATAAATATTAGTAAAACTAAGATACTTTTAGCTATACTTAAGGTATTACTAAATTTCTTAGTCTTAGGGCTATACGGCAGCCTAAATCCGGTCCCGAAAAGTTCTTCTATTTAGCTATAATTATTTATATAAGGTAGTATATCCGCTAGTAGATAGAGATAGAATTATTAACTTTAATACCATTTCTATATACTAATATACTACTAATAAATTCCGTTAAAAATCCTACCTTATACTCCTTCTTCCCCTCTATTATATAGTCTTACGTAATTCCTTAATTTCCTAAAATTCCGCTTTTACTTATATACCTTAAGAAAAAGGTAAGTATTTAAGAGGTTTTACTTACTTAAGAAAGCGCGCTTTAGTAAATAAGCTAGTTATTAGCGTTTCTATATAAATATATTAGTAACTTACTATATATAAAGAGCTAAGGAAAGAGAGATATATATACTTATAATAATAATACTATTAATACTATTATTATTACTATTATTATTATTACTACTATTAATAATAATAATAAAAAAGAAAAGGAATTTATATATATAAGTATAAATTAAATAAGTAAGTAATACTTAAGGTATATAACTTACTAGCTAATAAGTTCTAGTAAATAAAATAAGAAAATAGCTTATATTAATAATAACTTTATTATAAGAAGACTATATATTATACTTTTATATAAATATATAGTACTATTTTATTTATATAGTAAAGTAAAGTTTTTTTTTCCTTTTTTTTCTTTCCTTTTCTCTTTTATTTTTATTTTTTTATTATATATAATATTACTTTATTTTTTACTAAGAAAAGTACTTAAAATCTTAGCGTCTTTATTACTTAATTTAGAATATATTTTTATAATTTATTTACTACCTTAGATAATAAGATAGTAGATTTACTACTTATTTAGGCGGTTTTAGCTACTAAAGGTAGTAGCTAATTTACTAGAAATCTAGCGTATAGATAAATAAACGTATTACTAGGCGCTTCCCTTTAAGTATCTTAAATATACTTACTATATAGCTTATATTCCTCCCTACTTAATTAATCTAGCTTATAGAGGGACCTTAGGACGCCTCCGCGGCCCGCTTAAGCTATATACTTTTCTAGTACCTCTTTCTAGCCTTATAATAAAGGAGCTATAAACCGCCTAGATCTATTATATAATAGCTAGGTAGGGCAGAATAGGTCGGCCTAGGTAGGGGGCTTAAGGTAGAAGAAAGAAAGATATAGAGGGAGATAGTATAAGATATAAGGAAAACGTAGCTAAAAAGTAACTATAGTTAAATAAAGAGGGAGAAAAGAAGAGAATCTCTCCTTCTCTTAGCTAGATAATCTATATAAGGGAAATATATTATATAATTTCTATCTTATAATAAGATCGACGGCGTTATATAAGTTATATATAAAAAGCGCTTACTCCGCCTTAACTTTTTATTAATATCTTACTTCTTTTATAACTATAACTTATTATAGAAACGTCTAACCTCTTACTAGCTTATAGTAAGTATCCCTACTAACTTACGATTTATTATTAACTATAATACGCTAAGTATACTATTCCGCTATTACTTATAACTTAAATATATCTTACTCCCCTAAGAACGAATTCGATAATAGTAGTCTCTTTAATAAAGTTAAGCTACTTTACTTAGATATATATATAAAAGTAATAGATATAAAGGACTTAAACTTTAATAATATAAACGGATTTATTAACGCTAATATTAAAGACTAAGTCTAGCTCTTTAAAGGCAACGTTTATCTACCTAAGTACTATTAAGAAGCCGTTAAGAAATTTAATAAGACTATCTATAAATATTAAGACTATAGTAATAGTAGTCTATTACTCTTTAATACCTATAAAGTATAATAGTATAAGGGAATATATATTACGGTACGATTAATTAGGTAGTAGAGATAGCTAAAGGTACTACGCTATATATATTATATTCTTCTTATCGTAAGACTAAAGCTTATAAGAAGAGGAATATCTCTTCTTTAGTTAAAGTAGCGAGTAGTTTATAATATATAAGCGGGGTAGGTATAATTCCTTATTAATACCCTATTAATATATTAGTACTATATACCTAAGTACTTTATTAGCTTATACCTCTTAGTAGCGCTCTTATAATTATCTCCCCTCTTATATAGACGTCTTAGCTATATCTTTAATATATATTACTTTCGCTATACTATATATATTTAGTTAAAAAAAGAGGTAGTTTTAGTTATATATCGTATATATATACCTATATAAGTATATATTAGTCTATACTCTATAATATTAATAGTTATTATATTAGCGGTTACCGCTAAGTAACTATTACGGTATCGCTTATATATTAGCCGCGTAACTATAATATAAAGAGCGTATGCCTTTCGGAACGAAAGGACTTAAGGGTTCCTCCCCGGGGAAAAAAAAATTCGCCATCAATTTCCCCCCGCCATTCCGGCCCCCTGATTGGTCGGCGCTTTTGAGCTCTTTTCATTCGTCGGCGTTCTCGCCCCCGATTGGCCATATGGCCATAACTTACCCCTTCCTACGTCCTTCCTCCCCCTCCTTTTTCTGCCTCCCCCCCTCTGCGTTTTGGGCCCTTTGAATCGTACTCCTGATTGGAGGCTCTTGTGCTTGGTCTTTTCGCGCTCTTTAAAGCCCCCCCCCTTCTATATTGGCCCGTCTTTGTCTAGATCTATGCCTTCCTATTCTACCCAGTGGTATATGTGTGTACGCTTGCCTTTTCTAGTCTAGCTGTTGTTGCCCTTGTTATCCCTACTTCTATCCTTCTTCTCATCTTCTTCTCGGTGATGATGAAGTAAGACGCTTTGGTGGCGAGTTTGCTAAGATATGTCTTCCTCTCCCCTGAATAAATATCGTGATGGTCCTAATCCCGCCTACCTTAGCTGCGGAGTAGGCTACCTGCTTCCTGTGTTGTCTGCTTGCTTAGCTCCTCTAGCCGGGCCTGCGCCGCTGTCATTTCCCCGGGCACCCGGTTCCTATAAGGTCCCGCTCCCGCACCTCCGATACGAGCATGATGCCGTCGAGCGTCGGGCACCGCGAGAGCTGCACGTAGAGGCTGTACGGGTCGCACGGCGACGCCACCGCCCTGCCCTCGACCGTCGTCGTCCTCGCCCCCCGCAGCTCGAGCGCGACGCGCTCGATCGTCCCGCCCTGCACCTTGTAGTCGGTGCAGGCGAAGGCCGCGGCGCACGGCAGGCCGCGCCGGCCGACGTCGTTGCGCTGCCAGGGCCGCTTCCGCTGCGCCGTGATCTTGACGGTGATGGGCGTCAGCAGGATCGTCCCGGACGGCATCCCGACGAAGTGGAGGTCCCTGGTCGTCTCCGACGCCAGCACGATGCCCGCCGGCGGCCCGAAGTGCACCGTCAGCTCCGCCGAGACGCGGTGGCCGGGGAAGGCCCGGTCGGGTATCACCGCCACCGCCGTGTTCCCGGCGCCGTTCACCACCTTCAGCCCCTGGTGCGTGTTCTGGTTCACGACGACCGGCATGCCCGGCACGAAGACGAAGACGGCCGGCACCGGCGTCGCGCTGTCGTCGCCCTGGCCGAGCATCAGCACCGCCTCCTCCTCCGTCGGCGTGCCGTCCTTCCACTTGTGCTCGGAGAGGAAGACGCGCGCCGCCGTCCGCTGCCGCGCCCGGAACGCGAGCGCCGCCTCGAGGTTGAGGTTCCAGCGGTTCCGGTTGAGCGGCGTGACCACCGTCACGCCTGTCTCCCACGGGATCCGCCTGCCGGGCCGGTGGCACCTCGAGTTGAGCAGCTCGAGGTCCGACCGGTCCTGCTCGCCCGCCGGATCCGCCCGAGCAGGCGCCGCAGCTCGGGGTCGCCGGCGGCCCGCATCTGCTCGTCGAGCATGGTGACCGTCGTGAACCGCCGCCAGAGCGCGTGCGCCTTGTCGTGCTGCCGCCGCTGCTCGGCCGTGAAGGCCCTGTCCTCGTCCCACGACACCGCCGCGCTCGGCAGCAGGATCGACCGCTCCTGCACCGGCCGGAACTGGTGGAAGTCGCCGCAGAAGATCACCACCGGGATGCCGCCGAAGTCCCGCGCCGACCCCCCGCAGCCGGCAGAGCTGCTCGTTGGCGGCGTATAGCGTGCGCGCCCCGAGCATGCTGACCTCGTCGACCACCAGCACCTCCTTCTCCCGCCAGTCCATGCGCGACCGGCCGTCGACGAAGCGCTCGCCCGCGCCCGGCAGCCGCACGCCGTCCACCCCCCTTGGTCGCCCCTCCCGCCTGGCCGCCCTGGCCGACGGCGAGGCCGCAGGCCGAGTGGAGGGTGATGCCGTTGATCCGCGCTGCCGCCGTGCCCGACGTCGCTGTGACTAGCATCCGGCTCGACAGCTCCTCCGGGCGAGCAGCTCGACGAGCGCCTCGATGACGCGCGACTTGCCGGTGCCGCCCTCGCCGCCGATGAACAGGCAGAGCTGACCTTCCCGTCTCCGTCGCCGCCTGCCTCATTGGCCTGCCGGACCTGGTCGAGCTGCCGGCAGACGATGAGGAGGGCGATCGACTGCTTCTCGTTCAGCGTCAGCTCCTTGGCCAGCTCCGGCCGGCGGCGAGGAACGAGCTCGACGGGCCGAGCCGCACGCGCATCCCCGCCGCCGTGCCTACGTCTGGGTCGCCGTCGGCCGCCGTCACGTCCATGTCATCCTCGCCGAATCCCCCCATGACCCCGCGGAGGGCCGCGCCGCGGTCCGCCCCGACTCCTGCCGCCGCCCCGCCGCCTTGGGAGCCCTGGATGCCCTGTATGGCCCGCTCCCGCTCCCGCGCGGCGCTCCTCTGCTGCGACTTAATAGCCCGCACCTCCTCCTGCCGCGGCAGCGCCGCCCCCGAGAGCGCCGAGCCCGGTAGGTTTACTCGCCTCCCACGCCATCTCCCTTAGCTCCTCCCGGGCCCGCTTGCGGTAGCAGAGACTGCATGTTGCGGTCGGTAGCGCGCTGGTGTTGTGGAACGCCCGGTAGAACCTCCGTACCGTCCTGACCTCCCTTTCGCGCGGCACCGGCGCGCACCACGCCCGCTCCTCGGCCAGCCTCTCGCCCGCCTCGAACTCCTCTTCGAGGCCCCGCAGCACGTCCGCCAGGTCTTCGGCCTGCATCTCCCTTGGCCTTGGCCTCCTCTGGTCGCCGCGGCTCCGTTTTGCCTCGGTCTGTCCGCTGGCGGCACTGCCCTTTGTCACGGCCAGAACTAAGCCTTGACGGCTATCCTTGTATTGGCTCTATGGACGAAGTTTCTAGCTTAAGGGTCCAAGAGAAAGAAAGAAGAGAAGCCCTGTAGGCAGAGATTTATATACAGCCTTGGGTGTGGTCCGTGCACGGCACGTGCACCCGTTGTTAGTTCTGTCTCGTCGTTACACCCTTCCTCTTCTGTCTCTCTCGACGTGGCGGGCCTCTCGTCATCCCATCTATACCCTATTAGACGTCTCTATGCACACCCCTTGGCCCCGTTTAGGATCCCTACCTGCGCGTCGGCCTTCTATTGCTTCGCCAGGCTCTGCGGCCTTAGCCATGTCCCCTGTGGCGCTCTCTATCGCGGCTACTGGCCGAGGCAGGATATCCCGAGGCGCCTGTTGACTTGCCGTGGGGCCTAGGGACGGCCCGGCCATGCTTGACGCGCGGCCGCCATGTCTTGCCTCGATTTCTTTGCCGACCGGGCTGCGCTCTTCTGTCTCTGTCGAGGGGGCGGCGGGCCCATCGTCGTCTCATCTACATCACGTTAACCACCTCTGTCCGTCGACCGACCCTGGGGGCCTGCTTGGGAACTATACCGGCGAGTTGGCTTTTCATTTCTGCACTGGGCTGTGCGCCCTCGGCGGCGTCCCCGATGGCACCCCCTGGCCCCCTCCCCGGCCGGGGCTGTATCCTCTGAGGCCGTCTTTGACGTGCCGCCGGACCTGGGGCTGGGCCCGCCGCGCTCCACGGCTGTGTCGCCAGAGCCGCCCCCGATGTCGGCCGCGGCTGGATATCCCGGAATAGCGGCTGCTGGCTTATGTCGATCTGCTGCCTTGGCCGCCCCGGCCTCCTTCCCGCCCGGGCCGCGGCGCTTCGGCCGGAGCTTGGCGGCGTGAGAAGGAAACCACCCTCGCCTTCGCCGGCTTCTCTACGTTTCGCCTCCCGCCTCGTCTCCGGTGTCGACGGCGCCGTCTTCCCTTCCATCGCCCCCTGGTCGCTTGTGCCTGGGGGCGTCCTTCCCGCCGTGGCCCTGGTCGTGCCTGCCTCCCCCGCGCCGGTCCCCTCCCCTGGATTCCTCGCCGGCCGGCCGCCCCGCCGCCTTCGCTTCGGCAGCACCAGCCCTGACGCCCTCTCATGCGCCCCCTGCCGGCCCTCCGTACCGGGCACCGGCGCCGCCGAGATCGGCCTGAACCTCATTGCTGTGTATGGTCCTCTGGCTGCCTCCCGTGCTGGGCCTACGCCGCTCTCCGCCCCGTGCTGCCATTCGATGCTGGCTGGCTTCATCGTAATGGGTGCTGCTCCTCTATTGCGTCTGCTCTCTTGGCCTTACCTACTTACTATGCTACTACCTCCTTAGGCAAACATTCTTCATATATATGCCGCTGACGTATAGCCCCCTCTCTTCGCCATGCTCCCGCGCGGCGCATAACATGTGCTTCTTAATCACATATCCATATTCCTCTACCTCCCGACTTGGCATGTCCTTACGTATGCTACTTACCTACTATTATGCGCGCGCTAGCTGTCTATGGTCCCTACTGACTGACGCCTGCTGCACTACCCCGCGGCCGATATGGCCTCGGCTATTCCCTAGATGTAGGTCCTACCAATGGCTTCTCGTCCCTTATCTATTCCTTCTGCCTCTCTTATGTTTGCTCTTTTCTCTTCCCCTCCGGTCGTAATCTTCGTTCCGAAAGGCTTATTGCGCAACCCGTGCGGGGTTGCCTTACCTGTATATATATCTCTTACTTCTTTTATTTTCTTTTCTTTTTTAACTCTTCCGCTTACGATTACTATAAAGTTTTACGCCTTTTCTTATTAATCCCTTATACCTTTTTATATTACTTTTTATTAACGATTTATTAACGATAATACCTTCTATACTAAAGAAGATAAAGAGCTATAACGCTAATTTCTTATACTATATATAAGAGTAGGTAGCGGCGGGTTTACCCTTAAAGTATAAGTAATTAGCCTAGAAGTCTCGCGGTAACGCTAGTTCCCCTTTAGCGAAGAAAGCTAAGAAGGTATAGGGGAATCCTAGTCCTAGGAGACTTCTAGTCTAGGACCTAATATTAATAAGGGTTATACCCTTATTACCCCGCTAAATACCTTAACTCCGACCGCCGATAAGCCTACCTCTATAAGCTAGGAAACTTATAAGTCTATTACCCTTATTAGTAATACTAATACTAGCGAGGAGATTATACTTAGGCGCTCTTAAGTAAGTACTAATAACCTAACTACTTTATTTTAATAAGGCGGCTCTAGCTAATAAGAGATTATTACTTAGGCCGCTCCTTAGAATAAGTAGGCCGATATTAATAACGAGGCCTAGCTAAATAAAGGCTAAAACGATCTTAATATTTAGCTAAATAAGGGCTAGGATAATAATAATAGTAATAATAAAGATAGCTATAATCTAACTCCTTTTACCGATAAACCTAAGAATAGCGGCGCTAGAAATAAAGGTATTTAAGCGGCGGTATAAGGCAGTCGCGCTTTTATAAAGAAGCGCACTTAATTTAAGGCTAAAGCCTACTTAGTTAAGGCCTAAGGGGTTATCCCTTATAAGCTTTAGTATATATATTATTTTAAGATAGTTATTAAGGAGTATAGTATAACTAAGCCTAAGCCTATTAAAGTGCTTTTAATTAGCTATATTTTCTTAGGGGTTTCTTTAATATACTATAAGTAGTACTATAAATATACTATAACTTATAACTAAGTAAGTTTCCCCTTAACTTTAAATATTATAATTAATAAGCTAATCCTTTTTAAGGCCGCTACTTTTATATCTAGTAACTAAGCTAATATAGTCGCTATTATTAAGCACTTATATAAGCTTAATAAGCTAAAGACTAGTAATAAGGATACTAAGGATAATAGCTTAGATATAGGTATACTTATTTTTAAGGAGGCTAATTAGCGCCGTCTTACTATTATAGTATAGTATTTAGCTAAGGCTTTTAACGCCGCTAAGATAGCCTATTATAAGTCCTTTAAGACTATAGGTATATAAAAGTTTACTATTATAAGTTTTATCCGACCCTTTTATTAGCGACCGCTTAATAATATACTAAGTTAAGCGTATTAACTACTATATATTAATTAATAAGCGCCGTAAGCTTATTATTCGCCTTAACCTTATACCCTTATTTAATATCGCCTATATAAGCTTAAAGTACTAGGCCTAGGAATCCTAGTTAAAACTCTACCTTATCGATAACGATATAGGCTATACTTTTTAGTAATACGCCTTACTATTTACTAAGGCTAAGATAAGTACTATACTAATAAAGATAGGTCTTAACGCGGAGGATAAGGAAGGAGCGGAGGATAGGGTAGTTCTAGTATTTCTAGAGGTATTTAGTATAGTAAAGAGGGCGCCTTAGTTAGTTCCCGCTACGCTAGTAAAAAAGAGGGGTAGTTAAAAGTAATAGATAGGTCTTATCTTTCTTTAATTTAGTTATAACTATCTTTCTCTCCTTTATCGTTAAGGTCTTAATAAAGTCGCGGTTTAGTTTTATTTTCCTTAATAATATTTAATAGGTAGTATAGATAGTTTTCCTTTATTCTCTTATTTTACTATTTTATATATAGTTATAAAAAAACCTTCTTACGAAATCGATATACGCCCGCGGTAGGTATATATCGCGACTAAAATACTAACTAATACTAGGAATTAATTTAGTAGTATCGATTACCCTTAGTAACGATACTATACTAAGGCTAAGGGGTAGGTAGATATAGTAGCGGCTATCGATATACTAGGCTTAATTAGAGCGCGTAGCATAAAGAGACGCTACCTAAATTTATATACCCTAATAGGGCGAGTTAATAAACCTAAACCAGCGATATAATATTAGCCTAAGCGCCGAGCGACCCTATAGAAAAAGCGGTATATAATAAACTCGCGGGCTTTATCCTAAGCGTATAGTTCGGTAGGGTATAGGTAGTAGTCGAACGGCTCTCTAAGGTAAAGAGCCGCGCTAGTAGCGCGTTATTAGCGGTACTCTACGCGGATAAAAGCTTTAAGACGATAATCTAAGAAGTAATTAAGGAGGTAGTTAAGAAAGAACTCTGCCTAGGGGGCTATAAGCGAACCTAGGCTATAGTTATAGCTAAGACTAAAGGACCGACCTAATATAAAGCTATAGTAAAATAGGTCCTACTACGCTATAAACGCGAGATTATCGTAGTCCTTACTAAGGCGCCGCTTAAAATCCTAAGCCGCGAACTAAAGGATATAGTAAAGGCGGTAAATATAGCCCTAAAAGCTATAAGCGCTATAGCAGCGAGGCGCTTTTAAAGTAGAGATATCGCGGTTATATTTAATACCGCGGCGAGAGCCTATTAAAGGGACTAAGGCTAAGTTAAGGCCGTATTTAGATTAAAGGCTATAATTACCTACCGCGCGTATATAGTAGTCGCTAAGAATATCCTTTTAGGGGTAGCGATAGTAAATAAGGAGCGATTGCTTTATAAGATTATAGAAGCGAATAAAGTTAAGGTCCTCTAGGCTTAGGCGCTATGCCCCTAATCTAAGATATCGATAGCGATAACTATACTTATTACGGTTCGTAGCTTAAAGGAGGCTAATAAGCTCTATAACTTAGGCTTAGTCTTTAAAGTATAAAGCTTTTAATATAAACCCTATAATAAGTTAGTCTAACTATAAAGGTACTATAATTACTATAGGTATAGCTATATCGCTAAATAGTATATATTAATATAACTTTATAGCCGATATAAGAGTATAATATATAATAGAGGCAAGGATAAATATAGAGCTAAGAAAGGCGAAATCCCTTATAACTATATCTTATACTAAGGGGACTACTTATTATAGACCTAGACTTACCTTATAGCGAATAAAGCCTAGGAAAAAGTAAGGGAAAACTACCTATAATAACCTTAATAGTTT